TAAGATAAAGTAATGATTAGGTACGTGCCTTGACAGCAGGTATGGACGAGAAAAAGAGCGCAATGGAGACCCTTGAGTCATCTAGGCCTAGGTTGCTATCACGACATGCACATGGCAGCGGCGGAGAGTGTGCGGAGGGTAACCAGGCCCGTAGAAAGAAAGCAAAATTGAGAAGAAAAAAATTTAGTCGGGCAAAACGCCGGGATTCGACCGTCGTGGCCGGGGCTGGCGACGGGCTGTCCTTTGCGATATGCCACTAATTGTGTACTGGAAGGGTGGGCGTGAGTGAACCCCGATGGTCCACCAAAAGCCCACCATGACGCTCATAGAGGAAAAATCAAGCGCTCCATTGGGAGAGAGGCGGCTGACAAGAAAGCCAGTTGGACCCAAGGGAAGGTACGCTCCTTGTATCCGCGCAGTTGTGCTCCCCTGTAACCCTTGCCAACGATTGTCGGCCACAGAATTCCGCACTCAGCCAGCCCAATCACAGCCTGTCTTTTGAGTCAAAGCTTCTGATGCCAGCAGGCGGAACGCGCTATCTCTGACCTCACCCCCGTAGCACCTGAAATTTTCTGCAACCTGCGAGAAAAATACCGCCGACTCGGGAGGGTCCAGCCGCCAGCTGCAAATCTCTCTTACTGCGTCACATACGCACAACCACATAGCTTGGCTGCCGCTTCCTTATCGTTCCCCGAATTCCCTTTCTTCCTCCGGTTTTCTTTCTCCTTTCCCTTCCCAATTGCATCACCGTCTTCCTTACCCTTCCCCTTGTTTATTTTCTCGTCACCGGGGACCTTTCCTCCAACGACAATTGAAGCAATGGCTTCGTCCGCCAGAGCCATGAGCTCCCTCCGCGCGGCTCAGCTCGTGCCGAAAGCTCCGCGCGCTGCTGCCAATGCTGGTCGCAGAACCCTCACGACCACCTCCAGACAAGGTCTGCGCACCGTTGCTGCGAGGCCAGTAGCCTCCAACCTTTCCAGAACAGTTGCGCGTCAATTCCGCAGAGAATATGCCGATGCCGCGCCCAAGAAGCCCGGCAAGATTCGCAGGACCTTGAGATGGACCTGGCGCCTGACTTACCTCTCTGCTCTCGGTCTTTTCGCCTACGTCGGATACACCGTCTACGAGGACAGGCACTTTGAGGACCAGGTCGAGATGGACCCTACCAAGAAGACTCTGGTTATTCTCGGTATATTCAATTCACTCGGCCGCGTATGTTCGCCACAATCTTATACTGACCCTTTTGGCAGGCACCGGCTGGGGTTCCGTATCCATGCTGAAGAAGCTCGACACGGAAAACTACAACATCGTTGTCATCTCGCCCAGAAACTACTTCCTCTTCACCCCTCTTCTCCCCTCGTGCACGACGGGCACAATTGAGCACCGCTCCATCATGGAGCCTATCCGAACCATTCTCCGCCACAAGAAGGCCGCCGTCAAGTTCTACGAAGCCGAGGCCAGCTCCATCGACCCCGATAGGAAGGTTGTCAAGATTCTGGATACGTCGGAAATTAAGGGCTCCATGTCCGAGACTGAGGTCGCCTACGACATGCTGGTTATCGGTGTCGGAGCTGAGAACGCCACCTTCGGCATCCCCGGTGTGCGCGAGAACTCTTGCTTCTTGAAGGAGATTGGTGACGCCCAAGCTATTCGCAAGAAGATCATGGATTGCGTCGAGACCGCCGCTTTCAAGGACCAGTCCGCCGAGGACATCAGCCGCCTGATGCACATGGTTGTCGTCGGTGGTGGACCTACCGGTGTTGAGTTTGCTGGCGAGCTTCAGGACTTCTTCGAGGAGGACATTAAGCGTCTGGTTCCCGAGATCGCTGACCGTTTCAAGGTCACCCTGATCGAGGCTCTCCCTAACGTTCTGCCGTCCTTCTCCAAGCAGCTCATTGAGTACACGGAGAAGACTTTCAAGGAGGAGAAGATTGACATTTTGACCAAGACCATGGTCAAGAAAGTTACTGAGCAGAGCGTTGAGGCCGAGGCTACCGGCCCTGATGGAAAGAAGCAGACCATGACCATCCCCTATGGTCTGCTTGTTTGGGCCACGGGTAACGCCGTTCGCCCTATCGTTCGTGACCTCATCTCCAAAATTCCCGCCCAGAAGGACTCCCGCCGTGGCCTGGCCGTCAACGAGTACCTCGTTGTCCAAGGCACCCGCGACATCTGGGCCATTGGCGACTGCGCCGTGGCTGGATATGCCCCGACTGCCCAGGTCGCCGCCCAGGAGGGCAACTTCCTTGCTAGACTGTTCAACAACATGGCCAGAACCGAGACCCTCGAGGCCCGCGTCCAGGAACTTAGCGGCAACCTTAACCTGAAGCCCGGCAACTCTGCCGAGGTCGCCAAGGAGATCGAGGCCCATGAGCGCCAGCTCCGTCGCATCAAGGATATCAAGCCCTTCCACTACTCTCACCAGGGTAGCTTGGCCTACATCGGCAGTGAGAAGGCTGTCGCCGACGTCAGCTGGTGGAACGGTAACATTGCTAGCGGTGGTAGCATGACCTACCTTTTCTGGCGCAGTGCTTACCTTTCCATGTGTTTCAGCAGTAAGTTATAGTCGTGATTGTCGGTAAAAATTAACTAGCTAACTCTCTGCAGCTCGTAACCGTCTGCTGGTCTTGAACGACTGGCTGAAGTCCAAGGTCTTCGGCCGTGACATCTCACGAGAATAAGTTATGTTATTCTAGGCGTTGTAATCATTTCCTGCCTCTGGCGCTGCGACATTACTTGTTTTCTTTGTTGGTTTTTTCGCTTTTCTCTTCGCTTCTTTTGTGTATGGTGTAGGAGCGAAACGATAGATCGATCGGCTTAATGGCTGGCGGGGAACGATAGACTGAGTAGACTTGGACACATGATAATCCCCAGAGGGGAGAAACACGACTACCCTGTACGAGTTGTCGCAATAACACCTGTACAATGCTGCTTCCGAAAGTCTCGGCCGTAACGCTCGATGCGTGAAAATGGAATAATGATCAGATAACATGACAACTTGATCTGTGCCTGAAATTTGGGAATTGACTGTTGATAGATGTTGTTTCTCTGACGCTCTTCACTGTGCCAGCTTCCAGCAACAGATATCGACTAGTCTTGGAACGGTGGGCGATGACTTGGAGGTTGGTATGGGTCATCGTCTTAAATGCAGGAGCCCGCTGATGTGGTCAACACTGTCGAGTGCGCCAGATCAGCCCATAGGCAAGTCGAAACAGCCACCCTGGTACCACACCTGTGACAGGCGCGGTGATTTGAGACTTAGGCACCATGGCTTCGGGGTTCTTGGTCCACCTTTGCTTGCATATGCTGGGGAAGGTCCGATTAGGTGTCGTCGAACAGCGGGACGACCCGGGGCTAATGCAGTGTCCAAGACTGTTGAGTATGGCCTGCGACTTCACCCGGGGAGGCCGATGAACCCTGCTCGGCATCTGGAACAAGATCTGCTTGGGTCTCAAATATTGACTTCTGACCGACTGGACCGCGTCACGCCGTAACTTTTTTTCCCGCTTGTTGGTTGAGATTTTCTAAATTTATGTTAATTTCAATCAACTTAGCGCCTACTGCGGCGCATGTCACGTAGGCTTTACAAGAGTGAATTCCTTGTCACTCATCATAATCAGGCAAGGTTACTGGTTATGGGAGGAAAGAAACTACACCAGTAAGATTCCGGCTTATAACTGCAGTGTTGGCCAACTGGCGGACGCTATGCAGTGAGCTTGATGGGATATCAGGACTGTAGCCAGTGAATGACTCCGAACATTGCTTGATCGACCCAGGCACTATGCCTCATAATTTGGATGCAATATGGTGTCTATTATCTCGTCTGAAGAGAGGCACCCGATATTCACACTATTCATTGATCACATTCCTACCTGTGAGCTGGCTCCTGAAGGTCAGCCAAGGATTGTACACATAACTTATGAGTGTTCAAAAGGAGGGTAATATATCATGATCATGTTCCATATTGGTAATTCACGCTCTACACTGTGAATAAGTGGTGTGCAAGAGGTTACCCAGGCCATCTTCAAACCAAGATTACGCGAATTCGCTAATAGTCTAAATTAACATGAATGAGGTTGCATATGGTGCGCTCGATTCATCATGGTCGTGTAAGATATGGACCTAAAAATGTGGAACAGCCGATAAAGGTAGAATTTCGATCCGATCACAAAGAAGCGAATTGATATCATAATGAAGCTGGCCCGGATATCCACGGTCCATGGGAACGCCAGAGGCTCTAAACTGACGTCTGGTAGTGATGTCGTTGGAAAGCGGAGACTAGCGGAGTTGGTAGAAGTTGGAAGTGCCTCCATTTTGGGAGAGAAGACACACGCGACTTCGAGCTTGGCGGGAACTGAATTCCGCTTCCATGCAGCGGCTCCATCATTCTACCCCACAGTTCGAAAGCATTCCGTGACCCGGGGATTTGCCGAGACCATCACCTCCAAGTAGCCAATTAGATGACTTTTAAACCGCGCCAGTTCGGCTTGGCGGTTCCTCATCCGTTGAGATTAGACAAATTTACAGCTATACGTAACCGTCTAGGCTCTTTTCCGTGGGCTGTGACTAATGCCAAAAGTCCGAAAAACGTTGCGATTTAGTAGCGAAATATTTTCCGGACTTTGTTGAATGTGGATGGCACTGGAATCGCCTAATGCAAGACTCAAGACGCTGGCCCTGCTGCCAACAGGTGGCTGGGTGGTAGGCTGGAGAAATGGGCGTAGCTTTGCTAGTGTAGAACCGCCTAATTTGTCCCACATAGCTTGTATACTTACGCACTCTTACACCGGTGTATCCCCGTTCTGTTACACACTACCTGTATATTGTGCAAAGCGCTCGTCATAAAACCCACCACATCCCTCTACCTTTGACTAAGGCCTTGAACACCTTCCAACTACTACCGGTGATTTCCCAGAAGTCAATTAGAATTCCCGACGCCTTTAATTGAACTCAATCGATACCTGCCAGCGTTCTGTGCCGCCCTTGGCAGCATTGCTGATATGGCGACCACCTTATCTACCTCCACCGTCGAGCTGCAGAGCTTCCAGCGACCTACTTCGCCGAAGGAAGCCAGGCTTCTCAACACCGAAGGCCACCGGCTCGGGTCCAACGAGGATGAGACTGGCGGTCTTCCGGCGCCAACGACCACCACCACTGTCGTTCAGAAATGGAACTATCCGAGGTCAAACGCAAACAGAGTGCTGTCCTGTTTCTGGAGTTTGTTTACTTCGGGTGCAAACGACGCTGCCTACGGCGTAAGTCTTGGCATATCTAATCACGTAGCCCTTTTTATGTGAGCGAGGACTGACTTGTATCCAGGCTTTGATCCCCTACGTATGCACTTCCACGTCCCCTTGACAAGGCTTCACAAGGGCATAAACTCACTGCTACAGCTCGAATCCTACTATGGCCTAGACTATATCGTCGTTTCCCTCGTTTTCCTCTCCCCCTTCATAGGTTACGTTGGCTCCGCGCTTCTTAACAACTGGATACATAACAAAGCCGGCCAGCGCGGCGTCGCTATTATCGCTTCGTCATGCCACCTTGCTGCCTACGTTGTCATCTCTCAGCACCCTCCCTATCCGGTTCTGGTTATTGTGTACATCCTGGCAGGTTTCGGTAACGGCATCAGCGATGCCGCGTGGAACGCTTATATCGGCAACATGGACCGCGCGAACGAAGTCCTCGGCTTTCTGCACGCTGCCTACGGGGCAGGAGGGGTGATGAGTCCGCTTGTTGCCACGACGATGATCACCAAGGGAAATTTAGGCTGGTGGAACTTTTACTATGTCATGGTGAGTTTGGTCTTCGACAGTTTTGTACTTTGGGTGAATAGATGCTGATGGGTCCAGCTCGGAATGGCCGTCGTCGAGCTCGTTTGGTGCACATCTGCCTTCTGGAAACAGACAGGCGCTGCGTACCGTGAGTCGGTGAGCCAATCCAGCAGTGACAACGCCGGCGGCATGCGAGTCGCGCTCTTCAAGCGCCCATATGCCCGCGTATCGTGGCTTTGCGCCTTCTTTCTTCTCGCCTACGTTGGTACAGAGGTCTCTCTGGGAGGCTGGATTGTGCAGTTCATGATTCAAGTTCGCAAAGCCAACAGGTTCGACTCCGGTATGACATCCGTCGGTTTCTGGCTGGGCATTACTGTCGGTCGAGTCGTTCTCGGCTTCGTCACGCCGAGACTGGGAGTTAAGCTTGCCGTTTCCATCTATATCCCCATTACTATGGGTCTTGAACTGCTCTTCTGGCTGGTGCCGCAATTTTATGTCTCTGCGGTGGCGGTATCGCTCCAGGGTTTCTTCCTTGGACCGTTCTTTCCAGCTGTCGTTGTCGCGGCGACGAAATTGCTTCCAAGGCATTTGCACGTCAGCACGATTGGGTTCGCGGCCGCGTTTGGTGGGAGTGGCGCAGCTATCCTGCCGTTTGCCGTTGGTGCGCTTGCTCAAGCCAAGGGTGTGCAGGTTCTGCAGCCCATCATCCTGGCTTTCCTAGGTGTTATGCTTATTTTGTGGCTTTGCTTGCCGAAAATTGGGCACAAGGAGGAGTAAAAATGGATTAGAGCAATGCCTTGATAAGAAGGTGATTTGAAGTACTGGGTACACGAACCAGTCAAGCATCGCAAGAGCCAACATTTTATAGTCAAAGTAACATTTGTAACCAAATCGTATTTGAGTACTATATCGAAACAACTGATAATAGAAATCTGTTCTATATATAGGCTTTGAAATCTTTATATAACGTCAAGCCCGGCTACCAGTTAATTCAGAAAGATGACGACAGGCTAACACTCTTTACATATGCGACTAAAAAAGATTAGGCCATACAGTAATTAGAAAGAGAGGAAGATAACGAATGATATATTGGTCTTTTAGTAGAGAGGCCGTGGTGGGAGGTGTTGAAGACTCTTGTGCATTGTGCCCATCGGATCCTCCAGCTTCTAGGGCTGTCGTCCAATTACAACCGAGGCTTTTTGCAGTAGTCAAAATGGCAGGACGAACAAGATCAAGAATAACGATGGTCTGTGCACCATTCCTCACAGCCGATTGAAACGTCGTCTCGGTCAAACCTTCTTCCGTCACATCCGAGCACAGACCATTTCCAATTACGCTAGCTACCAAAAATTCTCATGACGGGTCCCTCGCGCGCTATCTCTAGCACAGCTCTTGCTGAACCTCCCCTTGGTCAACCCCAAGCTCAACTCCATCACAACGATCCCTTCCAACAACTAAGGTCATCGCTTTCTCGCCGACGACTTCAAGTGTGAGATCCACTTCAAGCTCTCAGCCTTTTCTTATATAAAGGCTTTCCGCCAAGGTCACCAGCAACAACCTAGCCCAGGTTAACTTAAGAAGCTCGACTTCTTCGTCACTTATTACGTCGGCTTCAATTTTCGTCTTCGTACGTTCCCGGGACAAACTCGCGACCGCATCGTCGAAATCATCGCGGCCATAACTAGCGCATTTCGACTTTTACAAGGAACGCCAAATCAACTACAGACACAATGGTTCAACTCACTGAGGTCGAGGACGAGCACTTCCAGGCCCACCAGGCCGGTCCCATCGAAGATGATGGCGACTATACTGACACTGGTATGTACTTTGTGCTGATTACGATCATACCTTAGGTACAGAGACGATATATATCTTTAACGTTTCTGGAACTAGCGTGTTTTTACTACGTCACTTGACCACTAGCTAACACGTCGCCACAGACTCCGAGATCTCCGCCGACAGCGACTTCGACCCTACGGACGAGTCCTTCACCGAGCGCCTGTATGCCCTCAAGGACATGATCCCTCCGACCACACGCGGCTGGGTTCAGCACAAGGTCAACTTCGGCGTCAGTGCCGTCCAGAACACGTGGTATTACGGCTCCCGCACCGTTTGGGTTGTCTGCGCTACTGCTCTGATGATTGGTGTGCCTCTGGCCACCTGCTGGGCTGAGGACCAGCAGATTGAGGGCATGGAGCGCGAGTTCCGCATGCGTGAGGCCGGCGGTGAGCTCCTCACTGCCGGCGGCGAGCCCGGCAACGAGGGTGAGAGCACCGCTGACATTCTCGGCGCCCACCTTGACCGTGCCGAGGCTAAGCCCGCTCTGTAAATCAACATGTCATAACAATGAAGAAAATTCTCAAGCTATTGAAAGCTGGGCAAACGAATCGCGCAACACCGGTATCTGTACGACACGAACAATGAAAACAAAAACCCCTACTCGGACAGAAGCTTGCGGTTAATATTGCGCTTCGAAACTGTATATCAGACGAATCTCTCACAACACTCTCAACACCTAACGGAACTTTGCATGCATTGCGGTCATGGGGGTGGGAGGCAGGATGGGGTTTCCCTGCCCTTTTGCTTGTACTATAAGACATTCATGAAGGCCGTGTTTAGGAAGGCCGGTTGCAATCATGACCAATTTTAATACCCGCCTCGTACCTTGCACTCTGCTGTGAAGTTTATCATTTCCTTAAGTCATCCGAGTGCAGACTAAAGATTCCACCAGCCGGAATGGTATTATTCTAGCCCTGTGTTGCCATGTCAAATATACCATGACCAGCCAGCCCAGAGCTTATGAATTTAACAAGGGGTTGGTTCAAGGTTGAACTAGTTGAATCATGACTGCTATATGTAGGATGCATAACTTGTTCATCTCGGTGGAGGCGCATGATCAATGAAGTCTGTGAAACTTCAAGGTATAATGGAAGACGTTTAGAAGCGAAAGCTTTGCTATAGTTTTTTCAAGAAACGTAGGCACATTGATAAGGTTGAGTCAAGTAGAATTCCAGACTCACAATATCCGACGAGAGCGACCCCTAGGAAGGCGTCAATGCTATGGAAGAGTGCAATATACATCCTTGTCTCATGCTCCTACTGTACGCGCATGGAACACAGTGACCTAGAACCGGTACCGCTTGTGTGCAATAATGGATCACTCACCTAAGGTACATCTTAAATGCAATTCAGTTCTAACTAAGCGTAAAGTATAGATAGGAGCATTGGCCATGATTCCAACAACTGGATAATATTTTCAATCAGCGACATACCATTTCCCTGCTCTGACTGTCATCTAGAGCACTGGCTGCTATCACCCAAAAGAATATTTGCCATTAGTCTAGGGTGCCCAACAAAAGGAAAGGGAAAAAACATCTTCATCAGACTTCTCGACAAGATTCAATCAAAACCCAAGAATTTCGGAAGTCCAGACGTCAAACTATAGCGGCGGATGCTGGTCCCAAGATAAGCACAGACGTCGGCGCCTCCCGCCTCCCCGATATCACTCCGGAATCGGCCCCATCGGCCCGCTCCGCGGGCAAGCGAAACTCACGGAACTACCGCAAATAGTCCAACTTCAACCTCCTCGGGTCAACGAAGCCCTTTCCAACTTCCAAGCAACAACTAGCACTGCCTCTTTTACCTCACATCATTTGCGCCGCGGATACATCTCCACTTACTGGTACTTGTGACCATTCATTTCCAATCACCTGGGGAGGAGGAAAGGGAACAATCGTGGGCGGTAGTGCTGACGACCAAAACTCGCAGAGCCAATCCCACGGAAAAGCCCGCATACCTCGCTTAACTCTTGAAAAGGACTTAGACGGTCAAGGTGGCGAACATGAAGGCAGCGGCAGATATGGACTTTAGAGCTCTCCCCAAAATCGAGGTACCCAATATCCTGCTCTGGAACCGTGGCACCCAGATTACACATAATTGTACGGTTTTGCCTGGATAATCACTGAAACCTACCAGCTCCATGCCCATTTAACAGGCAGTGTAAGCCGCCGAACTCTCCACGAGATTTGGGTCCTTAAGAAGCAAGCTGGCGAGACGGACCTCGAAGATCCCCTCGTAGTGATGCCAGAAAACAAGCATGACTACGATCTTACAACGTACTTAACCTCCTTCAATCCCTGTTTCAATCATCTTTGTTTCCTAAATCGTTATTATCTTCTATAGCGCGCTCTTTCTTCATATTAGCTCAGCTCTAACCGTCTAAACTGTGCGCAGCTTCTTCCCCCTCTTCTCATCCTACATCTACAATCTCATAACCACCACAGAAACCCTTCACAAGGCAACGCTCTCGGTCTTAGAAGACTTCCACGCAGACGGCGTGGCATATCTAGAACTTCGCACAACCCCACGATCCCTTCCTAACCCTACCCCGCAGGCGCCCTCAGTATATGTCTCCACCATTCTCTCCGCTATCGCCTCCTTCGAGGCCGCGCACCCTGGCCCAGAGACCATGCGCACGCGGCTGATTCTCTCAGTAGACAGGCGACATACTCCTCAACAGGCAGCTGAGACTGTTCGCCTGGCGGCCACTTTCCGGGACAGAGGTGTCGTAGGTGTGGACCTCTGTGGCGACCCATCTGCGCGCTGCCACGGCGTGCTCGGCCAGGACGACATCTCCATCTTCCGTGGAGTGTTTTCGGAGGCTAGGGAGCTGGGACTGGGGATTACTATCCACTTTGGAGAAGCGGAGTGTTCCGGTCACCCCGGCGAGCTCGCCGAGATTCTGTCGTGGCAGCCGGGGCGGCTGGGTCACGTCATCCATCTCGGCGAGAACGTGAAGCGAGAGATCACGGCACGGAAGATTGGGCTTGAGCTGTGTCTAAGTTGCAATGTCCATGCGGGAATGGTTACTGGCGGGTTCGAGGGACATCATTTCGGGGAATGGTGGGGTGTGGAGGGGAGTGTAATTTCTCTTGGTGTACGTTGATTATTGACCCTTTTGTTCGGCATCACTGACAACGCCATGAGCAGACAGATGACGTTGGCGTCTTCGGAAGCCCTCTGTCAAACGAATACAGGTTGGTGGCGGAGCACTTCAACCTCTCTCAGGACGACGTTTGTGTTCTCGCTCGTCGAGGTATCGATTCCATCTTTGGTGGAGAGGCTGAGAAGGAGCGTCTCCGGCAGCTGATGTGGAAATCTTCACCAAATGGAACATTATAATTATTAACTAGCTAGAAATAGAATATTAGCAGAAAATCAGAGGTCAAAACAGTCCAACGTTTATTTGAGGCCGGTGAGAACGGAGGTTCGCGTTTCTCGGTTCTGATGTGGCGACTTCAATAAGTCGCTTCAGAAGTACGGATCTTGCAGATCAGACCTTTTCTTCGTACCATGCCTCTCTGTATTTGTTCAGCTCGGTTTCGCTTCCGGTGCAACAATCAAGCGGCGGGATTCTAAGCTCTCGAAAAGAAGAGTTTCTGCCTTCGGACCAACCATGGCGTGGCCAAGCAAATATGCCTTGCATACAGGCGGTCCAAGAACTTCATACATGCAGGGACTATTTCACTTCCGCACCACTGTGCTTTAAACCATGAACAGACGCTGCCAGTCTTAACACCAGGTTTCTTCTCCATTCATTGCGCCAGATCTGTTCCTCTGCCGGTCAACTGGTATGCAGAAGGAATACCCTTCGAAGGCGACATGAATTTAGCTGGAATATCACTCACAGCTAGCATGGCTTTATGCCTGTACACGCTAATGGTTGAGGTAGTGCTGTCTTCCAGTTGTCCTACGACAAGACCGTTTTGGTCTAAACCCACGTCACATTGATGACTGTGCGCGCATAATGCAAAGCCAAACGCAGTGGCCAGATCGGGCAAGTTGCTATAAATACCAGGAGTAGCTGAGTATCTCCAATACTACCTACCGCCCAACTGCCTCCAGGAGACGCTACTGCAGATGATCTGTGGCAAGGCGTAAGTTTAAAAGGATTTTGTGACGTTGCCGCGGTCAACGGTGGTGATATAAGTCGGGTTCGGGTACAGCAGCCATATCAGGCTGCTATGACTCAATTATGAGTGTTTTAGATTAGCTTCTATGCCCTCTGGGATCTGGTTGAAGGGCTCACATTCAATCAGATAGTTCCCTCGAAATGAACGCAGGCTTTTGTCAACGGCGAGGATATGCCAAGCTGCCAGGAGGGTAATCGCCCAATATTCTGCAGCAATAGATCTGGCGGTAAGGCTAAGAAACGGGCATATGTCTCGTCTACTGCAGCCTCAAGGCTTCGTGATGCTCGCTTGCAAAGCGTGTGTCGGATTCGTCCTGCCTCGGTTCGGTGCACGGGGGAAAGGATGTGAGTTCGAGAGGGCATCAATGGATTTGGTAAACAATCTAGCGCAGGGGATTCTGGGTGCCCCGCGGGCTTCTGGCAAGGAACACTGGTCTGGTAGAGTACTGTAAAGTGACGACAAGAGGTAATGGTATTCGTCCTTGTGCTGTCGTTGAGACGACACACAGACCCACACGAGGTCCATGACGGTCAGTGTGTGTCCCGAGTGGCTACTGGGGCCTCACTGTTCAAAAGGGTATCCCGGTATTGAAAAGTTAAAACGACACAACAGGAGGCGAGCTATGGAAGCATCATAAAGGCTGGCGCGGAGATGGGTTAGAGCAACAACGTTTAATGCAGTCATGAAAAACACCGTGGACCAAGGAATGGGTGGATTCTATGCGTGCACACTCCCGAGTGGGTGGGCGAGTACCCCATGAAGCCCGTGCGTTGCCCGCCAAGAGATGAGAGATACGTATCGTCGTTGATTTGTGATCGGCAGCCATGTCTATCACAACTCGCCGACTGGGGAGGTGTTTTGTACTTGGGTCAACTTCGTGGCCTTTGTCCTGTAAAGCCTTGAGCCATGGTTCTTCTGTTCTGCCTCTAACCGGGTACGCCATGATCAACGGATCTGTCATCACGTAGGTTCGCGACGGGGGGCGGGGGCGGAGTTTGTTTTGACAGTCCTCCGAATCGGAGACGAGAGACAGCTACTCTGCCCAGCGGTGACGTTATTCAGGGTGAATCGAAAAAGCTTCATATTGAGTGCAGAGGCAGAGGCAGAAGTGCCGCGCGATACACACCTTCTTTTTTCCTTTCTGGTTTGCTTGTGAGGCGTCCTGCGATCACAACGCCGCCATGCCCAGGGAAGCGCCACTGTGGATTGGCGAGGTCTGTTCAACCATTTTCGGACTTAAATTGCTTTTGGCTTGGCCTTAGGCTGCATACTTGCGACGCTGTGTGGGTAGTATTGGCCGCGGCTTTTGGCCTTGACATCTTCCCTAGCCGGCAGAGGTATTTAATTGTGTTGGCGTATGGAGGGTGCTATCATGCTTCGTCGGGGCCTCAAAGGTCTTTCCCCGGAGACTGACGGACGACTTGGGTACATGGCCTGGTTTTGCCAAGGTAGCCGCAATGTCGACCTCGTCACCGAAGCAAGACAGCGGTAGTGGGTGCAGTTAGTGACACACAGATATGCTCGCATTCTACAGGTTAACATGCAAGTAGCGTATGGACAGAAGGAAAATACTCTGATATCATGTAGACATGACCAAAGTTGAGCCAGTGAACGGAAAGTGACAGTAGTGGCCCAAATTTTTAAACCACCACCGAACAGCATCAAAGTGTGAGGACGGACAGGGAAACGCCGGCACATTTGCGTGGCGATGGGAAAGTCCGTGCTGCAGCAACCCGTCAGCACTAACATTTGTCTGTAAAAGTTGTTGCAGAACAAAGATTTCAAGGTTGATATGTCATTCGGACGGATTCTTTCAATCGTCGCCTACTCATTGAAAACAGCTGAGGTCAGGTTCTATTGGATAACATGCAAAAGATAACTCTCATGGTGGCCGATTTACAGACCCGGTGGTAGCGTCGAGGGTCAGGTGTCATTCTGATGTTGCGTTGTTTCTGATGCCGAAGTCGCGGGCCTTGGCTGAAAGGCCTTCCAACCGTCATACATGTAGTGCCGTCTACTAGTTAGTTGCTCATGTGGTGACACCGGCAAGGCACTCGTTAAGTGCCTGGCACCAGATGTTGTCTTTTTCCGGGCTCGCCTCTCGGCATGCCATCATCGGCCCAGGTGAAGCAGGAACCCAACCCAGTGCATGCAAGTTTGACTTCTGGACCCCAAAAAGAAGCAATTATAGAAGCTTGGGGCTTGTGACGGCCCCGGCTGGGAGGGGGCTAGAGAGCTTGGATCGCCCGCCACCCCAGGTTTTGACTAGACGGCGATGGAAGAACCAAGGCTGACACTTGCAGTTCTAGGGTATGCCATTTAGAAGTTCGACTGAGCGTGAGTTGAGCGCTTTTGTACCACCCAGTAATGCTCAGTGGCAATGCAAGATGGTTGGCCTTTGAGGGTAAAGGCTATGATTTGAGCACAGTAGTATGAGGCTTGAGATGAAATTGGGCAAATGGGATGATGGGAGCGTTGGATACGGTGGAAATGCAAACGAGATGGAGGGATGGATGGTTGAAGATGTGTGTTGGCTGTTATCACAGTGAGCAGTTCGCCTAATAACCAAGCGCTCGGTGCCAAACCCCGGCCGACATCGGGCTAGCGAGGACGTCTTGTCTTGTCTTGACCTTAACTGACCCTATGCAGTAGCTGGGGCAGTGGTGTTTGGCTATAACCACTCTTGACTCTGGGGGTTGCATGCTAGACCGTCCGACAAGTTTGAATTTGCACTTGGGCCACAAGCTCGTCGTCATCATCGCCGTCAAACTTGTTGTGATGATTTCCCAACGCTCAAGTCGCCATCTTAAGCGAAGGTTTTCGGTTGGTTCGCCGAAAAGTTTGGTGGTCAAAGGGACGTTGGTATCGGCCATTCGAAGCTTTCGTTGGTTGTTTGCTCGGCCACCCTCCTCCGAGCCCACGCTACGACCGCCTCTTGCTCTGCGTCTGGCCCGCTTACACTAGTAATATGTTCGCTTCGCCTCGCCTTGCAGTCACCCTTGGCATTGTTATCGCTGATCCGTTTAGGGGTAAAGTCAAGGACAATCGAGCGGGCGTCGTGTTTACGTTCTTGCCCATGGTGGGTGTGGATATGTTGATCTTGATCGGACGGGCAGTATCAGTCCAATCGAATACACATTCAATGAGCTGAGACGAAGCAAAGTCTGGTGTAAAACCAACAGAGAACGGGCGTCGTTGGCTGTTGTTTGTCTCTCGCCCTCAGCTACTAAAGCGTGCTGCAGGCATAGAAAGCCATCCGGATAGACTTACAAAATGCAAAGTATTCAGTTCGAAGATTAGCAACGCGCTGGGAGACTCATCAATGACAACGAGTGCAAAAGCGGTATAGAAGACGAGGCGGGCAATTCTTGGGCAAGAGAGAAGCATAGGCCATTGATTAGCGGGTATGGAAGTGGAACCAGCCCAGGGTGGTGGAGGAGATTTAGCAGACAATTAATGTCGGTACCTGAGTGACTCTGGATTCGGACTAGTGGCTGCATCCAATCTACTTTATGCAATGCAACAGGATGACCCACATTGCACAGAGAACAGGGACCTCGAACCAGACCATGCCCACCTCTTGCCATGTACTCAGAGCTCTTGATAGGTTTGCCGTCTCGCTCGCTTCCCTTGGCTTCTTTGTACTTAAACATAGCCTAGTACCAAGCAAGGCAAGACCTGCCGCAAACTTTCATAAGAGCCTGGGCTGCCTGGGTCTCTCTGGAGTTTTCCCTCCAGAGGTGTGGTCCGTGCAGTGACGGCATCCACTACGGCTGCAATCAACTACAGAGAGACAAAGGCAAAAAGAGAGCAGCCTTTCCCCTTTTCCTCTTCTGATTGGCCTTCCTTCAGGGCTAGCATGCGTAGGCATCCGTGCCTCCTGCGCTGTTGTTCAATCAAGAACAGAGGTTCGGATGCGCCAGCACCCAAAACAAGACGATATGGATACACTGAGGGAAAGAGAGTGAGTGCCATGCTCTCATTTTGCCAAGCAAACTTTCTAGGAGGGTTCGCTGCCGGCGCGGCTCCCTGCTCCACTCACAGTGGCTAGTACGTATCTTTTCTACTTCGCCAATGGTGTTGCTTCTTTATCTGCCCAGGCGGACCGTAAAATGGTAAATGATCAATGGTGGATGTATTATGTACTGTGCTTCCTTCCCATATTGGTTCGGATACAAAGTAAAGTACGGATATTTGCGCTCCCCGAGATGTTTGCCTTTGGGGGCTTTTCCTATATGGACCCCTCCATTTCGCGTAGCCGGGCATCCTTCACTGGCGAGGTTCGGCCAAAATGAACCTGAAATGTATGTATTTGCTTCAGTTGCAGCAGAGCTAGCAATGCGTCGCGTCATAAGACAAGGTGAAGGTGTCACGGAAAGAAAGTCAATATGTTTTCTGTTGCGCCTGTGCGCTTTTTAAGCAAGGCGGAAGGTGCCTTTCATTGCCGGGCACGACAAAAAAATCGAGGCGCGAGTGTCGTGGTTACCTGTGTCTGTGTCCGTAGCTGCATCGTCATCTGTAAGATCGTTGCCAGTTTGGCATATTTCAATGGCGAAATAAGCACCCTGAGCCCTCGTTGCCCTTTACTAAAGATAATTTAGGGATCTTCAGATGCAGGAAAACAGGTAGACAGTGATGGGCCTTACGACTTGAGCAACTTTAGCCCCGCTCTCTACCTTTGACATGCAGCGAGACGAGGCATGACAGCGCAGGACCCTGTCTTTCGTCACCAAAGGTGAGCCCATACAAGCGCCTTCTTTGCGGCTCCTCTTCCAAGTATGGAAGCAAATCCACCTGAGACAAGTTGTGTTGACTATCGGGGGAGCCTGTATAAGTGATCAAGCCATACCATCTAGACTCGTTCTGAATCTTATCGTACCAACAGACGAGATGCGGGCGCTTTGATCTACTCCCCTCCCCACCTTAACACCGAACGGCGATAGAAGCGTTGACGTATCGTGTGCAGAATTTCAGATCCTGACGCGAGATCGCTTATGTGATCACACGCTTAGGAAAGTAAGGCAAAAACTGTCTCTGCATTTTCATAACCCCTCCTACCACCCCAGGAGTTAGCAATGCGTAGGAGGGCGCAAGAGACGGGATGAGAGGGGGAGAGCAAGACCAACGTTCCGCTCGAAGGATTCTTTTGCCCGGGCCAATTTTCTAAAGGTTAAAAAGAAAAGGAATAAAAAGTAACATCGTAAGGTGGGTGGAAACGGGTAAAATTCAAAACCAACTGAAAGAACGACGGCTAGAAAGCAAAAAAGAGATGCCCAGAAAAAATCAATCGAGAAGTGACGATTATTGTCTATAGCGGCAACAGGCGACTAAAACGGATTGAGAGAGTTGCAATCGGCCCTGGCCCTGGTCCCCAAACCCGTCCTTCTCCGGAGAGAGCCCCCTTCTGTTGTACCTACCACTACATGTGAGTACCTCAAAGTGGATAAACGAAAAGGTACGTACCCTGTGTGTTAATTTCGTGACGACTTGTACCTGACGTTCCTGGCACTTGCCCCGGGGTTTTTCTCAGTTTCTCCCCGTCCGCACGCACATCTGGTTCCAGAATCCACTCTTTCCCACCAGCCATGCCACCGCCAGAGCCATGGCGAAATAAAATAACACAGGCTAGGCCCCACCTCCAAGCTATTTCTTCCCGTCGCCTGCACCCGGTCCGACCTCACTTTCAGTCAGCTCGCCGCATCCACTCTGTCGACAGACGAACCACCTCACCTTGCCCAACCTCTTTTTTTGCACCAGCGCACCCTCAGACCTCAGCCTGCCACTGCCTACCATTAACTACACTTCCGACGCTGAAAACTCCACACCAAACGCACTGCTCAGTCTTCGGCTGGGCCTCTTTGCTGCCACCAATCCATCTGGGATTACGACTAAAAAGTACCTGATCGTTCCTCACAGGACCATTAACCACTATTTTTGTCATCTCTAGTACTTGTACCCCTTTTTTCATTTCCCTTTCTTTGCTGGGCTTTGTAATTTTTATTTTATTTTATTTTATTTTTTTGTTACTATTGTTATCATTTAAACTTTGAACTGGCTACACCACGGATGTTACGCCGCATTACCCGCACCAACATCACTGGCACCCTACCTCTTTCGGGCTAATTCGAGGTACCTTCACTACCTGCCGTGTACCACACTTGGCCCGACTTGACTCTGTTTCGTTGTGCGACTAGCTGGCCCGTAGCTACGTGGGCCACAAGAGACTGCAAACCCTTGCCGGCTGGCCAGCGCCGACTCGGTTCAGTTCTCCTTCGAGGAACGCAGCGCAATTCTGTCAGCTAGAAAGGCAGCCACAGCCTAGTCCAGCCCAGGCCATATAGGCCGACCTGATCGTCTTCGTTTCCATCTTGGTTAGCCCGTACACGTCGCACCGCCTGTACAGAGGGGGAAGAAGAAAAGAAAGAAAGAAAGGTTACGAAGGAGAAGAGAGTAAAAGAAAAAGAGACAGAACCGGGAGAAACAGGCCAGGAAAAGAGCCGATATTTGGCGATATTTGGGAGTTTTCTGACGTTGTCTATGTTTTGTTACTGGGTAAGTCGATCCAGAGTCCACCCTCTGCCCCTTTTGGGTTGTTCCCCCCCGTACTTGGCCTCGTCTCGTCATATCCTTGGGACAAAGAACTGGGGACGCCGAGGCGGGCTCTCTGTTCGCTGCCGTCGTTGGGTTTCTGTCTGATTACGCTGGTCATTCGCCATTTCAGCTCCTTTTCCGCTTCATACCCTTGCCTTTCTAGTTTTGCGTTCGTCGTCCAGCAAACAGACCGAACACATCTTCATCGTCGCAGTCAATCACGCTCAGTCCACCACACAGCTCTCTTCCTCCCATTCTTTGCAATACTAGTTGCCGCTGTACCGATTGTTATCGTTCCACACACTTCCATGCAGCTATAGCAACTTTATCTGACCTCGACACAAGGGCTCACTACCTCCCCCACCTTCTTTCTCTTCTTACAATTTGCCTCAGCACCTAAGCAAGCGGCCCTTCACTAGCAGCCAGGCATTAGTAGCTGTCCTCAACTCTAACCTGCCGACTTCTTACTGCTTACTGCTTGCTGTGTAGCCTTTCATCACCCTCCCACCCTGTCTGTACCTGCTTAAGGGTCGACCGATTACTGTAGGCTTCCCCACCATAGAGCATCCGCGGCAAGAACAGGTCCATACCAGGCCATTGTCTTCCCCTGGTCACCTTAGACCACTACCCGAATCCTAGTCTGGTCCAGGTTCAAGGGCCTGGGGTTCCAGCAAGCGCAGCCAAGAGAAAGAGAGAGGGAAAAAAATCGACTCCTCAGAGGAAGAGAGAAAGAGGTCCTTGACTGAGAGAGGGAAAGAAGGACCCACCACGTTCGCTCGACACGGCGTCCGCCCCGGCCCTTGGTTTCCCCCCTCTGGTCTTGGTCCCCCCTTCCTTCCCTGCGCTGCCCTGTCCCTTCCTTGTCTTATCCTGTCCCGTGCTCCCCATTCTTTCTTCCACCCTCGGCCAACCAACCAATCCATTCAGCTAAGCCAACCAGCCTGTACCTCCAGTCCTACCCTGCAGCGGACCTTTCTTTCTCCAAACTACCCATCTCTACTCTTCCTGCTCCCTCCTGTTCCTGTTCCTCACTACTCTCTCTTGCCCTGCCCTGTCCTGTCCACCCGACTACTGGGTTTTCTGCATAAGGGCCCTCCAGCAGGTACCACCAAATAGCCCATTCACTCGCAGACACACCAGGTACCTACGGCTCCCGTCTGCCTCTTAATTCAACACCCCCCAGCCGGCCATCATTTCCTTTCGACCCTGCTGTTTTACTGGCCCGCGCAAAGCAACCCCCCTGGAGCTTGCATTCCCCTTCCACCTGCAACTGGACAACCACCACACACCTCTCTTTCCTCCCTCTCCACCGACTCCCGTTCAATTTCAATTCAAACCCTCAACCCTCATCCAACGACAGTCGACTGACACCATCTCCTCCTTTCCGACCCGTCCGTCCTCCTCGCCCACCACCACCACCACCACCACCATCATCACCGCCGCCGCTCATCACCCTCGCCTCTCCTCCCATCAGCAGCCGCCTCTCTCTCCGCCATCCCATTGATCGAGGCCACTAGTCCACGACGATGAACTCTCAAGGCCCCAACGATGTGTCGCCCGAGGCGATGCAGGCGCGCATCCAGCAAGCGCGACGCGAGGCTGAGACACTCAAGGATAGGATCAAGCGGAAGAAGGATGAGCTCGCCGACACTACTCGTGAGTACATCATTCATCAATCGATGTCTAGTCGCCGTTGATGGCTTTTCAACTGCTCCCCGATGAACTTTGATGATGCTGACAGTCAATCTCTGCCACAGTCCGCACTGTCGCCCAACAGGCACACGAGCCGATTCCCAAGAACCAGCTGATGAAGGCCAAGCGCACGCTTAAGGGACATTTGGCCAAGATTTACGCCATGCACTGGTCGACTGATAGGAGACATCTGGTCTCCGCCTCGCAGGACGGCAAGCTCATCATTTGGGATGCCTACACCACGAACAAGGTCCACGCGATTCCTCTACGATCATCCTGGGTCATGACCTGCGCCTACGCCCCCAGCGGTAACTACGTGGCTTGCGGTGGCCTCGACAACATTTGCTCCATCTACAACCTCAACCAACAGAGGGAGGGCCCTACCCGCGTCGCAAGAGAACTGTCTGGCCATGCGGGCTATTTGTCGTGCTGTCGATTTATCAACGACCGGAGCATCCTCACCTCTTCTGGTGACATGACTTGCATGAAGTGGGATATCGAAACAGGCCAAAAGGTCATCGAGTTTGCCGACCATCTCGGCGATGTCATGAGTATCAGCCTTAATCCGACCAACTCCAACACATTCATTTCTGGCGCCTGCGATGCCTTCGCCAAGCTATGGGACATCCGTGCCGGCAAGGCTGTGCAAACATTTGCTGGTCACGAATCTGACATTAACGCCATCCAATTTTTCCCCGACGGTCACTCTTTCGTCACCGGTTCAGACGATGCAACTTGCCGACTCTTTGACATTCGTGCAGACCGAGAATTGAACCTCTATGGGGTAAGTGCGATGGAAATCAACGTATCGCAAAGATGTCACAACTCGCTAACCTTGACCGCCCAGTCGGAATCTATTCTTTGTGGCATCACCTCTGTGGCTACCTCAGTCTCTGGACGGTTATTGTTCGCCGGTTACGATGACTTCGAGTGCAAGGTATGTTTATTATCTCCAGCCGCGGCACCGAGTCGGACTAATAACTAATTCTCTCAGGTTTGGGACGTAACGCGCGGAGAAAAGGTTGGCTCACTCGTCGGCCACGAGAACAGAGTCAGTTGCTTGGGTGTGAGCAACGACGGCATCAGCTTGTGCACAGGTTCCTGGGATTCTCTTGTAAGTTACATGTTCCCAAGATCAATCCCGAAGTATGTGAAGTTATTAACTCTCTTCGACAGCTGAAAATCTGGGCATACTAAACCACCAACCCGACCCCGACAACGACGAAGTCCTGTCTGGATGTACCGGTTCCAGTACGCGCGAAACCATTTTAATCTTCTGTCGAGTGGTTATATGGCCAACTTAATTTTCGAAACCCTGATGCCGCCTTTTTCTAATCCGCAAGTACTGGCGCATACAGGACGAAGTCACGAAACACCTGCTCATACCAAAGCTCACTTTTCATCGTCTACCAAATCCAGCTGGAGCCGCCCGTTTACCGGCACGGGTGGCTGTAGGAACTATACAGGGTCTCTTTTTCTTTGCCATGCGCTAGCCATCACCCTCCACGTCCACGGTTCCTTTGCACCATAGTTTTTTTTTTTTTTTTTTTTTTGTCTCATTCTAGCACCTGATTGTTAGATTGGGCGGTTGTAACACACTGTCGGTTTTTCCACATGTGGCCTTTCCCGAGTCATGTATGCTTCACATCTCCCGCAACGTCTGCTACCGGATCCCGATACGTCAGGATCGCCAGGGAGGGAATGGAATCGAGGCATTTTGATACCCCCACCAAAATCCAACCCTACACGCATAGACAAGCAGAGCACACGATTCCGACACCGAACCTACCTCTCACACGACGGCTCTAAGCGGACAAGCCTGCACCTTTGCAACAGGAGTTTCCTATATCATTAAAACGGATTTCCCCAAATCCGATAATCTCATTGCCGCCATTTCATCCTCGTCCAAAAATACGCGCCGTATTCTTCGATTCCGTATTTCTTTTTTCTCGATTTTCCAGTGATGGTCTGTTAGACGAAAGCGCCACTTGTCTCCGCCCCGCCATAGGAAGCCGAATTTTAGGAGATATAAACTTAAGTTGTCTCGTTGAGAGGATGGAGAACAGAAAACAAAGCTGGAGGGGAAAGCCGGGTGGTTTGTTTTGGTGGCGAGTTGTCATTTCCTTATACACGTGGGAGGGGAAGGGAATTGATGTCGTGCGGCAACAGATATCAATCCCTCTGGGGCTTCCCTGCCCGGGGGCTTGCTTGTTCATCTTGGATGGGAAAGATGGAGGAGGCGATTGAAAATGGAGAAGAGAGATGGCAGCCGCCGATGGAACGAGAAATGCGTGGATGGTGGATGGAAGTGATGAAGATGTTTTTCTTGCGTGGACGCCCCCCTCAAGCCTTCCCTCTCATACCTACTTACTGCCTGTACTATAGTTCGCGCTCAATGCCCGTTCATCCTCTGTTCAAGCCTGTTGTTGGCTAAACGTTGCGCGTGAAACGATACTCATGAATGTCTAGGCCGAGTCCCTCTGAATAGCTAACTGGTGACACCTCATGACAAAGGTAACAACCACGACCGCAATTACTCAAGCAGGATAGAAGAAACCGAAAGAGGTCCACATGATCATCACTAGATATGGTGCGAGACGGGGCGCTTGGTCGCAGTTCCATGCTGGATGGCTTGGCTCGACAAAAGAAAACCATGTAGCATACTATCCAGGTCGACAGAGCGTTGAGCGGCAAGACGATCGCCCTGCCAAACAACACCACCAACTTGAAGATTCGACCCTCGGCAGAACATAAGCTAATCCGACAGCTGATGGCATGCGCCCTCACAACGTGCTCGGCTTACGCGAGAACTCCGATTCAGAGGCCGGCGCAACAATGAAGGAGCAGATAGAGATAGTGAGGTCGAAAAAAGTGTCGAAGTGTTGCTCGACGAGTGTCCCAAAATTTGAGGGGTGTCCCGAGGTTCGCGGGTTATGCGCCTAAGGTGGGATTTGGCAGCGATATGCAGGAGGTAATGAGGTTCAATTCATCCATGCGCTTCTTGGACTTGACTAGTAACGACTGAAATAATCAAAATAGGGTTGTCATGGAAGGGAAACAGCACTTTGATGTGGAGGCGAGGAAAGCATCTGGCAGTTCCGAGCCGTGCGCGGCCTCCTCCGTGGTGAGGGTGCAGTGACGACAAGGCCGCAGAGAATAAGAGGGCGGAAAAAGAGGAGAAAGAAGCCAAAAGGGTGAGGGCGACACCAAAAAGAAAACTTGTTTCTAGTCCTTGTACCGCGTATAAGTGTGTGCGGTGCATGTGTACGGACTGTGTTATGTTGGATGAGAGAGGGTGGGTGAACGGGCCATGGCGTGAGGTTCGTCTTTTCCCATCGCACCCGTTACCACGTGAAGCCACGCGAGGCCACGTTCGCCATGTGAAGAACACGCCATCTTGGAGTTTCACATCTGTCGCTGTCCCGTTCGTCTGCGGAGGGGCCTCCTCTTTGCTTCGGTTTTCCCTGGCGGTTATGCTGGGAAGAGGACGAGGGATGGAGGCCTAATATGGGCTGGGGAAAGGAGGGGAGGGAGGGCCATGGAGGGATGGACAGACAGGGGCCTTGACTCAGAGAGTGATTGGGTCGGGAATCTCATCTGGCTCCTGCTTTCTGTGTATAAATTGTGACTGCTTTTAGCAATGATGGGTTTGTATAAAACGATTCTCGAAGATGTCTTAGATCGAACTAGAGAAGTTTACCCCAAGGCACAGCCGACGACGGCGACGGGTCAAATTAGTATGAGCTGCCGATGGTCAATCCTAATAGTTCAACGGATGGAAGGTAGGCCGGTCGGTTGATCGGAGAATTAAACTGTGGTGCTGCAGCTTGTTTTTCTAGGCTGAGTGCATTGCTAAATTACACAGCTTGATGGGAAGTTTGAGAATGGTCTAAAATGGCATGGGGAGCCACGGGAGCATATTGTGTGGCTAACAACACGGCACAGGTTTGGGTTCTGGATGTGAAAGCTTGATGCAGCCAGACACAAGGATCCCAGTGGCCACGTCGCTCCGCTTGTCTGAGGTGCTACACAACGTGCTGTTCGCCGAGTCGGTATTGACTATTCTTACATTGTATTCTTTAGAGCTGCGATGTCTACCCTGAATCCGGTTGGAGCGCATGCCGCATGACGGGCGGGGAGGTACAGAAACGTGCTTGACAGAAGTATAGTAAACAACAACGAGGCCAGGCGCACGTGGGACATGGAGATGAGAGCAGGAACCCATTGACTCTCTACATTGTGAATGGGCTGGGGCGGAGAGAGGGCATGCTGGCCCATCGAGCCATGATATATATATACTCCGCGGTTGGGCTGCAACTTGCTGGAGCAGCAGCAGCTGCTGCTGCTGCTGCTGCATAACGCCGGCATACTTCACGTAATGATAAGACGTAGTTTTGTGTGGAAGTTCAAACGAGCACACTCAGAAGTGGTTTTAGTCAAGGGTACAGGCCCGCCTGACCATATGATGCCACTATCGAGATCAGATGAAGGGGCATCTTGTTGAACGAGACTGATCGATCAGTCAAACTGCGATACAAAGAAGGGCACCAGAGAAATGAAGTAACCCGTAATCTAGTTCCAAGATGGTGTATTCTGACACCGTGGCTTGGACTGCCTTTCATTGTCCTGTCTGAAAGGTTTCGTTTCTGTAATCGCTGAGTGGGCTGATGAGAATGAAACCAAGTCATGAAACATTGGATTCTGCGGCACATAAGGTAGTCTGTTGTTGTTTACACTAACTCTTTCATGACATGACGACCAATGCCTCGTTGAGTTTGGCTTTGAATTCAAAAAACTTATCGCCAATGAAGAGGTCCTTACTTGGACATGTAAAACGCGACTCTAGAAAAACTGGCGGAGGTGTGTTGCCAGCGAGTCGTGCCTCTTGGCGTGGTTGAACTCTTGGGACGATGAGTCAGATCTACTGCAAAAAAGGAGAGGCGCAATATAAATGACGTACTACTTAGCAATGGGCGTGTCCACCGACAGTATGGAGGCATGAAACGGCGTATCCGGAGGTGGAGAAGGTGACTCGTGTTGACGAGGTCTGGGAAGCTGAATGATAATGTTTGCTCATGCGAGTCCGAGAGACGCTGGTGCGAGACAGACCAGTATGAACAGTGGCCAAGAGTTGGGAACATGTTGCACCAGAATCATCAGCACAAGACACTGAAAGACCATCAATGATGCACAATTACGTCCACAGGCGTGTGTGCTAAAGAAAGAAGCTGGGGTGCTGTTGCAAAGACAGGCGCTGTGATGTAACAGCAAGTGTTGGAGTCATCAGAACTTCGACTTAAATCTGCAGTGACCGATAGAGGCAGCACTGATTTACACTAGACCTAGTCACTTTGTGCCGACGCCACAGATACATCATGGACCGGTTGTCTAGGGATGGTCCCATTCATGTTTGCCCGCATTGACGAAGCACCGACAAGGGCGGTCACACGACGCTGGAGCCAGGTTTCCGAAAGCGACAACTGAGCTAGCCACGAGGCAAACACTGACTTTCGGACGACCAAACGGGGCTGCTCATGATAATAAGCGTATGTCATTGTCAGAGACTACTGGAGCTGATGATGAGACTGCCGTGCTATGTTTCGGGGTCATGATAGTGGCTAATGGGGTGGCGAAAGATCGATGGTGCTGTCATGTGTTAAGATGTCGGGTATCATGATTTAGAAGTGGAAGGAGCAGATGAAGTATCTCGTCAGTGTGCCGCGAAGGCTGCGGCTGAAGCAATACGCGACCTGTGGTACAGCAATGAAGAGATCCGTGCTCGTTGGAAGCATCTTGCACCTTCAGACGATGTTTATGTATAGAAGGGTTCCAATAGCAACAGCCGGTCTCATCTAGCTGTCTGCATGTTCTGGAGTCAAAACAGTCATCTGGTCAGAAAAAGCTATCAACACGTTGGTGCTCTGAGGCTACGATGATGCGTGGAATGTTCGATGCAGGTGTGACAAGAGGCTGAGATGGGCAAGCGGAGTCCGAGACGCGGATTCTCAACTTTTGAGATGGCATAGTCTGGACTTGCAACGACCTCTCACACATACAATGCTTTGGCTCTGTGCATCAGGTGGAGGTCGAGCAGATGGTCGACCCTAGGGCAGGCATGAATCGTTGACCATGATCCATCCCTACAGCACTATGTAGTAAAATTTCGTGGGGAAAAGCTAGTGGGTGGTAGGACGTAGGGATACGTAGGCACATCTGGAATGAGGACGTCACCGACTGGTGAACAGCCACAGTTACGTCCCCGGCAAACAATAGTCCTGGATTTATTGTTGTTGCCAAAAGGGGATCGGATCCATCGACAACGATGCAGGGCCCTCCCGCACTGATCTGGCCCATGGTAATGAACGGACGCAAGGGGGGCCAGACGCTTGATGGGTCACCTACCAAATATGGATGCTGAGCCGGTCTAGAAATGCAAGAGATGCAAGAGCAAATGCAAATTGATTATTCTGTTTACAGATGGGGTCCAGGTATTGAGGGTAGGCAAGCAAGGCATGGACGGAGCGGAAACGCGGCAGGAGAAAGAGAGAATGTCACGAGACTAGGGGTTCTCGAGCTTCTCGACAAGAAGCGCTGTGTATCCAAAACAACTGCCAGTTGAGAGAAAAGACCAAAACACAATGGGCAAAAGAAGATGACGTTATACCAGACCCCTAAACAAAAACATCCGGCCAAACATACAGACAAACACAACGGTTGAGTTTTGGTCGAATTATTCAGCTGTGTATTATTGTGTTGGAACCAGAAAACATACATACACACATGGCCAACATTGTCTGGAGTAGCTACCCCAAAAGAAAGAAGCAAAGAAGAGGCTCAGCAAGCAACGTCAGCCAACCTGCAGAATGCATCGCTTATCTGCAAGGTCCCGACGGTAACTGTCCCCTGTAGCCGACAGCGTTGATTGGAGGAAGCAACTGCTAGGAGAGTGGGAGGATTGAGGATGGGAGGAAATACTAGTAGAGAGAAAACAAGGGGAAATGAACAAGTGATTGAAGATTGGCAGAGAGACCAGCAAATTGATGCCTTAGCCCCCGATAACTAAGACAAGCCCTTGAGCCACTCGAGCGGGGGATAAAAGAGCCAAGTGCTAGCCAAGGTCAAGAAGGAGAGCGCGTGATACTTTCTGTGTTACTCTACAGTTGGCTGTTACTGGTGCCAGGTACTACTGCCTGTGTCACTCCTGCATGTTCTGTGCCGACCGCACAAGCAGCTGGAAGCATCTGATTTCAAACTAGGATATTGCATTTGACGCTAGGCAGGTGCGTTCTCCTTTCGGCTTCACCAGCTTCATTAGCCAAGGTTTATGAACAGACGCGTCGCATGGCTGAAGGGCGGTTTGTTTAAATTACTCCTGGCCAGTGAGAGAGGCAATGCAAAATAAGTTCGAACCAACAACGCCTTACTCCGTGATCCGTACTTTGGGTAATGAGAACTACCGTCATTACCGCCCGTTGCTACATCATGTTCCCTGTCCTTGGCCCGGACATTTTTCATCCTCAATTTCATCTTTCCTCCAGAATCCCATTACCTCCTCCTATCCCTCGTGCGTGACGATAATCATGGTCGGATGCATGTCTGGTTCGGCATGTTATGTCTTAGCCTTTGCTTTCTGACCGTCTCCTGGTGAATGCAGAAAACATTCTGTATTATTTAAACCTGGTAAAAAAAAAAAAAAATCGCCCGGTCTCGCCGTTGCGGTTCACGTTCCAGCACCTGGCACAGCATTTACAATTACGCCCGCAAACGAGCATCAGCACCAGACATCCTCGTCTTAACAACACGGACTAGTTGTCCGTTCCATGACCAGATCTCACGCATAACCGCTGTTTTTCTTCTTTTAAATTTATCCTTCACCGGTGAATCATCCACTGTGCCCTATTCACAGCCCAGTCTCCGTCCGCGACTACACGCCTCCACCGCTTCTGAAACAGCCTGACGCACCCCAGGGGCTTCACCCTCGACCCTCGACCCTCGACCCTTTGCTCTCGGCCCCGCCTTCGACGCATCCATCGCGCCTTCCTGCTCTGCCCACTACAGCCCGGTTTTTCACCGTATCGTGGCCACTGCAAGGGTTGGCCCCTGGTTCGTCTCCACTGCTTCGAGAATCCCCATCGAAGGACCATCATCCTTCCGGCCCATCTCTTTTCACCAAGCCAGAGTCACACCCCTCCGAAACCGAACCCGTAACTCGGTACCCGTCCTGTCCTTGTTCTGACCTGCTTGCCCTTTAGCCGCCCTGACAGAACGACCGGGCACACCCTTCCAAACTCCAAGTTCGCACGATTGGCATTTCACTGCTACCTACCTGCTTGCTTGCTCGCCTGCTTGTTTACTCCCTTTTTTGACGACACCCCCTTTCGCCTACTACCCTCTGACCACACATCTGCCCGCTCGTCCGTCCGTCGTCGTCCCATACATAAACAGACCTCCCTCCCCCGGCCGCGCCTATCACAGTTCATCATGTCGAATCCTACCCCAGCCCAAGAAGAATTCAACGCCCTGCTCGCAGCTCAGTCTCGCGACAACAGCAGAGTACACCCAGAGGATCGGGACTACGACCGCCGCGAGCAAGACAGTCTCGACCTTGACGAAGAAGACATCTACCGAAACTCACAAATCGACGCCGCCATGCGCATCCCAACACTAGGCCACACCGGCTCTGACTTGAAGCTGCCCCCCGCCAGCTTTGATGCCGGCCGTACGACTGGCGTCAAGGGTGTCATCGCCGATGCCCGCAACTACGAGAATGCTCGCAAGACCTCTTTCATAAGCCGAGCCCGCACTACCGTGCGCCGCTCTATCTTTGGCATTGAGGGCCTCTCACAGCCCCAGCAGTCACGCAAGAGCGAGAGCGAAACGGATGATGGCAACAACAGTGACTCACAAGACGAAGAGTCCTTCCTGGCACAATGGCGTGAGAGCCGACGAAGGGAGCTGGAGAGTGAATCCAACAAGGTTATCCGGAACCGGAGAACAAGTCCAAGTGTCCGCATCTACGGTCGTCTGGATAAGGTTGACGCTCTGGGCTACCTCGACGCCATTGAGAAGGTTGCGCGGGATACTGTCGTTGTTGTTTTCGTCTATGATCCCGAGGTGAGTTCCCAGACGCCCAGTTATCAGGCGTGAAATACTAACCGTCTGTGCAGTGTGATGTATCGGCAACGATAGAAGCTGCCATGATGCCGCTTGTCTCCCACCATGCAACAGTCCACTTTGTCAAGGTACATTACCTCGACATCGAGTTCGATAACGCCGCTGTCCCCTCCATCCTGGCATACCGCAACCAGGGTGACATGTTCGCCAACCTAACAGGAATCATTGAAATGATTCCCGACGACGAGGCGTTCGGCACTGACACCTTGACGCGGTTGTTCGAAAAGCACAGTATCCTATGATGCTCTGGGTCTGTTGGTCGCGTGTAACTGCGCACATAGTGAAGCAACATAAACGCAAGCAACAAAAATCTTCATGTCTTCTCTCTGTTACGATACCCCTATTTTGCAGCGCGTATCAATTTCGCGAGCATCACGTTCCCCTTCTTATTTTGTCCTTTTTATGTCTTCTTGGGTGGTTTTCTCTGCACTACTTGATTTTGGTGGGAGAATAACGGAGTTTCTTCAGGGACGATCTGGCCATGTTGTTGATGACAGAGTATGCTCTTCACGTTCTAATATCTATGGCAGAGGAAAGGTTCATGGGCAATTTACCCTGCGAAGATTGCCTCGGTTGGGACTAGGGGGTTTCTGGGAAGAAACACACAAAAGGACATGCATCGATTGCCACGTTAGAGCATTGCACGTTTGGATTAGAAAGAGTATTCTGTGTAGAACACAATTCCTCAACGGACTTACTTCAGTTCTGTGCTGCGGTTCTTGGTCTTGACACATCTGCCTGATGTTACATATGGTGGTTCGCATCTTCTCAATCCGACGATGTCTACTACATCACTTTACTTTCAGTGACCTTAGAGGGAACGTCAACAGGTAAATAATACCATGCGCAAGTTTGTTACTAAAAGACATTACTCAGTTGCTCCTCGCTGACTCGGCATCTACGGGACTAGGCTAGTCCGATTTGCTCTCATTCAAAGATGTAATTTGCTTGGGTTTGCAAGGACCAGGAACTCGATTTTTTTGCTTCCTTTTTGGCAATATGTTTAACCCAAAGTTGGGGAATGGAGATGAGCGCATGTGTGTCTGTAGAATTATCCCCCCCCCCCATCTCTCTCTCTCTCTCTATTTTCAAGAGGATGAAAATTGTCTGTGTGATCTCCTTGCAACACGACTAAGGTGGGGGGTCCAGTGTGTACGCACAGGTGTCTTACTACTTACGCACGTCACATCCAGATTACTCGTAACGCGAGGAGCAAGGAGGATGCTAGATCTCGGCTAGTGTTCCGGCCGGGGAGGGTCGCTAGATCCCGTCCTTTTTTCTGGTAAAAATCAGTCTCGGATCTCTCTGGTCCTACACCTCTAGTTTTGTTTTAAGAGTGTCCCTTGTCCCGACCTCCCTCCTCGTGATGTATCAAGGGAAAAAACTGTAAAAGGCGAAAAATAAAAAGCGCTTGACAGCACGAGACATGTCCTCCAACGACCTTCCTAGCTTTCGCGGCCACCTATTAATGTCATGTTGACCATTCACAAAGACGATCATTGGCATGATTTGTGTCTATACCACCGACACTCTAGATTATTCACCTTTCATTTGTTGAAAGATTTCATAGAATTCCATAGGATACAAGAAACGACGTTGTGACGATGCTGTATTTGACTTTATACATTGTTCTTGATTCATATTGTACCCACTATTGCACTAGACGAGGTTGAAGAACAGTCCACGTTCTCCATCGAAACCGTCACCAAGTGCAAGTGGCTATTGTGGTGGAAGAGCTCTAACACAGACCTTTCCCGATGGCTCGAATGTGCCAGTCTGACAGGCAAATTAAGAAAGGCTGAACAAGAGAATAGGGCACAGAATCTACAACTCAAGGGGCAGTCAAAATAAAAAATAAAAATCACACACCATGGCCATCTTACGAAGTCGTTACGGCAGCGGATGGTGTTTGAAAGTTGACCGTTGGGAGAGCCCCTTCCATGGTTAGATAATCTTCTACTGGAAGACAACATTAAATCTGTTTAAAAAAAAAAAAAAAGCCGCTACTTGATTAGGTGTCCAGAAATGTCAACTGCGAAATAGTAGGATGTAGAGCCGCCCGTCGTAAACATCTAGAAGGATTGCTCCTTTGTGCCTGGCTTTACTATTGATACGGGCTCCAGGTGTTGCCAACTGATTGTGTCCGGCTTTCCTTCAGTAAGAGACTGACAAGTAACAAAAAATAAATGGAACCCAAACGGAAAAAGTAAAGCTTGAGTAAAATGATCGAGAAGCTATCGGTCTATATTGCGAATCTTGGTGTTTGAACTGGTTTATTCTCAGGCTAAGGGAAATCAGAAAGACGCACCGCCACATATGGCGGACCAAGGCAAGCCACAAGCCACAGCAGTGGCCGCTAGTCTTTGTAAAGCCTAGACGTGTCCCGGCCGTCTTGGATAAACTTCAAAGAGAGACAAATGACGGCCCCAGTGAGACCTTTGAAAGTATTCGATCTGGGCGATGGAGCTGATACTTGTGAACCTTCTCTTCTGCTCATCTATCAAGCTCCGTCAAGATTGCGAGTGCCATCCCTAAATGTTCACAGCCTGGCCCTAGCACGTCTTGTAAGAGTCCCATCGTTTCTTACGTGGCGACCTGGTTGGTTGCTTACGACGGCCCGTGGTGACTGGCACTGTCTACATTGGATGACCTGAACTTTAGGTTGGTACCTTGCCTCAGGTTGAGGGGATGGATTTAGATTTTAAGGCTGGTCGGCCGGACTGCGATCTCTGGCATGACGAGCAAAATGTCGTGCTCTGCAATTTCTCAGGAGTAGAGAAATTACTTGAAAATGTATCTGAGCAGAAATTAAGCATACGGAGAAAGAAACAGATCAAGACCTATCTGGTGAATTGCTCTAGCCAAGACGTGATGTTGGGAGAGGGGCGGATCCCCCTCTGGTCACGATACCTCTCTGCCTTAGAGTGGTAAGGTAAGTTGGTGCTAACAGCGATCTCAGGCGGGGTGATGGTGGATAACCCCACCATCCCAGGCCGTACTGGTCCAGTTACTGTTGATTTCCCCTCCAAAGGCCCCTGTCATTTATCGATAAGAGGTGCAATGATGCTGATGGGCTGCAGTACAAGTGGGCGGCCCATTTGTCAGTGACATTCCGTACGAATATGAATGATGCATAGTTGCATCTTGCCAGCGTTGAATGTGTCCGCTTATGCCCTTCAAGGTGGAAATGGGCGGCATAAAATTGCGTCTTGACTTTAACCTGACAAACCCCGCCCCCACCACCTTAAGCACACGGCAGGCGGCTGGCGAAAAGTGCAAGACGGACTGATTTAAGGCAGCTACCGAGCCGAAAGTACCAAACGGTAAGCGTAGTTTGGTGACACTGGCCGGTTCATTATCTCACATCCCCTCGGGTCTAGGTTGGTAGGTAGGTAGGTTCTCTCATCTCGTCGCAATCGCCCGACCCTGCCCGTAGCCCGTGGTCGTAGTGCCTGCTTCCATTTGTCTCGCTGCCGCCCTACTGGCTGCCTTCTTGGTACTCAATGGTGCGCCCAGATGTCTCTCCATACATGCGTCTCCGCACCTTCCTTTCCATCCACCCACCTTCCCTCCGGCAGGAGCGTTCATATTCATACGAACTGTCAGCTTCCTTCATCCATCTGACTTCCCTCTTCTCTTCTTTTCCCCCTCCCTCTCTTCCATTTTACTTCCCTGCCGTAAGACTTCTCCTACCGGGCCCTTTCGCCAAAATCAAACCACTCTGGAAATCGCACGTCAACCAGGCACTGATCACATTCGAGACGCTTTGACGCCCTTAGGCCCAAACGTGAGAGGCGCCAGCAACTGCCCTGGTTAGTATCCTGTACCTTGCCTCTTATCTATGCTCCAACATCCTGACAGCGGCAGCCGCGTGACGTCTGAAAGTCACAGTCACCTCCGATACAGCGACCGCTGTCCCATCCTATCTCCCCACCCTGCCTAACTCACCTACTGGGCTGCCCAGCTAAGGTACCGACCAGCCTGCACTACGAACCCGTAAGGCAGCACACGCCGCGCCCCTCAATTTCTCGGTAAGGTGGGCAGGCAGCACCTGCCGCCGACGCCGACGACAGTTCATCGAGGAAATAACCTTCGACGACTTCCTGTCATCACGCATTACCCCTTTGCACCTTCCCAAAGGCTTCCCCGAGTTAGTTGTTCTCTATTTTCTTACGATCCTGGATCTCATACTCGTCGAGGTTCTCAGCTCTTCAAACTTTTGTCTTCTTCTTTCAAGCAAACACCCCCAACCTTTCTGCTGCGCCAGCCCGTCACTTGATAACCATCCGCATTACCCCTCCATCCTCTACCACCACAGCCCACCATTCACCACACTCTCCACCACGCATCGTCACCGACGTTCAGTTCTCGTTATTTCCACCGCCCGCTCGAATTTTCGAGGCATGACGGGATACCAGCAAGGCTGACTCTTTGCATCTTCGTTATGGAAGAGCAGCACAACGGCGATCCCATCCGAGACGTCGACGCCACTTCCGATCCGACAAGCTCCACCACCTTGTCATCCTCAGAACTGACCCTCCGCTTCCCTCGCCCCCAAGGCAACAAGCACTTGGCCAGCTGGATTTCTTCTAGCGAACCAGACATCATGGACCCTTCAAGTACGACCGAAGACGCTGGTGAGCTAGCTGAGTCCACCTACGAATTTATCAACACAGATGACGATATCGAAAGTCAAGATGACCGTGGCACTGAAGCTGAGGCTGAATCCTTAAGCTCTTTTGATTATGCCCGACCTGACGACGTCCATAGTCTAGACGGCATCGAGCGTACAGATGATACGGCAAGCCGCTCCGATATGGAATCGGACGACGATGACGCTGCCGAGGACAGGTCTAGAGCCTCTTCCATTCAATATGCCGAGGAGAGCCTTATGAACCCTTCCTCTCGGGTGGCCACTCCTCCTTTGGATGCTGATGGTGCTGGGCATGCCTCTTCCTACAGTAACAAGACCGCTCTGTTGCGCCAGCCCATCGAGTTTGACGAGACGGAAAACCCCATCTGTATCAAACAGGTCTCAGTCAAGCACGTCACACACCACTTCCCAGAACCAAACCCTCGACAAGTCGCCTACGTTTCCGTTCGCCAGACCATGGCTCCTTCATGCTTGGATACGAATGGCCCTTTTCGAGTTGTGTATGTAGGCAACCGTGGAGCCAAGGCCGATATCGAAGAAAAGATCCTATCAGCATTGGCTGCCTCTGAAAGACGGAGAGCCACTGAAGATGCCTCGCCCACATCGTCCTCTGTTTCTCTTGAGGTCGATCATTGCACTGCAGCCACGGAAACTGTTCATCAAAGAGAGCAGTTTCCGGGCGAGATTGTTTATTCCATAACCATAAATCACGACCGCACCTTCCAGTCAGCATTCGTTTCGAGTGGTTCACTTAACCAACCGTCGTGGAACCCCCCACACGTCGCTATCTTTAACGTTACTGACAATGACGATGAAACTTCTCGTAAGACTCGTGAGGCGGCTTGGGAGTTTATGCAACGGCACGCTGTGCCCTGCATCTTCATTTCCGACACGGAACTCTTCCAGAACCCAACGGAGAGCTGGAGCGACATGATTAACGAACATGCCTTACACCGATATGTAGAGTTTACCGATCAAGCTTGTCCTTCAGTGAGGCTGCCAATAGGCCTTGAGACCTTCAAGGAAATCGATGATCGTCAGATGAACCGCAACTTGGCATATCTGACTGGCCTGTGCAAGACTGTTGAGGAATACCAACCACATAGGTGCTCGAACGTTTACGCACAGTCAATGAAGGCGTTCCGTGATGTCCATCAGTTCACCGTTTCAACATTGGAGGACGTCGACCTCTGGACTCTTGCTCAAACCTTTGGCCTTTCTATAATCGTTGCTACAGCTCTTGTACTCAGCAACTGGTACATAGGAGGATCATCCGCATTGGTGCCAGCCGGGACAACTGCTCTGTTTTCATCTGCTCCTGTCGTATCCACCGCTACGGCGTCCGTTTCGACTTCGACTATCACGATCAACTTGACCTCAACAACGACAATCCGGGTGCCCCAGGCAAAAGCGTCTTCTAGCAACACTGCTGTAGCGCCATTTGCGGAGCTCGCAGATTTCATTGCAGACAGATTCCCCGAGTCTCAAAAGACTTACGTCTGCTCAGCAGAGAAGTACAGTCACAACGAAATTCTTGTCAAAATCCCCTCAGGCACAAAGATCACGTGGCTTGCGAAAGACTCAATCACCATCGATGTCCTCAAAGGCGACCAAGCTGTTAAGACTAAGTTCTCGTCGATTGATGAAGGCATACTTATTGAGATCCCGAGGAAGGAAGCCCACGGTGTTCTTACTATCGCCGTGAACACGACCAAAAAGCCCAAGGTCAACGAGACATTTTTGATTGACTTCGGCCAGACTGCTTTAGAGCAGTGTCTTGGCTACGGCAAGTCCATCGCGCATCAACTTGTCGACCTGGCCAACACTGCTGGTCAACAAGGAGCAGAGCAGATCGCTTCCCTGGGATCATGGAAGACCTCCATTACTGAAGACATGAGAGAAGTATCCGCCCGTCTCAGCAAAGACACTGAGAAGACCGTGAACTACATCAAGAATTGGTGGACGCCTGCCAAGCTGACTAAAGCTTTGCAAGATGTACGGCAGTCCCGTCAAGCGCAAGAGACCATGGAATGGGCCGACATGAAGCACAAGAGGGCTCAGATCCAGTCATGGCTCTTATGGCTAAGACTTACACGGCAGACGGAAAAGCATAATACATACCTGGAGAAGGCCCAGAAGTACCTGGCGAATAAGAAGTTAGCCGCCGAGAAGGCTAATAAGGAGCGTCTTGATCGCGAGAGACTGGAACAAAGAGCTCGCCGAAAGAGGGAGCGCCTGGAGGCTAGATGTCAGTCAGGTTTCTCTCGTTGGACACAGCAGTGCAAACAGCAAGGCTAGTCGACGCTGGAACGGCGGTTTAGGGACAGGGTACCGAACGGAATGGAGTTTAAGGAATGATTTTGATATTCACTGCCTCATATTAACATGCTCGATTCACTCGTAACTGATTAGCTTGTTATGGCTTTCTCCCCTTCACTTACCCCCAATATCCTTTCGAAATGCGTCCCAGGCGAGCAAGCAAGCGTCGGGTAGCTCGTAGTTGTACGCCTGGGAGGCGATTTAGCACTTACGGAATGGACCAAGTCAATAGAATACGAGCAGGCATCTGCAGACAAATTGCAATATGCGTGAAAGTGTCAAAGACGAGAAGTACGCTGTCGTCTAAACTCCGTCCAAGCATTGGTCGGCTGAAAGCTCGTGCCAGCAGCGAAGGGTCCGCTCAACCAGAGTATTTCAAAATGATGGGAGTAAGACGAGTATAAGAATTAGAGGACAACAACAACTGAAATGGTAACTAGTGCAGTAAGGCAAATTATTACAACCAATAGTGCGGATAAGGCCGGATGATGGCTAAGGTAATGTCGATGTTCTCCTGTCCGAATCAAGGACTCCCTGGTGGCGAAGAAAATGGGCTCGATGATTGGCCGCGCTCTTCCAGTTTTGGGCTTTGGCTCAGGTAAAACCCCACCAGGTTAACAGCGGTACAAGTACACCCCTATGTGATCTTGCTGAGAAGATACTTTCAGGCGAATGGATGGTAACTGCCTGGGCACCTAACAGCAAGGGCCTGGCCCGCCCGACACCCCTCTTGTTGTTGACTTTTGAATGAGGGGCTGTCTTCCCTCATTTTGTCCAGCCCACTCCCAACTTCACCTTACCACTGAGGAAACAAATTCATATTTTGCTTTCCACCTTTGCCCCCTTTTGCTTGCTGCAGAACATACCGCTACTAGCCCTGGTAAGTTTCATACTTTTAGTCTCATTCCCCTGCAGTTTACACTTTCCTCGGCTGGATGACGATCAATAAGGTGCTCTCCGTCCTGACTCAAGGAGGGGCAGATCGTTGATGGCGAAGATTTCATGAGCTAATGTTTTTTTTGTCTTTCGCCTCCAGAGCCAATACCGTCAACTTATCGATACCATCCTTCCACGAATACGACACAATGTCTGCTGCCGAAGCTACCGAGCCCAAGGTCGAGGAGACCAAGAACGAGGAGACCAAGCCCACCGAGGTACGACTCCCCATTGTCGCAAACACCGACTGTCGCCTGTCCCCTGCGAGGAGAGCCGAAGCTCACCGCTTTACACTGCTCGTGTGCGACACGCATAGTTCTCGTCCACCCTCACTTTTTTTTTACTTGCTGATACATATTTGGATGCTACGGATAGCTGACTCCTGCCTTTTAGACCGGTGACGCCGAGAAGCCTGTGACTTCCTCCTCCGTCTTCTCCATGTTTGGAGGTGGCGCCAAGAAGGAGAAGAAGGAGGAAGAGGACCGTGGTGACAACTCCGGCAGCGCTAAGGCTCAGCGCGATGCTGCCGCCGCCGAGAAGGGCGAGGTATGCAGCATTCTCCACTTCCGCCGTCTCTGGCAGCTGCGCATGAATTTTGGATACTGACTGATACCATTTCACAGGGTGAGGAGGAAGCTCCCGAGTCCGAGGATGTTCACTTTGAGCCCGTTATCAAGTTGACCGAGAAGGTTGAGACCCGCACCAACGAGGAGGCTGAGGAGCAGCTCTTCAAGATGCGCGCCAAGCTGTTCAAGTTCGTCAAGGAGACGACTGAGTGGAAGGAGCGTGGCACTGGTGATATCCGCATGCTGAAGCACAAGGAGAACGGCAAGACCCGTTTGGTCATGCGCCGTGATAAGACCCTCAAGGTCTGCGCCAACCACTACAGTATGTGATTCCTGCCTCATCCCTGCGCCAACAGCCACTAATCTCAGTAGTCGTCCCTGAGATGAAGCTTTCTCCCAACGTCGGCTCTGACCGCAGCTGGGTCTGGAACGCTGCCGCCGATGTCAGCGAGGGTGAGGCCGAGGCCGTTACCCTGGCCATCCGCTTCGCCAACTCTGAGAGTAAGTTGTTGCTTTCGCATACACCAGCCACCGCGCAGGAAGCTAACCAAAAAAAAACAGACGCCAACGCCTTCAAGGATGCCTTCCTTAAGGCTCAGAAGGACAACGAGGAGCTGTTCAAGACCGCTGCGGAGCCTGCTCCTGCCCAGGAGTCTTAGGTTGCCAATACCCCCCGTCTCAGCAGAAATATGAGGATGGAAGAATCCCGCTGCGACCGATCATGAGCCCGTAGGAACGGACTGTCTGCCGCAAAAAAAGAATCACGATCCTAGCACCATTGTTTTTACACACCCCCACCCCATCACACGAGGCAGGCTGGATCACGCTGGGTCAGGAGAAGCTGGCGAGTGCAATTAAACTTGCACCGAGTGGTGTTTGTTTTCTGGCCTTGAGAGGTGGATGGATAGCATCAAAGCTTAGGAACAAGACACTCTACACAGCACAAATAAATAAGAATCAATCCCCATCCCATGTGCTTAGATGCGCAGCAGTTAATAGACAGAATCATGCCCCTTGACACTGTCTTTCCGTTCAAGATATTATGTGATCGCCCTTGAGTGGTCTTACACGTGCAGAAGTCTTTCCAAAGAAGAAAACAATGTTTTTGCGCAAGTGTATTTAATATTAGAATCTGCTTTGTTTCTGAGCAAAGACCCATGCTGGTGAGAGTAGAAGAGCTCTTCAATTAAGGTCCTTGCTTCCCCGCAACACGGTTCACGGTTCACGTTTTTGCTTGGTCGCGGTGGACATTCAGCCACACCCTGGGCGCCTGTGGTCCGAGCGTCGGCTCTCAGCCTTCCAGTTCCAAACCTCCAAATCCCAATCTGGTGAACTGCACACAACCATCTCTGCTTCAACGTGAACATTGAACCGCCGCTCGAAGACCACGCCCAGCTACCAGTACGTTTGCGACTACAGTACCAGCCCATAATGATTGTAGAGGTAAGGGATTTCATTGTTCTAGCATCGTGTTGTTGGCGCGTCTTTCGCGACGAATAGCAACGACATCACCGTAACATCGCCCTCCCATTCACCTCCCAACCTTGCACAGCTTGCGATGCTGGCAACCGCTCGTTATGTCTCCTCCTAGCCATTTCTTTCAAGCCAGGCAGTAACTAGGAATCAAACTTGTATTATATTTATCCCACCAATCTCTCCATTCATCTTCACAAACTCTGCCCAGACCTTGCGAGCAGCGCAACCACCATGGCGAGGAAGAAGCTTGCGAAGAAGAAGAAGAAGCAGCCCTTGGGGGCTTGCGGACCGCTCAAGATCACTAACAAAATGATACAGAGAAAGGTTAGGCTCGTAACTGAGCAGAATATCATGTACGTTGGCGCCCAAGCAAGCTCCTTCCCAAGCTGTATACCTTGCTGACCTTGATTTTCTCATCCCAGCGAGAAGCCCTCCCCGGTCGAAGATTTCCCTATGCGAAAATGGTCTATCGTACTATACGTCATCGGTGAGGACGGCGAGGAGCACCCCGCCGACTGCTTTCAGAAGGTCGTGTATAACCTCCACCCTTCATTCGAGAACCCGACTCAGAGTTCGTGATCCTTTCTCCGGCGCTCCTGCGTCGCGCCTTTGCTGGTGGCAATTTTCTGACCACACCTTCCTGTAGCCTTTCACAAGCCACCTTTCAAGTGCGAGAACGAAGGATGGGGTGAATTCGATATGACGATCGACTGCTACATTACCGAGAAGTCGAAGCAGACTATCTCACACGACCTCAACTTCGCCAAGAACCGCTACGAGGCCGACCATACCGTGTCTTTCAAGAACCCATCTCAGGCGCTTCAGCAAATCCTGCGTGAGACTGGGCCTCTGCCGTCAGACGATGACCGTCTCAAGAAGAAGGGTGGTGCTGGCAAAAAGGGTAGCCAGAAGTACGACTACGAGAAGATCGCCCAGGCCCTCGAGAAGCTCGACGAGGACGACCTTCTCCGCGTTATTCAGATCATCAACGACAACAAGACCGCAGACACTTACATCAAGAGTGATGTTGATGGTGAGCTTATGCCTGCTTCCCCTACTACGAATCTCATGGCTGGTCAGTTTTCCTCGCATTGGGAATTGGACGCGCCGCAGATTCGGCACTTGTTTATGTTCTCAGGAGCGACAGCTGACGCGTTAATTTAGCGGGCGAGTTCTCCATTGATCTATACACGATGTCGGACTCGATGACGAAGCAACTCTGGGACTACTTGGTGAGTCGTTCGCTCGTTCGGGCTTAGAGGCGTGTGGGATTTTCGGATATTGTACGAATAGCACTTTCACATGCGAGTGCTTGGTGTGCTCGCGCAAGCTTCGGGGAAGGGATTGGAAAAGGGAAGGCTTAGGACTGGGTCAGAAAAGAACTGGCCGCTGACTACGGCGCTGCGCCCTCCTGCATGAAAGTCCAAGAAGGGCCTCGTCAGCTAGATCAACCCGTCCGATAACTCTTGCCGATTTTCTCCTCGCGGACCTGCTTCGACGACAAATGATTGACGGATGAAGCGACCTAAAAACGACGAGGGGTCTTCTCTGGGGAGGATGTTATGGTGATGGAAGCGCTAGACCTTTCTGTTCGCTTTTCCCCCACGCTTTCCCAATGGCATTTGGCTAGGCGTTCTCGGCTTCTCCATGCTTCTTGTTTCTGGTCTGTTTTTCATTGTTCTTTTTTTGAGTTTTAAGTGTCCTGTTTTTGTCCATGTATACCTACCTAAAAAGCTATTCGCACGCGAAACGGTACGGCCTCTGTATTTGATAGCAAAGGAAAGCGCGACGAAGCTACGACGACACTGGGCGGGGCAGGGTTAGGTTGGGTGTCGGCGGGTAGGGCTAGACGTGGGGAAGGCTGTGTATCGTTTCGCGGATCTACCCTCCCGTTTGCCTTAACTACAGAGTAAGGGAGGAGGGGGGGTGGAGATCCTGCCTGTCCTCATTGTAATCATATTGAGTTGCTACCGTATGCCTCTCTCATGATCCCTCGTAAACGAAAAGCCTGTTGTCTCGCTACGAACCCGATGCGTGTGTCCTTACTATTGTTTCCGTGCCATTTGGCGCCTTGAGATACGCGTCTGGTGCTTACTACAGCTTGGCTTCCATTACACGCAGTACGTCTTGAGTGACCCTTCCTGGTGACTATCATCTGCGTCATAGGCATATATATATTATCAGTGAAACTTCGGCGCGTGTTCTTCCGTGACCATGTAAACGTGGCATGGCTTACCTCTCTCATCCCTATAAGCAAGCATGTGGGATCAAAGCCATCGATGAACCTGCCATTCGGTAACTGCGGCTTGCTGGTGGGAAACCAGTACGTTACCTACAAGGACCCGTGAGCTGAAAAGAAGTGTGGCCAAGGAGGGAAGGGAAGCATCAGCTTGCGCGAAGTGTCTAATTCAACCATGCACCTGGACCGTCAAACAACGTCGAGTTGTTAAACCTTGAAAGCTTGTCACTATAACCAGGATACGGCTTTCAATCGCCAAGTAACTCCATATTTAAACTATTCAACTCGAGCAAGCGCTCCATCTCGGACGCTTCGTTTGACAATCGAGTGCTAAAAGGGTATCTAAGTCATACTTCTCCGCCGTCGCAGCCTCATTATCAACGAGTAACGATCTTCGTTGTCATCGTATAAAAAAAACAAAAATAACAACCGAATAAATGGACAACGAGCCAACAGATCATACTGAATTTTCCTCATCAAGTTGGGGAAAAGGAAGGGAAATATAAAAAAAGAAAAGCAAAGGTTAAATAAAGCTGCCTGTAAGCGATTCCCATCATACTTGTCGCACCAAGTTTTATCCGAAAAAGTTGCCTTTTTGTTTTCTTTCTCGTCTTTTGCTTTTTTTAGTACGCCGGAAATTATGCCAAATTGCAATTTTTGTAAACCATTTTCCTTATCCGTGTAGTGTAATGTCATGTTATTCACCAGCCTGCTGCCCTGCCTGGGTTCAGGGGTACGACGTTGCGCCGTTAGGGCCGTCCATGACATTGAAGTTGTCCATGGCCATATACTCGAGTAAGTCTAAACCGCCGACGTTGACGCCTTCTGCCGTCATCGCGACAGCCGTATTATCCATATTTTGGAAGAAAGCCGGGCCAGTGGGCAAGTACCACATCTCATTACTGGGGTTGTTCCAATCCGTTGAATCGAAGAGGTTGTCCATTCCCGTAGTAGAGCCCGCGGCGTTGTTATTTGTGTTGTTGCCGGTGCCGGTGCCGGCGTTGTCGGTGTGTGGTGCCGGTGTGGATGGACCAAGAACAGAGGCCGCACCGGAGGGGTAGGGAAAGTTGCCACTGGTGAGGTCGAAAGGTGTCGCAGAAATAGCGTTTGGATCTTCTGTTTCTTTATTAGCCATTGAAGTCGTACAGAGAGACAGCGAAGAGAGAAAGGGCTTACCGTGTGCGCTAAGTCCATCTCGTAACTTGGTAGCGTGGTTAGACCAGCTGTGACCATCAATGCCGTTGGTTAGTTGTCCATTGGCGGCCCCGGTACCGTTGGGGACGCCATGAGGATCTGGGCTTCTGCCATCGGCAGATCCAATTTGGCCCAGAGTGGGTGCCTGTATGAAACGGTTGCGAAGGCGACGGGTCAGCGATTCTAACAAGTCCGCGAAACGGATGCCTAGGTGAACATCGTCGACGACACAGTTGCGAAGCGCCTCCACTGTCTGATCCATCAGGTCGATGCTCATCTTGACATCGGACCGCGGCGCGCCGAGGGCAAATGTTTTGAGTAGGAACATGGCGCCGCTGATGATTCGGAAGTATGTCCTGACTGGCGCGTGTTTGAGATATTCTCCCGGCAAAAGGCCCTCTACTACCGTCCTGAGCAGGTTCCGGCTACCACTGATGACTTCTTTGATGTACTCCTGATCGGTTGCACCGAATCCACCTAGTTGACCCAGAGGCAGCTTGCCAAAGTAATTCTGCGTCTGCGGCGAAAGCTGAGCGGCACTTCCCGCGTTATGGTTGCCGTGAGCACCGTGACCCGCATGAGCAGTGTGGCCGGCGTTGTTCGTGCAGCGCTCAACAACCGCCTGTAGAGACAGCGAATTGACATAGATGCGGACATACTCATACTCAATGGTCAGGATGTGTCGGATGTATGGTGGCAGCCTGTAGCGCTCGAACTCTTTCCACCAATCTTGCAGTAGCGGCTGGAAATCTTTCAAAAGATCGGTGTATTTCCCGCTCTGGATGATATCGGTCGTATGCTTACGGGACTTGAAAAACTTTTCGTTCCCGACGTGCATGGCATTGCTGATTCCGGCCCAGCAGTGAATGATCTGGTCATCCAGCTCCAGGTCCGGGATGTAGTTGAAGGCATTGGACATGGATGACGGGTTGGTTCCGGGGGTTGTGCCCTCGGTCGACGCTGGGCGGCGACGGGTCACAGCCGGGTCGCTCTTGCGAAGGGCCTCGGGAACCATGCTCGTCCAGCCAAGGCGGCCAGCCAGTTGGGTGAGGTAGATGAGCAGCAAGCGCTTAATTCGGTTGGCGCGCTGACGGTATGTTTCCTCCTCGTACTCTGGTCTTGTGATGGCGCCGTCGCGAAGCAGCTCATCAATGTCATCAAAAACACCCAGCTCGTAGGCGAGACCCATGGCGGTGCTGAGAAGCATCCAACACATCCTGTCGCTTCTCCACGCAGGCTCAAGCCAGCTGTCAAGTCTCCGCCCGCCAATGTTGGCCGATGGCCGTTGGTTCCCATTCTCATCGGTGCTGATGAGGTCGCTGCCCTCGTACGACGGAAGCATAAGCTCATCAATGGCTTCAGCCGGGGGGAAGTGGAGCGCACGGGGGTGCCACTCCGTCAGTATCATCAGGGACTCCACAGTTCCCAGTGTCCGCAGACTTCCTTTTCGCATTCCTCGCCAGGGCGCCGTGCTGCTGGTTTGGTCTTCAATGACGGATGATGCCCCCGCCATCGCCGCAAATCCACCACCGAATGCTTCCTGACCCCAAAGGCATCTCTCGATCATCCCGCGAAGATAGGTCCACAATTGCTCGTGAATGGCATGAGATCGGCAATGTCCACCCGTGCCAGGGACCTTCCGATATCTCGATGAAATGGTGAGGAGGGTGATCGTGAGAATGGGCTCTTCCGTTAATAGAGTGAGATGCGACGCTGGGTTTCGGAAAGTTGGTGGTGAAATGGGCGTAAGGGGTGAGAGATACTCATAATAGCTATAGCACGTTTAGTGACAACAGACATGGCAAATGTAGGGGTGGGCGTACTAGTCAATGTAGTCAATGGCCTCCTGCGCCGTAAACCAGCCAGCCCTGACGAATCTGAACCTTCCCCAAGCCTTGATGGCATCCTGGTATCCAGGTTCTCCAGACAGGTCCCGCTTCGTCAGCTCCGGATCAATTAGCTGCGGTTCCGGCTTGATTGACACCGACGGACGGCTGTTACCGACGGGCTTCATTGTAGCGCCGGGGGTTACAACGAGCGGCTGCTGGGGGATGGACGGCACGGAGGCAACGCTCTCATGGCGTTTGTTGCTATTCGTTGCAGGGCTGTGGGCCGGGGGGTAAGCAGCCGCGTCTTGGGAATGGCGAAGCTGGACTGACCTATCCGTGGCCGCCTTGTATAGCAGGTCCAACGCATCGTGGGGTCCGTAGACGCCGGGTCGCATGAGGTCTTGTGCCTCGTGGTTCTCGAGTTGAGCATTGGGCTCATCGTCGGCGGCGCTAAAGTCACCAGTGGTGCGCCGGACACTATCCGCCTGGCTGATGGTACTCGGGGTCACGGCACCGCGGGAACCTGGGCCGGCAATGGGTATGGCAGGATCGGTCGGCCGGCGCAAAGGTTGGTTTCGGCCAATGGAGCCCCCGGGGGTCAAGGGCACTTCGCTATAGAGTCGGCGGTCGATGCTGACGGGTGGGCTGTCACTGACATGGACACGCTTTCGGCCATTGCGTATTGTGTACTCGTCAACCTCCTCGGCATCAGCCTCACCGTCCTCGGTTTTGCGCTTTCGTCGTGTCGCGCTGAAGTAGCATTCTTTGCTCTCGCGGCGGCATCGCACGCAGGGCGGATCGTGGGGGTTATCGACGCTTCCCAAGTCGCAGCGGACCTTTCTCCGACGGCACGGGATACATGCCTGGTAGACGCGTTTGTGTTGGGCAGCCGGCTGAGTGCCGCCAGCGGCTGATGGGGGAGCGGGGGCAGCAGCACCGGTTGAAGGAGCAGAAGAGGCTGTTGGGCTCAGGTTGGATGCTGCTTGGGCGGCGTATTGGGCCATGATGGGCCGGGAAGTGGTGCTGCAATCGTGGGTCGATGTCACGACTGAAGACTGTCGAGGATTGACTCGGGTCGGTTTGCAACGGGATTATGGAGGGGGGGGAGTAGAGCGGCTTGGGGTGGGAAGCCGAAAAAAAACGGCGGGCCCTGGGTTTTGTCGGCCACGTTTGGCTGGGTGGGCCCTCACGGTTAGTGGTACAGAGCTTGAATGGGTGCGGGGTTGGTAAGGTACCCCATCCCCCCAAGGGCTGGGTAGCTCACTAAGCTAGGCAGGTAGAAGTGGATACGTACCGGCCAACAAGAGACAGTGCGTAACCCCGACTATAGTAGGTATAGTAGGGGTGTGGTAAGCTGTGATACCTCGTCTGGTATTCGCGGAGACAGTTTCCAAACACAGGGCGTATGGGCACTCGTGCACTGCTGCAGTGCAATTCACCGCACGGCAAACCTGGTGAGGACTCTCTTCGGTCTTTTGGCCTGGACCCGACCTACTCCAGCCCCCAAAAAAGAAAGCTCGGCTTGCTGCGCTGAATGAGAAGAGGGGCTTCGGTCAGACACGGCGATCAGCAATCGGAAGAAAGATGGAAAATGCGTGGTGGGCGAGGGTGGGATGTGTCTGTCGGGGGTCCTTATTGGCTGACGTCGATGAGACCGAGTAACAGCTGCAATAATCGGTAGAAAACTGTGCAACGACAAGGGCAAAAGGACCATGGGGGAAAATATTGCGCGATTGCCCAGAATCCGATGCAATTGTGATGAAAAGAAGAAGAATTAAAAAAGGTTTACACCAGCAAGAACTCGGCTTGGCTGGCAAATCCCAACTTGATGATGATTTGGACAGTGGACCGTGGCACGGGGACACGCAGCAAGCAGCAGCCTCTAACGATGAAGCGAGTACCTAATCGTTTACTTTAGGTAACAAGTAACAAAGTACCTTCCTTGGATTCATGTAAGGCATCGTATCTTGTTCTGGCCTTCCCGATCCTGCCTGGTTGGTAACTTCGCCCCTCATCTTCTAACCTTTGCCCCCCCTCCGGTGCTGCGCCAAAGGCGTGTCCCCTTTCCTTGGCGTCATCGGTGGAAGATAAAGCAACAAAGTCGGCAACATCACCTGGATCACTCATTGATAAGCCTAGCCCCGCCTGGAACCTAAACCTGGGGGAGACAGAGTGAGAGAATCTGGGGATTTGGAGAAAGACTATGGAGTACGGATGGAAAAGGAAAAAATAGTGGTAAAGGAAGCCCGGGCCACCCGGTGCCTCTGGCCAAACAATCAAATTCATTACCAAATCGCATGCACCCCGGACTAACATATACATAGATTCGTTCCACCACCTTGAGGCACTTCAGAAACCAAATCAAATCTTGATATGCGTCCGCTCATACGGAGTAGTAGCAATCATCCCTGCATCGTAATAGTATTAGTTTGCTGTCTTGTCCGTCCAAGCTCCTTGTTCCCCCTCCCGCGCCACCGGACTGCGGCAGCTCGTGGTCACGTTGACACTGGGCGCACTGCCTGGTCACGTTCATCTTCCGCCGCGCATCCGAGCTTTCCTTTCTCGTTCGTGTCATTGTTGGCCACTGTTTCCTCCTTGGGTCTTCCCCAGATCTATCAAGTCGCGCCGCGGACCTGAACTTGGGGCTAATCTCATCCCAAAGTCCACTCAACCATCTACTATGAGGCGTCGGATGCTCGCTAGACTAGAACAGTCCCAGTTTGTCCAAACAACCTGTTTCTGCTCCCCGTCATCTTTACACACGACCAAGCTTATTCGGCGCCGATGGAACTCTATGCAGGTACCGGCCAGCTGTTTTATGCCCTGCAATTTGTTCCGGGCTAGATAAACCCGCAAGAGAGCTGTGCGTCGGCATCCATAAACACTTGGAGGTGGCGCCTAGAACCGTTTCTGACGGCGTTTAACTAACACCCTGCTATTGAGCTGACCCTTCTTTTGCTTTGCCTCTTATTGTCAGAAGCCGTATCACTCAAGCCGAGTCGCCCTCGGCGACTTTTGCTTTCCCCATTGTTGTTAGTCAAACTTGTACCACCTGCCAGCTTGAAGAACGCCTTAGCTCAGCCGGGGCTGAGTGGACGGTGACCTACCTGGCCTTTTCAGAGCTATGTCAGGAACACAATTATAGGCACAATCCCACTGAACGTATTCACGAGCATCAGAACCGTGGGTTAAAGTCATGTGATAGCTAGATGTACAGATAGCCTACGACAAGCACCCTTTTCGACACCAGGCTGGCTAATTGCCATATGCTTGCTTACCCCTGGAATCTCGACTTCCTTACATCATGTTACCAAGACATCTTGAAGTGTCGCCTCGTGTATGAGCTACCATAACACCTGCTGCCTGATGTTGCCGCCAAGTATCACACAATTGGCAAACAAACCCCCACCACGCTTGGAGTATCCCCCGCCCAAAAAGAAAGAAAAAGATTTGCGTTGTTGAGTTTGTTCCAGTCCCCTTTACTTAGAACTCGTCTTTGCGGCGGTGTCATTCTGCTCCACCTCTGTCGGCAACGGAGCGGGGGGTGCGTCACGGGCGACCTCAGGGGAGTCCTCATTGTCATCGGTAGGTGCCGGTTCCTCCTCGAGAGTTCCGTCCAGCGTCGTGGGCTTGAAGTCGCCATTGTCGATAGACGCCGGATCATGCCCACGTCCGCTATTGCTGGCCGAGACCCCGATAGCAGGCGTACCGCCATCCGCAATCTTCTTCTTCGTGTCTTGGACGATCTTCTCGGCTTCACTGACCTTGGCTGCGCTTGCAGGAGGCCGCTCAACTCCCATGGAGCTCTCCTTGTCGTTTTGGCTCTCCAGCAATGCTGCTTTGTCCAAGCGAACAATCATACAGGACAAGTTGTCCGTACTGAACCGATTCAACGCATGATCAACAAGAAGCTTCGATGCTTCCACCGGGTCCTCTATATTGCGAACAAGGTCGACCGCTTCTTGGTCGGAGCAAACATCCCATAACTACCAAGGCGTCAGTCAGGCTTAGAATCCAGCTGGATACACAAACTTACCCCGTCGCAAGCTATAATGATAAACTCGTCACTCTCAGGCTGTATGACGGTCTCAGTTGTGTACGGGTGGCCAGTCACCAGGTCCTTCATATAGGTATCGCCGAGGGCTCTCGTGACAGCAAGCACACCATTTACGCGATTGTTAAGGATCAGCCCACCCGCGTTAGCTATACGCTTCCCTTCATTCTCGTCACTACCCTTGTGGTCGTACGACAGACGCAGTGCTTTGCCAGAACGGCAGAGGATGATGCGCGCATCTCCCACATTGGCTGTATAGAGAACACGCTGCCGGCTGGCAGAACTCTTGAGTTTGGCATGGGTGGCTTCTGGACTACTGGTAGAACCGGCCTTGTCGTCTGCAGATTCATCCGACGTGAGCTTGGCAGCCTTGGTGGCCGCCGCGGTGGCCGGCGCAATAGCCTGAGAGCCAGTAGCAGATCGATCACTTGGCACTCTATCCTCCCAACGTAGTACAGCGACAGCAGCGGTGCATCCACTGTTCTTAAGAGGGAGTTTTTCCAACTGCGCATCGACTGAGGTGAATGTTTGGTCAAGTAGCTCTGGGATAGGGCCGTTGGGGTTCTTTCGGATGATATCTTCTAAGATGATGTGCAACTTCTTTCCGCACCAGTCGGCCGCAAAGGTGCCAGCATGACCGTCAAAGATGGCAAAGTATCCATTGTCTGTCTCGGCCATGTCCAGAGAGTTCGCCTCCTTCTCATCAACAGCCTCGCTCTTCTTGCCCTCAAGAACAGGGGCAGGGGTGTGCAGAAAGTTGTAGAGAAAAGCATGAGTGTCCTCCATAGTCCGACGGCATTTCTTGTTCCTATCTTCCCAAACGCCGACGCGGAAGGTGGAGCGCGGGCCAGGAATGGATTCGCCGGCCGAATTGTTGTGCTGGCCCTGGGGTACGACAAGCGCGGGGTCCTGCTTGCCAAGCTTCTGCAGAGGAGTCTGCGCATTTACATCGGAGTTGGATCGGCCGACCTGGGAGAAGTTCAGGGAATTCTTTGCGTGAGCCAGCAGGCCAGCAGCTCTATGCTGGACGCCACTGGACCGACGTTTCTTATCGGTCGCTCCATCGGGTTGGCGCCCTGGAGGGCTGCTATTCCCGCTCCTCTTGTCGCCGCTGGCGGCCTGATCGGTAGACTTGGACTGGGCCGCAGCGCCCTTATCGGAGTCGGGCGAGGGCGACTTGCGGTCTTCCTTGGGGTCGCTTTCCGCCTTGGGCGCTGAACTTGAGCCGCCGCCGAACATTCTTGTCAGCAGACCACTCCCCTGATTGGAGAGGCTGCGACGCTTGTTTCCTGCCAGTTTAAAGAACCTAAGGAGAGTTCAAGGGTACCGTCCCGGGCGCACAATCAGTTGAGTGCGATGGGATCGCAAATGTGATATCTTCGGCTGGGTTCGGTATCGTCGTCGGAGAAGCGATGTCGTGAGGTTTGGAGCCTGCAATAGGAGGAGCCGGCGTTAGTCTCGGGGTTGTGGGAAAGCAGTGTTCATCAGATTCATGGAGGGGCAAAGTGGTCCGAGGCCGACCGGAGGGCAAGGGAAGCAGGTCGGGGTCCGAGCTAGAAGGAGATGAGGCGTTGGGCTGGAAGAGCAAGGGAATAAACAGCAAGGTAGCCAAGCTAGATCTCCAAGCGGCAGACGGTATCGCCACCTAAGCGCTAGCTACTCGCTATGTTGAGTGGAGGCTGGGTATCGAAATAGTGCGAAGAGCAAGGCTCGAACGGGAGTTGACTTTCGCAATTGTGCACAGCAGATAGACTGCCGATGGAGATTTGAGAGCATGCAGGCTATTCAATGCTAGGCATTTAATGGTTGTGCGTGCTTAGGCGGCCCAGGATGAAGGGTGACGTAGGCTGCTTGATATTTGGAGGGGGGAGATCAGGATAGTAGAAGCATCAGCACTCACAAAAGTGACGTATCCAACGCGAGAGAATGCCCGAACGCCGTCGTTGGTGATGAAATTGGGTGACAAAAAAAAGCTAGTGATGCAGCTTGCCAACGTGATGGCAAAGGCTGCGATGTCGTTTATGAGAAGGTCTGCTTGGAATGGAGTTAGGTGAGGTAAAGGCAAGAAGGGCTAGGTTGTGGTGAGGCAATGCGAATGCTGCTGGGCGCTGGTCTGTGGTTCTCCGCAGGGCCAGGAGGGGAAGGGGAGGGGAGGTTTGGGTGGAGTGGGAAGGGCAAGGAAGAGGTGAAGGGAGGCGGCGGGAACGATTAGCAGGGTCGTTTTAGCGGCGCTCTACCTTGACTCTTGCTATGGGGCCCTGTCTCTTTTGGGTACTACACCTGTGAAATTGTAGAAAGAGGACCTTGCCTTTGGTTTTAGCATATAAGATAAGGCCGCAATAACAATTTGTACTGGCCTGAGCTTCCCACTTTCGTTTCCCAGCTTCACCTTGACTGTTGCTGATGTTGTTGTTATTGCTTGGATCGCTGGTTGAAGAGGGGCTAGCGTCAGCCGGGCCTGTTCTGCGCTGGCTGCGGTATCCTACGCGACAGCAGCTTCACGGGGATGCTGTGGTGCGTTGTCAAGTCTCGGCTACGACGGGGATCCTCCGTCTGAACCGGGGCGAATCCGTAACTAAGGTGGATGGCCGTGGATTAAAGGTGTACTGTAACAAGAATGGGGGGCCACAGAAGGGGAGAATCTGAATCTCGGCCAAGAAGTACACGGGATAAGCAGTCTTGCCCTGGAGAGTGACTGATGTCTGGGAGATGTGATTTAGAACTACCTCGTGCTGGGGACGGAGAGGGGGAGGAGATGGAATTAAGAGCGCAAAGGGGGAGAAGAAAGCCCAGCGTTCCGGCCGCCCAGAGCGGACGATGGCCATATTTGGCAGTAGAACACACCTACATAGTAACTGCCCTTTTCTCGCCTTCCTACGGGGGCCTGCCTGGTCCTGTCTCGACGGGTCGAGAAGGGCGAGTGACCTCACTCTGAGTCTGAGTCTGAGACCCCAAAACCAAGAAGCTGCTAGTCGAACCTGGCACTTCTCTGCCGATCGCCAGCCCCCAAAGCCCCGGGTCAGATCTAGTTCAAACTGCGCACTTTGGGGCTTGTGGTCTGCCTCAAAAGGTGATTTGTACTTATGTATATGAATTCCTAACCACGAAAGGTAAGAGTTCAAAGGGAAAGATAACGGACATCATGCTGTTTAGTGGATACAAAGGCACATTCAATGCACTTAAAGCAAAGTTCCTTCAACTGCGGCTGCTAGGGCCACGATGAGGCCCCTTCCCATGGAAGCTTCGAATGGGCGCCAAGCATTCCCTAAGCTTGTGCTTACTAGTACAATATGCCTTGAAGTTTAAAAAGGGCAGACTTGGGCTTCAGGGTCATAGTGGCCTAAACCAGTGCAGTCGTTCACAACGCCCATCTTTCTTCAAAAGAGGCATATGCGGAGAAGACTACCGCCATGGCACAACAAAAGATTTCTCGACATCCCACCTCGCCTGGTACACATCTATTTACTCACTTCCCACAGCGTGTCAACATGACAGCTCAGCTATGAACCCTGAACGAGAGCGGGGACAGGTGCGTTAGGCAGGTACCCTGCTCTACCCTGTTGTGCTGTCGAGATTTTTCCCATTTCCTCCCGGTGCCAGCAGGCAAAGTGTTTGCTCCAAGAATTCGGGGTCCAATCTCGGGGTCCAGTTTGCTGGGTTGGGCTGGATTAAGAGATCTGACAACAGGCCACAGGCCCACATTTGCCAACAGCAGCGCCATCCTGACTCGGAGAAACTATGTTGACATGGTATTCTACGAATCCTGTGCTGTCCATCATGGTTGGGCCGGAGATGATGGTTTTGGGCCTGCAAAACCCAGGTGTGTCCACTCGGTCTGGAATATATCTGTTTCGGTGAACATGTGAATGAAATGCCTGCGTGGCCCATACTCAGAAAGATAAACAGCCTGGAAAACAGTTCGACATGGGCGGTTGACAAGGGGAGAACTCAAGAGGACATGAAGTTGTTGCCACTGAAACTGACATTGATCATGTCACAGCAATTGGGACTAGAACTATACGCCGAGGCCAGAATAGAGAGGCGGCAAATCAGGCCACCTCGGCTGGATAATCTATCCAGTCACCATGGCGGGGCAGCCGAAGTCGCTGTGGGCAAATGACGCAATGTTCTGATGCAACCTACCGACTGACAACATTTATTCCGCCCGCCGCCAAAACATATTGAAAGATGCTGCATGAAAAAAGGCGCCAGCGTGGGGAACAAGAAAGAAAAGAGAGAAACTAAAAAAGTGCGCCTTCCCTTGTCCTAGGGACTCCGTACCGCATGTGACAAAAACAAGCTAGCTGCACAGGATTCCGAATCATCCATCGTTTGTGTCCACCAAACATTATGACGGTCTATCGAGTCGTATAGCAGCTACCGCCTGAGACTGTCCAGACGTGCCTGAAGGTCGTCGTCGCCGGGATCCGCGCCTCCGCCCCCGCCGACTGCCTGAGCGATCCTGCTTTCCGGTACCGCCGCATTTTGCATTCCGGATGGCGTTTCTCCGAGCTGCGAGACCCGTCATTAGCTTATAATGGTTCGTTCCAAGGTCGGCACATGTGCTTACCGCTGATGTCAAATCGACTCCAATCTCCTCTAGAACCTGCTCTACAACCTCCTCGCCTTCTTCTTCTGCGCCGACGTCCATGGCGTCATCGATGGCGTCGTCCATCATCTCCTGTCTCTGATCCATAATATCGTTTTCACGCTCGAATTCCATCGCGATACGTTGAAGTGCGGGGAGGTTCATCGATCGGTTCATGCTACCCAGTGCCACAGTTGCACCCTTCATGGCCTGCATCATCTGCTCGTTGGTGCGGTAGGTCTGTTATGGGGAGGTTCAAGTCAGTTGACCGTTCTCCGTGGAGCAGGGTTCTTCATGAGCACCGTACCTGCAGCCTGAGAGATATCTTTTGCAGCTGACTGCGCATTCCATAAAACTTCTCAATATACCTGCCCATAAATTTTGTCAGTATTGCAGAATAATGGCTTGGGGAAGTGTTATCGCTGACCTCCGTGTCCGAACCAGGTCCTTGGCTTGGATCTTGCAAGCGCCCATTTGTCCTTTCTGGGCACTCTGCTTGATCTGTGTAATCAACTGTTTCTCCTGTTTCTCCAGCTTAACTCGAATCTGGTCCAATTCACGGATAGCTTTGTCCAGCATGCGCTGGTTCTTGCGCAGACGCTCTGCTGGCGTCATGCGCTTGCCAAACATGTACTCGAGAATCTACGCCGCGGGATTAGCAGCCAGGCGTGGCGGGGAAGAAGGCGCATGACGTACGTTCATCCTGAAGGCTAAAGACCGTATCAGTCTGAAATAGGGTAATTGTACAAAAGTTGCACTTGCACGGCAATCGGAGCGACGATGAGGAGGTTGTGCGTTTGTAACGTGGGGAGGTGTCGTCGGTGGAGGTTGATAGATATTCGGGTTGCCTGGCTGGCACTCACGTAACGGGCACCGGACACAGGTCAGTAGAGGTACGTACAACAGCTTGGCATGGCGCAAGGTTTCCAGGATTCCAGGGAACACTGAGCGATTACGCTGTGACAGGCGCCCAGCCCACCGAGGTGCCTGGTTGGGCTGATTAGATAAGGCACCTCGGCCGCGGCATTTTCCGAGTAGTTCAATTTGGGCCAATGGGCGAGGCGCCGCGACCTACGGGGATACAGGAAATTTGCCGCTCCGCCCAAAATCATGCGCTGGGATTCTACGTAACGGGTGAGCTTCTCTAAAAAACATTCGGGACCTTGTAAAACTTCACCCGCCACTTTCAAAACTTGATCCTTTTTCCATCCCCTAAACCAGAGTTTCCGACCATGCTCTTTCCTTTCTCAACCTATCGAACATGAGTCAAGATTACTTTTCGAAGAAGGGCAAAGCCCCGATGGACCAGGAGCTCGACAGGGAGGATTCGGACTCACCGCAACAGCCGGTGCCGTCATCGAGCAGACCACACTACATGACTGTCGGATCCGGCTCCACCTCCGTACACGCGGCGCATCTTCAGAACCTGCTCGACAACGACTCGGGCTACGGTGGTAGCATCGCTAATGGCGAGGCTCTGGCCTCCTCGAGTGCCGACCGTCACATCCCGACTCCCACCAATGGCCAGCTCTCCGAAGCTGACCGTCGGTCCCAGGCTGGTGCCATTCACCAGCTGTGGTACAACGCTCACCGGGTGACTCTGGGCCGCTCGATCAATAAGGTTATCGAACTCTTGAAGGAGTTGCAGGAGATGAATGTCTCCTGGCCAGCCCATTATCCGTCAGTTCAACGAGCCGAGGGTGCTTCGCGACCTGGTTTTGGCCACGCATACTCGACTGCGGGCGACGTACCTGCCACCGCTTCCTCTGTTCCCTCATCTCCGACATCACCTCCCTCGATTCGACGATCGCTGACCTCGGTCGAAACCCATGGCAGTGCTGAGTCGAGCAGGACGCAGGAGAGACGGCCTGCCGAAGAGCCAAGACTTGTTACACCGCAAATTGCTCAAGACTTTTCCGTCCTGAAACTGGACCTGAAGCTGGGCTCTCTACATCAAGCGGAGCTCGTCCATTCGCTGGAAAAGGGCTCTATTGCGTCTCTCCTGGACGGTAAGATCAGCTCGAGCATCCGGCATCTCCTCAACCTGCGCGAACGGATCGAGGATACCTCTAGCAAGGTTTTGGTTACCGGAGATTTAAACGCTGGAAAATCGACATTCTGTAATGCTCTGTTGCGGAGGAAGGTTCTACCTGAGGACCAGCAGCCGTGTACGGCAATTTTCTGCGAGGTTCTAGATGCCAGGGAGAACGGAGGTCTCGAAGAGGTGCATGCCGTGCATAAGGATGCGAGTTATGATCGGCACAATGAAAGCACCTACGACGTCTACAAGCTGTCACAACTGGAGGACATCGTCATTGATAACGACAAATATACCCAATGCAAGGTTTATGTTAAGGACGTACGCACCATCGACGAATCGCTGTTGAACAATGGTGTGGTGGACATTGCCCTGATCGATGCCCCTGGATTGAACTCGGACACGACGAAGACGACGGCTGTATTTGCCCGACAAGAAGAAATCGATGTTGTTGTGTTTGTGGTTTCAGCCGCCAATCACTTTACAATGACCGCCAAGGAGTTCATCTGGGCTGCCGCTGCCGAGAAGGCGTATCTTTTCATTGTGGTCAACGGCTACGACAACATCAGAGACAAGAACAGGTGCCAGAAGATGATACTCGATCAGGTCGAAGGCCTCAGCCCGAGGACACACAAGGAGTCGTCTGAGCTAGTTCACTTTGTTTCCAGTAACGCTGTACCCACCGCCCCAGCTCCTCCGGGCGGACCCTTTGGCGATGGAAGCGGCAGCTCGAATGGAGGAGGCGGCGGCGGCGATGACCCTAGTGACGACCCCAAGGGCAAGGGTAAGGATGTCGAGAAGATTCGTGATTTTGAGAATCTTGAGCAGTCACTGCGCAGATTCGTTTTGGAAAAACGCGCCAGATCAAAGCTGGCACCTGCCAAGACATATCTTCTCAACATCCTCAACGATGTCAATGTGCTGGCCAGTGTTAATACAGACGTCGCTCAATCGGAACTCAACCGCGTCACGAAGGAACTCAAGGAGATCGAACCTCAGCTTGAATCAAGCAGAAAGGCGAAGGCTCAAGTTGGTGACGAGATTGAAAAGATCACGGAAGAGACGTGTAAGGAGGTCTATGACTACACGAGGTTGACCCTCAGCTCAGCTATTGAGCATTCAGGAGACAACAACCACGGTGTTCCGTACCGGGGACTGTTCAGCGCCTTTGAGTACGCCGAAGAGCTCAAGCATGCCATGATGTCCTATATTCAGGAGTCAGTAGCCCATTGTGAAGAGCACGCCAAGTCAAAGACGGTTGGTGGCGTCAATGCCATCAAGCAGCTTGGTATTCTTCACCTGGGAGACGACTACCAGAACCTGGTTTTCCGTCCCGATGTCATGTTCAAGAGGAAGAGGGACTCAATGGCTCGTCAGGTTGAGATCCCGACGGAACTATGGGACTTTGTTGACTGGAACACCATCGTTCAGAGACAGGAGAAGGTTGCGGGTACGGGTATGGCCCTCACTGTGGCGGGTGCCCTAGTTCCTCGCATGATGGGTGTCAGTGGCTGGATGGACCACGCGTTGAGCGCAGCCAAGATTCTCGGCAACGACAATTTGCGCCGGCTCATTGTCCCAGGAATTGTCGCAGCGGGTAAGTTCATATTTTCTGCAAGTGCCCAGAAACTAAGTGACTAATGAACGATACAATAGCTGTCGCAGCCGCGGCGTACATACTCAATCAGATCCCCAACTCCCTTCCACACCGTCTCTCGACCAAGATTGCTGCTCAGCTGGAGGCTGTCGATTATGTCCACGGCAACTCGACGCGCATTTCGTCTTCGGTCCGTAAGGTTTTGCGCTACCCCGCTGACAATCTTCGCGTCGGCCTTGAGCAGTCGGTCAAGGACCTGGGCAACCGGCGTGAAGAGACGCTCAAGGTGCGTCAAGAGAGCGAGGTTGCGCTGAAGTACTTTGGCAACCTCGTCCGCAACAGCGCGCAGCAGAGATCTGTTGTGCAAGGTGTCGACCTCGACGCGCCCCCGCCAGGTGCCGCCGCTGCTGGACTTCACTGAAATGGCAAATCTCATCTCATTCCTTGTTTTTGGCGGAATACCTAACGATAGCATGGAACGGCGTTCATTTTTTCGGTGGTTGAACTGGGCTCCTCTCAATCGACCCCTATGCAGGGTCTCGTATGCAGCTACACCTGAGTTTATTTGCCCCCCTCCCCCTAAAAGAAATCGGTGTGACGGAGAAGAACAGCGGAGGATATATAAATCTGCTACGTAGAGATACAATCAAGGAAACCTAATTCTGCATCATTATCGTTTGTCAATATCTGATTGACCTAGCGTTAACTTTCAAACGCTCGGCTCCTGTGTATTTCGGCCATCCTCTCAGCCCTGAAGTCGATACAGTTCGACTCAACATTTCGAAGATGAGGATGGCATTTCCGAGAGTACGAACGCGCCCAAGCAGGCCCGAGCTCGAGAATCCAATCTCTCTCTCATTTCGAACGGCAGCTTTAGTATGGAATACTTTACCCGCGAGGCAGTTAGCGACCGAATTCCGGACGGACCACGACCGGAGTAATTAGCGCGGATCCCGGCCCCTCCCCGCCCCTATTTTGTGTGTGTCTTTCTCCGTCCATGTGCGTGCGAGTCTTTTTGGGATCGTCGTTTTTCCAACATTAACTACAGGGCGGGCCATACCAAATTCCCAGAAACCCACAGAGGTGGGACCTGCATGGTCGTGCGTATGTATGTTCTAGATGATCCCGCTGTCCCGGGCGATTTTGATTGATTAGACGGAGCATTGAAGAATTTAGATGAATATCTGCAGGATGCCATGCAAGAATGTTTCAATGCTATGCAAGAACGAGTCGAGTTGTACTTTATGTGGCAAGCTTGACTACGTATACGTACGTAAGTGAGTACTACCATGTAATATGAAGTTGAGCCATAGAAAACTAGGTGGCGACCAGCTTCCCTCGGTGATAGCTGGGAGGTCCGCTTTGACCGCCCCCCTCCGCCCTTCCTCGCACCATCTAATTGTACCTTTTTCACAGTAAGCTACTGCATGCTATGAACGGAGGCCCATTAGCGGCCTGGCGTGCATGCAGGATGCAAGCTGCAGGCACTTTATCTGAGCTTTAGCTTCCCTGCGTCAGTTTAGTACGCTCATTTTTTTGATGCTGTATCTTCTGGAAAGTTTTGGTTGAGATTCGGAATGTCGATAGGTGTACGGAGTAAGGATACGAATTGTGTCTTGAGTGTCTTCTCCCCCAGACACTAGTCCTACGTGTAGGTAAATGAATGGAAAAATACGTAGTGTTGTTCCTTTCAGATCCAAGACATTGCCCGAGACATGCGACACCACTTACCAGTTCCTGGATCGTGGGGGCGATTTTCTCCTCCTCTCTTGCCGGACAGGAGAGGGTGAGCAGTTATTGAGATAGTCTACAGACGGCTCAATCTAGCCCCGAAGAGATCGGTGGGCACGGGACACATGTGGTTATTTAACAAACCCCAACTTTTTTTCTTCTTAGTGTCTGCATTTGATTATGTAGGCCGAAGGGAGAGGGTCAAAGCGCGAGGAAATGAGAGAACAGAAAGGGATTCTTTAGGACTGTGGGCAGGAATCATCAAGGCCTCACTATGACGGGAACACAAATTTTGTGTAGTGTCTATCTCTGACGTCTAGTTCCAACACATGAATTGGCGGCATGAGTCAAGTTCGTGGTGGCTTTCTGTCAGAAACCCCCGGATCGGGAACCAACAGGTTGGGATGCATTTACAACCACCTACCATGCCAAACGCTTAAAAAAAGATACCACGCAGCTTCAGAGTTTCTGCTTTTCTGCTGGGAAGAAAAGGAGAAAGGGACAAAGTCAGAGAGGGTCGATCGCGCGTGTCCATCTGCAATGCAACGGGGTCAGTGGGATCGACCCGCTGGGATGAACTTTGCTAATCCTCCTGCAGCCTCTATCAACGACTTTCTCGCCATCTCGTGTCCTCCTTGAGGCGGGATAGGATACTTACACAATGACATTTCAGCCTCATGCCACTAGCACCCAAGTAAGGGAGATCTGTCAATTTTGGACCTCGTCTGGTTGAGTAGAGAGGCCCCCGATGGGTGAATCCAGCGAATCTCCTTCGTCGCATAATGGGACAACAACATGCGACGCGCACACGGCGAACCGGTTTCATTAACTTCTCTGAATATTGACGACGTCCTATCGTGCTGTCAGGCAAACTTACCAATCAAGAATGAATGAGTGAGGGAGGTCCGGGAACGAGGGCATACTGCGGTACAGGAGATCCATCGGGGTAGCATCCACGATCCCGGCGAGCAGGATTAGACGTTTCATTGCCCCGGCCCTCAGCCGGGTTGTGTCGTGTTGCGTGCTATTCCATTAGTTTGTTAAGGGTACGGATGACTTTTCCACGTTGTCACTCGCTTATGTTTGTGGTGGTCGCGTTTGTGTGTTTTGCTTGCTACTCCTGACTCTATGCCCGGCCGCCTCTTTACGCTACGCCTTTCTTTCAATGACAAATGGCGGCCTTTTTGCCTTTGTAGCGTCTCGCATGTTTTCGTTAGCGGGAACGGTGGCGTCTCCAACGGGAAAGGGGGAAAACGGGAGAGGCACGCAAGAGAAAGGAGATGGTTTGGAGCTAATCAACGGCTTCTTCCACCGGTTTTTTTTTTTTTTTTTTTTTTTTCGACTTCGATCAAGTACCTAAACTGAGGGGTTCAACGACAGGCCAGTAGACCTCGAAGTGAAGGGGTCCCCCCCATAGCACACTACTACTGCATGCCTGTATCCATCCTGTCACTGGGGCCTGGGAATAAGTGCCCTGTGCTTTTCAAGGAGGGTGTGCTGGTCCATCCATCCATAATCCCCACCTCTCTATATGTTTTTTGGGCAAACTGTACGTCAAGCTTCAGGAATTATTACAAGCCAATAGCGACCGTTCCACTGGGCTTGTCCCGAAGCGCCACCCTTGTCACCCCTAATAGATGGTCCCTTCCTTCCTCCTAAAATGGAGAGGCTACAAGGGGTGGCCAGTAGTATGGGATAACTGTTTGTGGGCTTTTGCAAGTGGACCATTCACCGGACTTGATGGGCGGAGATGAAATTGGAGAGTGACATTCGCCAATGGCTTCTGGCCGTCGTGGCTTCCCACCTCCCCCCAATTCAGGGATAGGCAAGGACCTGGACCTGTCCGACCTCTCCCCCCCCTTCTCCATACTCACCTCACCACAGTCGCCTAATCGCTCTTGTTACTACCTCAGCTTAGCTGTCTGTCCGCGTCTATTGGCGAGACTCCAGGCCAGGCTGTTTCTCCCCCTTCTCTTTCCCTTCCATTTATCCCTTTTCTTTTCCGCTGTCAACTCTGTGCCTACGGCCAAACTGGGCTCTTTTGGGCGAGTTCCTTCTTTTCGACCCGACCCCAAATACCACCACACATCAAACGACACCACCACACTCACCCCCCTTGAACATTCTTATTATCGTCCCTCTTTACTTACTTTTTATTTTCTCCTTCTTTCTGGCCCCTTGTCGGGCTCTCATTTTCCAGTACCTAGTTTAGCCACAGGCGGACCCAATTTCTTCTCTACTCTTTCCTGCCGTAGTGCCCTTTTGCAGCCCTGTCTGTCACTCAGAACTGTAATTACCTACCTGAACTTATCTTATCCATACCTCCGCCGCATTATTCACACGCAATACCCGTATTTGTACGGATCCCTTCGGAGGATATCTTGTTCTATCCCTCCCATTCCGTCACTGCCGCTGTTGAACGCGGTGCAACCCTGCGAGCCGTACAGCAGGTCTATCGTATACCACGCGTCAACTGCCTCTTCGCTCACGCCCCCTCGACACGCCTGCCGAGCACAAGGATTTTCGACCTCCCTTTCCTCCCATTCGGAGAGAAACAGAGACAGGCAGACTGAACTGAGAGACAGGTCCCAAGGACAACTCACCGGAGTGGCTCTCGCGCTCAGACGCACCCATTTCCCGCCTGTCGTCTTGTCGCATTTCCGCGAAGGAAAAAAAAAAAACCACCCCAAATCTCCCTCTGCAACCCCTCGTCGTCAAAAAGAAACGAAAGGGTCAGACACATCGCTTCTCGTGCTTCTCCTGGAAAGCTTCTACAACCTGTGCCCATGCGCGGCTCTCCCGTGCCCCTTGGCCTGTCCTACATGTTGTCGCCGCCGTTGCCGCATCTGTCGTTGCTGCTACCATCACTGCCGCCGCAGCACTCTCACTCCTCAGCCTTACCCCTGAAAATTGCAATCGCCATCGGTCCGGCCTGCCATTGCTAAGCGACGACAATCCCTTCCGAGCCACTTTTTTGTTCCTCCTCCCAGCAGAATCCACCCCCCGAGCTCGCCCTGCGTTGCCCTTCCCCCCGGGTAACCACCAGCACAAGCTCAGCCCAGTTGTTCGGTCACGAGCGCATCACCGGTCACAACCTACCGCCGAACCTCGAGCGAATCGCCGGTCCGAGTCCGTAAGCGCCCTCTTCTAAGCCGGCAAGGCGACCGAAGGGAGGATGTCGCTCAATGGTCTGGACGACCCCAAGGTCAAAGAGGCCCACGAATCTGCTGTCGCGGAGCCTGGAGGATGGTATGATGAACCCCCTCACTCATCCCCACCATCATGAACCGAACCACTATCAAATCCGTTGATGTGGTTCAAAATGGAGCACGGCGCATCGGTGCACATCGGTCCGCCGGTCTTTGCCTTTTTCCTACGAGTCAACGATTCTTAAACTACCCCATACATCTCCCTTTACTTTGACGTCGCGCGCATCTATTCTATCTAGGCTAACCGGTGTTATCACCTTTGCGCCAATATAGGTTCCTTCTCAAATATGCGAGTCGCGATGATGTCGAGCTTCTGGGTCGTGGGAATGGTGGGATCGTGGAAATCCGGAACCAGATCGCTCAGTATGAGAACGAGAACGAAGACCACTCGCCCTTGTTTGGTTTTCTGAGGTACCGTCGCCGGAACGTAATCATCAAATATCTTCCCGAGGATTGCTCGAGACTCGTCCAAGGTGGGTTTTGTTCATGTCTCTAAAGTGCGGCGCATTGTTTGAGCGTTGTCCACGCCCATTCCAGAGGGAGATTAAGCTGACTTGGCCACCTCTTTTTCAACCACTTGTAGCACGTGTAACTGTCCACTTCAACGCCGTCTGTGAGCGCTTCACTCCGTATAACACCACCTTCTCGATAGCTACGGCGAAAGAGCTCAAGGATACCAAATTGTCCGCCGCATGCTCGCTGCACGCCGCCTCTGGTTCAACATCCTCCTCAACAAGCTCTCTGCGACGGAGACGTTTAATGGAAATTGCGGAGGAGGAAGAGGAAGAACAAAGGGCAAGCAAGAGGAAATCCGTTGGAGAAGGCTTGCCGGAAACCCCCGGGGAGGCGTCCGCAGAGACCCCTAAATCGCCTATCGCAGGTCCGCCGGTGACGCTGAACGCCGATCTTGCTAACTCACCTGAAGAAAGCAAGTTTTCCGAGTCCCTGGAGCCGCCAGAATTTGTTGGCACTAGACCGTCTTCCCCTACAAAGTCAGTGGATGAAGGTCGACGCCTGTCGTCGCAGTCCACGCGGCCCGAGGTTTACTCGTCCTTTTCTACGTACGGGAAACCTAGAGTCAAGCTTGCACCGAGGCCTTCCCTTGACGTCGCCGGGCATCCGCGCACTGCTGCTGTGGGGGCAGATTTTAGGCCAATTTCGCAATTACCGTCTGGCTTCAAGTTATTCTCCAAGGGTGCCAAAAAAGGAAAGTCCAAGGAAAATACTCTGGATCCTTCCGAACCAGCCCACCTGGACGAAACAACCGAAATCTCCTTGGCCGCCACTGCAATACCCTTACCTGAAGAGGATCCCATTTCCCAGCTCGACGAACCCGTAAGGCCACACACGAGCTCGGAGAGACCCACCACGAGCTCGGGTGCCTCAATTAAATCAGCGATGCCATCCCTCACAACCACCGCCGTCACTGCTACGAAGCAGACTATGACGCCCGAAAAGGCGCGTCTGATGAAGGCGATGAAACTGAGAGAGAAAAAGAAGAGAATGAGCATCCAGCCTATGTCTGTCCCTGTTATAGATATCGACGTCGATGCTGATGCTGATGTCGACGGCTTGGTCGAGGAGATCAATTCGGAGAAGGTACAACCTACCGAGCATATCGAGGAGATAACCGAGCAGACCCTTGCTACCGAGGTTGATGGCGACAACGAGGAGGAGAGCGAGCGACGACTCTCAATTTCGAAAGCGGATTCCGGCATCGTTGTCGACGCGTCCTCCGCCTCTATTCACACCGATGCTGCTTCTGAGATCACACAGACCGACTCGCACCCTGCCTCACCCATTATTGCTTCATCCGAGCCTGACCACTCGACCACGGCATCTTCGCTATCCGAATCTACTGACGGGACGGTAAAAGATATCGAAGACGAGTCCCAACAAGAGCTTTTCAATGTGAAGTTCGATATGGCCGAGACAGAAAATCCACACGACCTGGTGGTCGAGTCAGAGATACTCGCCGAGGTGGCTGCCACCGAAGATACTCTGCTGGATCTCGAGACCGAGACGGACGTTCCTGTAGCGAAAGAGACGGGGCAAACGCTCCCTCCATCGAACGAAGAGAAGATCGTTGAAAAGATTGAGGTGACGATTGAACCTGAGCAAGATGACACCCCCCTTGTCGAACAGGCTATTGAGGCCATTCAGGTCGAGGAACAACCCCGCGAGGAACAGCTGCTGGAAGCTCAACAAAACGAGGTACACCTCGAGATTGAAAAGGCCGAGATCAAGGAGACAGAGTCCAAGTCTCCCATTAGCCTGCCAATCTCCAAGTTCTCCACGAGCCCAACACAAGAGAAAGCACCTGTTGTCTCCCCTTTGCAATCACCCAAGGGGGAAACAAAGGAAGAAGGACCTGTCAAGGCCACCGTATCGGGAACCACAGAAGGAACACCCAAGTCGCCTATTTCACCTCGCTCCCCGGGATTGAAGGTCCCCAGATCAAAGTTCTCAACGCAAGATCTTCGAGCGGCGGCGAGCGAGGTGCCAACCATTATCTCGCCAGCGGAAGAAATGGTTAAGGAGCCTCTGCCCGCCCCTATCGAAGAGCATAGTGATGGCGATGCTCAGTCAGCCGACTCGGAACGTTCCAAGCGAAAGGCCCTGGTTGACCCTATCCGAACTGATCTCGGCACATCTGAAAAGCAGCAAGACGTCCACACTTCTGACGATGAGGAGCTGATGAACGAGCTCGACTCGGCCACCGTTGAACAGGCCCACCACATCACCGTCTCAAAATCACCCATCACTCCAGTCTTCCCCAGTCCGACGGTCCAGCAGGCCTCCAGCAGGCCCACTTCGCGTGGCGTTGTTCGCACCATCTCAAACCCCATCCGTGGCAACCTTCTCACGCCTGCAGACGTAGCCCAAAGCCAAAGTCAGAGGTCCATCTCCTCTGGCGCCGCGTTCCTTCACAAGATCACTCAGCAGAACCAGAACTTGTCTACCAAACAACCAGGCAAGATCGGATCGAGCATCTCCCAGCGTATCAAGGCCCTGGAGAAGCTCTCTGCCACCCCCCCTGGCAGCACTGATAGCTCCGAGTCAAGTCTGAAGGCACCGAGACCGTCGTCAGCTTTCTTTTCCGTGAAGAGAGGTAGCGTAAGAGAGACTCCTTCTCGGTCACCTTCTGTTATGGAGAGGACAAATTCTCTTCGAGTTCCCAGCCCCGCTCCCTCGGCACTAGACGATTCGAGGGATTCTTCGCCTGAGACTGCCAAGGCGAATCGCGGGAGATCGGGATCTATGGCCAATAGGTTATCGATGTTCGAGGTCCCCGGCGCCCAGCCGCCCAGGGGTCGACCTGAGTCCATCTCTGTTACTGCACGTATCATTCGCGATCCCAGCCAGGTGGGCAAGGCACCCGAGCTGCCAAAGGATCCTTCTGAATTCGGACGACTGGAGCTCAAAGAGTCACCCTTGGTGGTCGATCATCAGAAGGCAGAGCCTCCGCTGCCGCCGGCCAACTTGGCCAAAGTGGAGGTTTCCAAGGAGACGCTGCAGGAGAGGAGACTGTCTAAGGAGAAGCGTCGTTCGCAGTCTACTGACCCGAAGCCCGACGCTGACGAGGGGCCTCGTCGATCGTCCCTCAGTATCATGAAGGACTTTATCAAGGACCGCCGCAAGTCGCTTACCTCCCCTTCCGCCGAGGTCCTGACAGCTCCCCTTCCTATGTCTCCTGGTTCCAAGTCGCCTTCCAGGCCGCCCTCTACTCACCAGAGCTCGGCAGGCTTCGGTCGTCGTCTTTCCATAAGCAGCCGTCGCTCTTCATTCAGCAAGGATAACAACACAAGCGGAGCCTTGTCCCCTTCTACCTTCACCGAGTGCAGCGGTTCTGGCGACGACAGCAAGTCTACAACCAGCGACAAGAAGAAGAGCCGTGCTAGCCGCTTCATGCGCCGCTTGTCGTCGTCTCTGAGCAGCACGGGTCGTGGTAAGACTATGACTCCTACTGCCATCTCTCCTACGGTTCAGGAGGAGGATGCTTCTGAGGTCAAACGCCTCCAACAGCCAACCATCGACTTCTTGGGCGACGTCAATGTACAGTTTCCGGATAATCTGCTGTGGAAGCGCCGCAGCATGTCCCTAGACTCGCAGGGTTTCTTGATCCTCAGCGCTGTTGCTGGCTCGGCCGCCACAAAAGACAGGCCGTCTACGGGTGCCGGAGTGAAGAGATACCACCTCTCTGACTTCCGGATGCCGTACATCCCCGATGTAGAGGTTCAAGAGTTGCCCAACAGTGTTGTCCTCGACTTTATTGAGGGATCTGGCCTTCAAGTTGCGTGTGAGGATCGCGTCGGGCAGATGAATGTCTTGCACAGTAAGTCATAAGCACCAAATATGTATGCATACTCCGCGCTAACCTTTGCTAGTTCTTCAAGATGCGCACCAGAGCCACAGCTCATTTGGCCAGTAAACTACGATGCCGCCTTTTCTACACTTACCACTTCATTCCCTTTATCCTATTATACCCCAAGAATCCTATTCTCCAACTACACATCATCAAGCAACTCGCCGCTTTTCTTTGTCAACATACCTTCTGGATCATTCATTTTGACAGCCCATGACGGCCTAAAGCATGACTTTACTGCTCTTGCCTCATTATTTTCTATATCAAACCAAGCTTGCTAGCACCTGAGATGTTGCTCGCAGCCAAACTACGAACCACCCGCAGAAACCCCCTTCCATAACTTAGTGGGCACTTAATTGCATGTCGCATGGCCCGACACACACTATCCCGTTTTCTTTCCATTTATTCCCGCTTCTTCATTTTTGCACTTCGTTTCAGTCTGGAAATGATACCACCCCACACGGGGACTGTTCAGGTTGGAGAGACATTTGGAATGGTGGTTTGTTGGAAATGCCTATCCATCAGACCAGCCGGCTTCCCATGAATATAATCCCCCCCCCCCCCCCCCCCCCCCCTTTTTTGTTTCTTCAGAGAGATGGAAACTCAGAGGAGGAGCCGCAGATGTTGGGAGGCAGACTTCATTTTGAGTTGAGCTGGTGCTTTTGTGCCCAGACACGCCAGGCATTGCAGAACATTGAAATGTACATATTAACCAACCTATTCATCTCGGCACGGAGGCTTAGACTTGGAAACAAGCCAGCCTCCATGAGGCGTCGAATAAGATGCAGATATCTGACTTGACATAAACGTTCTCTGTGGTGATGAAGTGTGTGGTGAGGAGGTGAGTGAATGATGCCTTGATTCGTTATGGAGGTACCTAGCTAGCAACACTGCGTCTCAGCCTCAATACAGGCATTTAATCCCTAGTCTGGTATCTATCCATTGCACTCTCGTCCCAAAGTAGCAAGACCAATCCTTTCCCGCCCTTCCTCATTCATTCCGAGTTTTCAAGTCATCTTTTCTTCTAGATTAAATGGTCTTTTCCCTCAAGTTCATGTCTGATCTTGCATAGAAGCCCGTACCGATTCCAAAAGAAAAAAGCTCATACAGCCATGTTTAGACGGTGAACATCCGGAAGATGCGCTTGTTGACGTCTCTCGTCCTCATTGGAATCGGGAATGATCTGCTGCCGGCTGGGGTTGTTGGGGTTGTACGTCTGGGAGGGTCTCTGTTCATCGAGTTCGCCATGTGGTTCAAAGCTGTCGCTTTGCTGCTGGGTCGGCTGGATTTCGGCACCTCGAGTCGAAGCCGCCATGGTGCGAGAGGTCAAATATGCTCCCCGCCACTCTTGCGTCCGTGTTTGTTCCTGCTGCTGGTTGTGATGCTGTGGTCCTACCTGACGCTCCTGGTTCGCGTTCTGTTCTTGCCCGGCGACGCTACTGATATCGGGAGCAGCCTCACCATCATCGGACCGACCTCCAATAGTACTCTCCTCCCTTCCCATGAAGAATAGTCTGATTCTGCGCCTGACAAAGGGTCGGAAACCGCCGCGGAGTTGGATGGGCATGTGGAGATCGACGCGCGGCATGTGAAAGTCGTGAATACCGCCGTTGTTGCCGTGGGTGTAAAAGTAGTGAAGGCAGGGGATCCAGCAGCAGGCGAGAGAGGCGAGGAGGAGGCCGGTGAGGACGCCGAGGAGGATGCCTTTGAAGACTAGAGAGGCGTCTGTGGGGCTGGAAAGGATCCATGCTTCGATTGCTTCGGTCGTTTTGGCTGGGGCAGGAACGCGTGAAATGGTCGCCATGATGACTGAATGTTGGCGATGCCTGTCTTTTTCAGGTTTTCTTTTTTTTTTTTCTCCCTTTTCCTTAGGCTTGAGTTTTGGAAGTATACCGACCGACTTTTGGAAAGTGTTTTGGCGGTGAATGGTGAGGAAGTTGCTGATGTTTTCTGCGAACGATGATTCACACGGTTCTTTTGTAGATTGGTGAATCAACAGTGACGAAGAGGCTTGTACGTTATTCTTTTTTGAAGGAATATATCTTTGCAGAAGTCTTCTAACGTGAGCGAAGAGTGCCGCGTGTGTTGTTGTAGACTCCTTGGTTTCGTGATGCCTTGTTGTTTGATGGTGTGAATAGAGACGAAAGGCGCAAATGGTCAAGCCAAAGTTCTGTGTTCTTCTTTTCACAATTGATTTTTCCCAAAGGGTTTATAAAATGTCGGCGTGGAAGTGCGAAAAAGAGTAGTTTGGGAAGGTGTGTTAATCATCTAAAGCAGGAGCAACTCCTATTTCTCCTCTGCTCTTTCCTCTGTGGTGGGATTTGGGACAACGGGACAACAGAAGCCTTTACCATAAATTTGAGCATACGAATGAGGTAGGTTATAAAAGTCCTTGAGGACACTTTCTGTTTACAGATTTTCTACTAGATGACGCTCATTCTCCCTAAGGAATCCCTGAATAGCCTCCAATGCAATACCTCTTCGCATCCCCGTCTTGTCGTCCCATGAGGAATGCAAGCCAACCAGTCTTCCTGTCCGTCGCTCAATAAGGGGTGCCCCCGAGTGCCCCCAATATGTCCAGCAAGTGTGCATAAGCGCCCCGATATCCGAATTATCTTGGACGTCCTGCCCTTCGACGCAGCCTCTGAAAGTCCCGGTGCTTAAGTGCAGCATGTCGTATCCCGTCTGGATACCCGTTTCCGCAGCTTCTAGATCATTGCTTCCCGGATGACCAACACATACAAGACGGGATTTAAGAGGCGGCGGGGAGGTGGCTGGTGTGATGAATGGAAAGCCTACGGCCGCCCTGCTCGGATCCGAGGTTGTTGAAGACGGGGGCTCCTGAGCTGCTATGACTTTCAAGAGAGCGAGGTCACGCCTCGAGTCCCATACCAAGGTTTTCGCTTCCACTACTTGACCTGAGGCGAACAGGAGCCAGTGGCTTTTGGACTTGTCAAACTCGTCTGCTGTTTCGGCTACACAATGAGAGCAGGTGAGGAGGATGCCGTCGCGTGAGATGCAGACGGCCGTACCAGCTTCCTCTTGGGCAAAGAGTAGCGTTGCCATCAGTGACTGAGCGAGACCTTTTACTTGCATGTCTTGGGGGGCTTCTAGTTGATTCTCTTGTAGCAGGCGACGCTTCTTCAAGAGAAGCTGGAGGTTCTTTCTTGTGAGATGTTTAAGTTTGAGACTTGCGCCAAGAGTTTCTGGTAAGCTGTGTATCTTGGTTTCGCTCATGAAGGCCTTGGTGTTGGATGCCGAGGCAGCTGGCATTGGTTGACTATTTGATTCAGAATGAGGAGATACAAAAGCGACTGCTGCCGCGAGCCTTGTTTTCTGTCTTGTCTGTCGAGGAGAAACCAAAGCTGGCATAGGCTCTTCGTCCATAATGATAAAACTCGGAGTTTCTGTGAGAAGGGACTTTCCCTCCAGCAATGGTAGGTGTAAGGAATCTGCAGTCAAGGTTTTTGGTGTTTGAAGTTGCAGGATCATAACATCAACCAGCGTTAGCCTTCATCTGGGTGGCGTTGAGATTGCTGCCTAATCCCATAGGCTAAATATGAACGACTGGCAGATCTATTATTGTAAGTATTTAAACACGCTAAATGTAATCGGTTGTTTAACTAAGCCGCCGCTTTCTGAGCCCACTCTTCGGCCAATGTCTTGTAATCCTCAGGACCGTAAGGATCAGACGCTTCGGCAATCATACCATTCTTCCTATACACATTCAATCCCAAATCACGGACTAGTTCATCGACATACGGTATAGCGTCAAAAACAAAGTCAGGGAACATATCGCCATGGCCCGCCGGATACCTCCACTTGCAGAACCGGTTGTGCAAAGCGGTTTCATACCGCAGCTCTTCCAGCGCCTTAGGGTCTGAAGTCGCCTTGCTGACGGCGGGCAGCTTATCATGGAAGAAGGCGTCAATCCACAAGGCTTGGGTGTTTGCAATAATGGCGGCGGTAATGTGCATGAGGACACCCGCAAATGCAATATCACGGTGCTCCAGGAACTTCTGCGAAGGCGGCGCCACGAAGCGGTACAAGGCATACGATGTCTGTGGAGTGAAGGGGTTGACGGCTTCCTTCGTCGAGATGCCACCGTTCTCTACCAAGGGCTTCAGCTTCTTGTACTTCGCTGGCTGCTCTTGGAGTCCTGGCCACCTGCTGAAGATCTCCTTGTCGACCTTATCGAGCAAATCGGCAGATGGGAAACTGTCTGGGGTCGGAGTGTGAGGGATTCCAAGGTCTTTCTCGATACCGACAGGCAAAAACTTGATTGGCTGGAACTGCTTCCATCCAGTCGCACAGGCAAGAGTATCCGACTCAAGTGCAGATCCGTCGGAAAGATGGACGGCTCTAGGCGACAACTTCACGATGTCAGCGACGTGCACATGGACCTTTCCATCACGAATGAGGTCGAAAAAGTCGGTCTCGTAGTTCAAGATCGATAAACTGGACGCGACATGCTTGGCTTCGCACCAAGGCTTCAGCTTCTTCAGCTCAGGGTGCGAGTCGTACTTGTTTAGCGTAATGACGTCGTTGCCGAGGACGCTCCAAAAGTTGTTGACGATGCCACGACCGATGGCGGTGCCGTGGTAGAAGTTTCTCGTCTTGTTGTAGCCGTCGGCCTCACCCCAGGCGCAGGGGCTGAACCAAGTCAACGCGCGTGTATGGACAAGCTTCTCGAGCCACTTCTTCAACGGTGTAACATATGGCGGTGCCATCCATACTGGGCCATGGCCGGACTCTGCATTGGATTAGTAATGGCAACCTAGTCGAAAGAGAAATTCAAGGTACCTCGGATGACCCAGTTTACCGCAATGCCCTTTGTAGCATATGCGTACACCAGATCCCAAGCCGACTTGGTGCCACCAAATACAGTAACACGCTTAGACGTCTCAAGCGTGTCAGCATGCTGGAGAAAGTCCTTTCCATGAAAGATTGGTGCACCAAAGGTTTCTTGGCCCTCAAAGTCAGGCAAGAAAGCCTGAGAGGTCAGACCAGTCGCAACAACAAGCTTCTTAGCTAGAACTTGAATCTCTCTGCCGTCCTTGTCGTCAAAAATCGTCAGAATCCAACCTCCGGTCTCTTGGTGCTCGACCGAGAGAATCTTGTGCTGGAAACGGATCTTGTCAAAGATGCCAAAGTTCTTGGCGTACTGGGTGAGATATTCGTGCAGGACCTTTCCCGGAATGTGCTGTCCCGGAAGAACGCCAAAGGTCTCCGAGTCCATGGCAAAGTCGGGGTACTCATAGGTCCCGAGCATGTTGTTACTCTTCAAGCCCGGGTAAAGGCGGTGCTCAGCCCACACGCCGCCCGCCGTCGGCGACTGATCGAAGACGGCCAGCGAGTTCTGCGGATGAAGCTGGTGGTGAGTCTTGGCCGCGGCCAAGCCATACCAGCCTAGCAACTCCAAGTTAGGTCACGCTTATCAACGCTTAGGTTGGAGGTTCTTACCAGCGCCGATTACGGCAAAGTCGAGAGTCTCCATTGGGATGAGTGTATTGCTACAACGTGAGTGACGATTCTGTTTCGTCACCAAAGTTCCGAATTCAACTCAACCGAGGGGCACACAACTAAGGGCGAAAACACGGACAAGTCCCTCAAAGACACAGCAGGAAATAAACTTGAACGGGAGAGGGAACAAAGATACATGTCTGGTGCGCGCTAGACGTCGAAACAGACCCCAACTTGTGGATAGCGGATGGAGTAAGGCCCCCCTGGGTCTTGGTTCATCTGGAATCGATACAACCTACTTCGATAGTGCAACGGCCGACTTGCAGACTCGGTACTGATTTGCGGGTTTGGGTATACTGAGGCCCTGGTTATGTGCCCACATCTCGGACAGGCCTAGACTGAGCCTGTCTGCCCCCGCTGCCAGAACCCGGGATCTGCATTACTTATTCCTTCGGGCACCAAACGCGACACCTAGGGTTGAAGTTGCAAATGTTCTGAATGTACTGCCCGAGAGGGGATTCCGAGGGCACACGGGTGCCCCGAGCTCCTTGGAGTCATGACCGGATTCTCTCCCCGGACGAGAACAGATCGAGACCCACTAGTGACAAGTGGGATAATGGCAGGGACCTTGACTCGTGGCTGCGGAGGACGATGCTCTTTCAAGACAACGCTTCCATCAAAAGGGTTTTAAATAGAAACCTCGAAAACGAACTGATGGCGCAATAATGCGCCGAGTTTCGTTTTTGCTCGCAAGGAATAGGATTCATGAGGGAGTTTGTTGGTTTAAGAAACTAAAAAAACCGTTATGTTGGGACGTGCCTTGGCGCAGCTGCCACAGTCTTCAGCAATATGCACCTAAGCCAGCCCATGTCATACAGAAGCTAATCCTCTACCCGAAAGGAGCTTAAGTTGTTAGATTGACGCCTGCGTCCGGATAAAATGCTAGGAAATCTAGCTTAGTTGCATTCTTGCAATATGCTGAAACCGGGAAGAACGGGTAGATACAAAACAGAACCCTGCTTCAACCGGAATGGGTAGAATTACTCAATCAACAACATGAATCACTCTTTGCTCAATGAACCCCAGGTGTATTGCATCAAACTAATATCGTTTATCTAACAATTAAGAGTCTCATATCGCTCGAGAGCTAGTTACGCGCATGGAAAGATACGATGTCGAGTGGCAATACCTTATCTAAGAAGGTACTACTACGGACCTTTGAAGACTGGGGCCGTTGGGACGAAGAATTCCAAACAAAAGCTATAGGCTTGCATTTATGGGATTACATCAATCCTGAAAATGATGGAGCTTTAATGGAAAAACCTGCGAGACCGACAGTTGAATCCTATAATCGAAAGATTACTCGAGCTACCGACCCGGAGCAACTGTCCCAACAGGGGAGACAGACCCGCCACAGTGGCCAATCGAGTCAGACAGTTAGCCAGTCATCTGCGGGCGACTCCCTACCCTCAGCAACTGAGTCAACTGACCCACACCTCCATGCTCGAAATCTATCCGAACTTACTGCGGACGACAAAGCCTCCTTTACGTTCGAATGGAGGGTTTACGAACAAGACTACAAGGAATACAAAGAGCAAGAAGCAAATTCTGAGAAGCTTAAGGCTTGGGTTATTGATACGGTTGACTATGGCTTACGCCAGAGCTCTTGCCGCGCTATATGGGATTTGAGGACATGGTACTCCAACCTACAGACGAGTGTAGGCGCTACTGAAAGAGAACAACAAGCTGCGGCTCGTCGAAAGTACCAGGCAGCTATAACAACATTGACTAGGGTACCTAAAGACTTCGCTGGATGGATCACTTCCTGGGAAATGGCGGCAAACCATGTGCTCGTGAGGAAAACCGGAGGCGTGGAAGACCCCAATATTTGGTTCGACGATTTGACCAAGGCCATCCAACCAATTCTGGGAAGTTAGGCAGCTATATATGCTGGAATCTACAAAAACAAACTTGAGGAAAAATCATTGACGATCGGAGAGGTTGCAAAAGACCTCAGGAAGGAAGCAGAACGTCGAGATCTTCTTAGCTCGCGAGAGAAAGGTTCCCAAATAACCAAAGGCGTATTTGGCCCAACCTTTGCCGCAGACCGCGACAATACATCTTGGACGGAGGCTGAAACGCATAACGAAGAAGGGAGCCAACCTAGTCAAGACCAAGTCAACAGCCGAAAGCGAAAACGCACAGTCACCACACGGAGCACTAATATAGTGTGTAAAGCCTGTGATGGCAATCACGCTCTAGAAAACTGCTACTATGTGTTTTCCAACGATGCACCAGACTACTTCAAGGGCAGGAAATTAATCCGTGATGCGGTTGAACATCGACTTAAGAACGACGCATCTCTCAAGGATGAAATCAACCGCATCAAGAAAGTCAAACACGTTGAAGCTACCGATTGACTAGGACGAAGTATTGGAGAGTGCACAGCCAGCTTCGTTGTCTCTGCGTTTAATTCGATGTCCTGCACTACATACTACCCATTGAAGAATTCGGCTCTTCTTGACTCAGGGTCAACAATACATATCTTTAATAACTTCAACCGGTTTAACAACTTCCGTCGATCGGAGGCTGGGGATTTCATCCTTGCTGGAGAAAGCAGAATTCCTATCCAAGGATACGGGAATGTGAACATACAAACCCAGGGACCGAGAGGACCAAGAATAATCTAACTGAACGATGTCGCACTATGTGGAAATTTCCCTTGCAATCTGGTATCCCTTAGACAATTAAGAAAACGCGGATATTGGTGGGACAATCGTCTTCGTTCTAACTACATAAGGTCATTCGATAACTCAATCGTATACAAGGTTATGGACCGATATGACCAATTCGTCATCGAAGATATACCTCCTAACACGCCGAATACTGCATTCGTTACTCGAAGACACAAATTGAACTCCTGGACAAAGAAAGGTGCTATGAAAGCAGACGCAAGGAGGTGGCATCTTCGACTTGGACACCCAGGACCTCAGGCTCTGGAACATCTAGTTAATACCTCACAAGGGGTCCGGATAAAAGGACTAACCACGGTGGAATGTGATGGATGCGCACTTTCCAAGATGAAGCGTCAAATAAGCCGTCAACCACGGAACGTAGGCTACGGCCCGGGTGAGCGATTAGCAATCGACTTTCATGACCTTCCAAAAGACCCTATAGGCAGAAGTAGCGTAATGCTAATCACGGACCGCTGGTCGGGAATGATTTGGGACTACTACCTTGCGGAAAGAAGAATAGGAACGATCAGTACCGTATTGAAAAACATAACCGGCATACTCGAACGACAATACCAAATCAAACCAAAGATTATCGAATGCGATAATGAAATCGTGACGGGAGGAGTTGTATCTGTATTACTTCACTCCTAACATATCAGAGTCGAAGCATCAGCTCCGAACACCCTAGCACAGAACGGAGGAGCTGAGGTGTTAGGGAGAATTATCAAGGCGAAAGCGCGGGCTATGAGGATAGGAGCTCGGCTGCCAGAGCATCTGTAGGTCGAGATTTACCGTGCAGCTGTATATCTGTACAACCGGACGCCAAAGCATATGTATAGCTGGCGAACACCGTACGATAGATTTTACACCGCCCTAGCGCATAGAGACGGGGTTGCGGTCTAAGACCGAAAGCCATACCAAGCACACCTACGTGTCTATGGATGCAAGGCATATGCTATGACGACGGATGCTTAATTACAACGGAAGAAAAGGCAAAAGTTGAACCCAAGAGCATGGATCGGTTTTCTTGTGGGGTACCAGTCAACAAACATTTATCGAATATGGAACCCTCAGACTGGAAGAGTCGTCGGAGCAAGAGACGTTATTTTTAACGAAGACGAATTATTTAACGGAAACTTGAACCAATTAAGAGATGACCTCCTTCACGTCGGACAGCAAGAGCTAATCAATTTACTTGACCAGGTTGAGGAACCAGAAACAGACCGAAATATGATAGCAGAAGAAGACCACACCGGTGCCTTTATACCCCAAACAAATTGGGAGGGCCTTTATGGAGAAGACGAGGACGTCGGAACCCAGCTCAGTTAGGAAGATGCCGTTCTCCATGAAGTAGAAAGAGATACAGGAGCTGAACAGTTGGAGGCTGAGTCTGATCAACCAGCTGGTACCGACGAAGGCTCTGGACAAACCGGGGACGCGGAAGTCGACCTGGGGAAACCAGAAGGCGGCACGGGAGACCAGGCAGAAGCCGGCACCGATGACCAAGCCAAGAATTCTGATGCCCAGAGTCGTCCGTACCCATCCCCTGTGTCTCTTCCACCGACAGCACTTCTAGCTATGACGATTCGGGATGATTCGGAATTCCTACAAGCAAATGCTCAGAAAGGTGAAAGTTTATATGATGTCTTTGAAGCATGGAAGGCAGCGTTTGCGGCTGGACGACAGGCCACGCCGGTGGGCATCTTTGAAGGAAAGCAGATCGACAAAGCAAAGCTTCAACGACTGTTAAAGAATCCAAGTTGCCTACACAGGCGGCAGATGCCTCCGTTACCGCGAAGCCATGCTGATCTTAGAAACCACCCCATGGGTACGCTATTCGAGACGGCGGAACAACAACATCTACGCAGTCACGCCGAGATGAAATTTTGGATTGAAATAAGTCGAAAAGACACCCGTGCGAAGGACTGTCAGGTCCTAGACTGCATGTGGGTATACGTATATAAATTCGACAAGCATGGACGGTTTCAAAAGGGCAAAGCACGCCTCGTGGTCAGAGGAGACCAGCAAATCAAGTCAATACATGAAGAAACCTATGCCGCAACACTAGCAGGACGGTCTTTCCGGACACTGATGGCGGTTGCTGCACGTTTCGACCTCGAACTAATCCAGTATGATGCCGTTAACGCGTTTGTAAACGCAAAGCTAGACAAGGACATATTCATGCGCATGCCTCCAGGCTATCGGAAACCAGGAATCATCCTGATGCTCCAGAAAGCGTTGTATGGCCTAAGAGAGTCACTACTCCTGTGGCAAAAGGACCTTATGGCTACGCTGAAAGACCTCGGGTTTGAAACCGTTCCACATGAGCCCTGCTGCATGATCAAAGGAGCTATCATTATCTTCTTCTATGTGGATGATATAGTCCTGGCATATGAAAAGAAGAAAGAGAATGAAATCAAAGAAGTAACAGGAAAGTTACAGAGACGATATAAATTAACGGGGGGAAAACCACTACAGTGGTTCCTTGGAATCGAAATCATTCGAGACCGAGACAAGAAACTTATCTGGCTATCACAGTCAGACTATATTGACAAGATTGCTAACCTATCTGAAGATAGAGATCAGCGACATGACATTCCCATGAGACGCGAAGAGCTAAGACCGTATGAAAAACAAGCTAGCATAGCGTCCATAAGGCGATACCAACGCAAGATTGGATCAATTCTATATGCTGCCGTTATTACTAGACCTGACATAGCTTTCGCAGCATCAAAACTAGCCAGGTTCAACGCAAACCCAGGTCCAGAACACTACAAAGCAGCAGACCAGGTTCTGCTTTATCTGAAGAAAACCAAATCGCTTGCCTTGCAATTCGGCGGAGACGATGAGTTCTTCGTAGCAAGCGATGCCTCGTTTGCAGACAATACAGAGGACCGCAAGAGTTCCCAAGCCTATGTAATGCGATTGTTTGGAGGCACTATCGGTTGGAGAGCTAATAAGCAAGCAACCGTTACTACTTCAACAACAGAAGCTGAGCTACTTGCTCTTGCTCAGGCAGCCAAAGAAGCTATATTCGTATCGCGACTACTTAAGGAACTTGGACTTCAATTGGATGAATCACGGATACGAATACAATGCGATAACATCCAGACAATACAACTGATCAACAAGGACATCACCAAGTTGCAGACAAAACTCCGACACGTTGATATACACAACCACTGGTTGAGACAGGAAGCTCAATTGAATAGAATCAAAGTGGAATACAGACCTACTGCAGATATGGTTGCAGACGGACTGACTAAACCGATGAGCCATACGCCATTCAAGACGTTTATCAAACAAATCGGCCTAGTGGACATCTCCAACCACCTAGAGAAGAGAAAGCTGCCCACACTGGGAGAAATGGAACTTCTAGGTGAAATGGAAAAACTGGAAAACTAAGTAACCCAGCGGATCAGTCTCTGCCTAAGCGGCCTCAACTGGGGGGGTGTGTTAGATTGACGCCTGCGTCCGGATAAAATGCTAGGAAATCTAGCTTAGTTGCATTCTTGCAATATGCTGAAACCGGGAAGAACGGGTAGATACAAAACAGAACCCCGCTTCAACCGGAATGGGTAGAATCACTCAATCAACAACATGAATCACTCTTTGCTCAATGAACCCCAGGTGTATTGCATCAAACTAATATCGTTTATCTAACATAAGTCGGTGGGGGGATCCACAGCCCCATTTCAACGACAATTGAAGAATCCTCCTTAAAGATCTCCTTTTTCATCAGATCAATGCCAGGGAAGCCTCCGTCGGCATGGAATAATTCGTCTGTGCAAATAAAACATCGGTGACGAAAAGGAATATCAATAAATGTCTCATCCGAACAAAACTTTTGTTTGGTTCGCAGTCAGTCCACGCTGACAGGACCTTCGGAATAACACGAAGGGCCTGGGCCGTCAAGAAGTCAATATGGAGTGAAACAAAATAGGCTGTTCATCTCCCTACCTAGTAAGTAAGGCTTAGAAGTGGTAGCTGGACTTTGCGCAAATCCTAAGGCGGCTGAATTTGGGCTCTCTGCGGAAATTGGGCTTCCCAAAGAGTTATTTGTTATGAAGAAACATTGCTGTTAGTCCTGCCGACATGTCACATTAGGACAACCCCAGAAGTTGACGCAACTACGTAGTCTCCGCCCCCGACTCTCCACCTCCCATGTCACTGTCATGAGTCGTGAGAGTCTCATCCGTCTGCACCCGCCCTTCATCCGCCCTTCATCCGCCTTCCGTCTTCATCCGCGTTAATACGTGACTTGCGGTTTTACGTGACCTTGGAGTTGGCCTCTCAGGGCTTTAATCGAGTTCACTCAGGAACTTGAATGGGCAGGTATGGAATGCGAATTCTAAAACATACTGATGGCTTCCAAACGAATTTGCTCATTTGTTCAAGTTTCTGTTCTAATCACTCTAAAGCACATGTTGTGAGCCGCATCTCGACTGAGCCAGAATGACGCACCTTCTTTGACAACTGCCATTGCGGAAGACTTGCCTGTTTCTGTCACCCTGCCAGGGCTCGGAGGAAGGAGAAGGGATGTTATTCGATCTACCCCTGAAATAGGACCGTCAGTTTAGTCCAAAATGTACGGAGTAGACGTGTGCCATGTGCCAGACTTCCAGTCCCATTGGTCCTCATCCTCGATGCAATAAAATGCCTGTAAATCTGACAGCTAGTTATATGCAGGAGATGGAGCGTTTGACCCCTTGTTCCGGTTAGAGAATCGCATATCACCACCAAGCGGAGCTCCGGTTAATTGACTCCACTTCTTATTGTGAACGAATATCCCGAATGGTCTTGTCGCATTAGGCGCTTCCTTAACATTGGCTGTAGAACCACCTAGCTAGGTAGAGGCCGGTGCTGACTACCGTCTGACAGAGTTGCGTAACGGTACGATCTGAAGTGCAACATATTCCAAATGAGCGTCCTTACTAGCCGGTAGTTATAGATGATCACCCCACGGTTTATGATACTAGCTACAAGCTGCCGGACGGCTTGCACACACACAACACCGGCCTCACTTCGGCATGTTGTACCTGTGGGACTTTCATCATGGTTGGCTGAGGTGCGTGGAAAAAGCTCCGCATTCCATGATGAGGATCTATGCGTGAGTGCTAAAAGAAGCCTAGAAGCTAGACGAAGGCGAGATTTTCCTTGTTTCCCTGGGTTCCTTGTCCTTTCAGAGCTCTTGCACCAGCTCAAACGGGATTCGTTGCGACAGACACACACCAATTGTAGAAAATCTGCCGCTGACCCATCGGCCGAACTCCGAGGGCCTACGGATACTGCATCTCCATGAGCGTTCTCACCTTGTGTGCCCACTATCCATCATTCCAAAATATCGCCCCCTCCCCCCGTTTCCACATGCTACCCAGGTACGGAGTAGGTACTACAGGAGTCCCACACATCTTTACGTATGGAGAGCGGGAGGCTGTAATTCTGGAGCACGACCTGTGTTCGCGCTCAAACCCCTGATTCCTTGCCCTGAAGTGATTGTAACCGGAAGCGTGGATGATCAGCATTGCTGCGCATTTCCTACCGTTCCTGCAGACTGCAATGGGTCTTCTTTCGAGCCCTATATACCTTACTCTCGCAGCTCTGGCACCATGTGATTGTTGCGTGAATTTGTTCCCCCCCAGTTTAATGCACCCGTGAGGTCCGGTGTCATGAAATCAGTATGTCTGACTTTACAACAGAGGCGTTCACGCTTCTCGGTGTGGCTATTGCAGTCGTCTTTCTAAGAACATATGCACGGATAAAGGCTGTGGGCTGGAAGCATCTGCAGGCGGATGATTATCTTATGCTTGTTGTCGTCGTAAGTCGCCCTTCCGCTTGCTTGTCTACGTGTTTGGTACTGATATGCTGGATTCCAGTGCACATACTCTGCTGAGACTGCTCTGGCATATAGTGTCGGGGCGTACTGGCGAGGACTTGCCAATAATGGCATGACGGACGAACAAAGGAGGAATTTGGACCCCAACAGCGAGGAGTTTAGGCTCAGGTACGACAGCCATACCATCTATAACGCAACCTATCTGACTCAGTGCTCCAGGGTCAACGGATCGAAGACACAGATCGCAGGATGGATTACATACAGCTGCTTAGTACTCTGGCCGGCGAAGGCTGCGATGTGCACCTTCTACTTACGTCTCACGGTACGTAAAATGCATTCCCGTCACCGAAGACAAACTTTGACACCGAGAAATAGGAAGGACTTCATAACTACCACAAGCGCATATACGCCGGCTTCATTTTGATTGTGGTGACTTGGTTGGCAGTATTCCTGTCCATTATCTTCAGCTGCTACCCCATACATAAGAACTGGCAGATATACCCTGACCCTGGGAGTGAGTACGGGAATGACCTTGTTCAAGAGAATCCTCTTCTGACAACGTATGCAGACCTATGCCAACCTGCCATCTCCAAAATAAACATCCTTGTTACGGTTGTTCTCAACGTTCTGACAGACCTTTACCTCCTGAGCATACCGATTCCAATGTTATGGGCCTCGAAGCTCCCTATGAGAAAGAAACTTGGTCTTATAGTTCTTTTCTCTGGAGGAATCTTCGTGACGATGGCCGGCATTTTACGCTGCGTTCTCATCATCTCGGTAAGTCGAAACCCTTCTTAGTTACGAGTACGCTTTACTGAGATGTCTTAGGATCCGGTAAACGGCGCTCAGCAGGCAGGCTCCTGGGCTGTCCGTGAAACCTTCGTCGCAATTGTCACGACCAATCTCCCGATGATATTCCCATTACTTCGCAAGTGGTTCAGCCCTGTGTTCGGCACTATCACCAGCACTTTCTCCCGTACTGCCACGCGAAACAAGTATGGAAACACAAAGCGCTCCGACCTACCGCAGCCTGGAAGCATCAAGCTTGACGACGTCACGGACAGCAAGAATCGCAAGAAGGGACGCCCACCATTTAGCCAGTACCCCATTACAGAGATTACTATGATGGGGAGCGAAGAGTACCTTAATAAGCCTCAACCACCGCTGCCGGCACCGGCTAATGGGGGAATCAGCAAGAATGTGGAGATACGTATCGAAGAATGGAAACGAGACAGCAAGAGGGAATTAGGCAACAGTTCGGAAAGTTCTCTCGAGAGGGGTGAAGCCTTTTTCACAGTTGACGTCAACAGGCCCGAAGATGATAACGCGGCTAAAAGAAGTAAAAGCTTCAAGGGAACACATAATGGAGGAGATGATAAGAAGGATAGGAGTTTTTTTTAAAGTATATTAATACTGGGACGAATCTGGCCAACAGCCAACGGAAGCAAAAACTGCACCTGTAATCAAACACACGAACATAAAACGACACCACAAATGGCATCACTATATACATTACCGAAACATATGGACAAAAACCTTCCCATCGTTCCATTTTGAGTACTACTTATGCACCAATATAATCCGGGTTCAGAGACAACCACATCTGGCAGTTTGATTTTACTGTTAAAATAATGTAAAAGAGTCTTTAGAATTGCATTACAATAGTCTTCGCGTGGTTGGAGTTTGTATAATACCAAGCCGAAAACGGCGACATTACTTGTTGTATGGCAAAAGTTCAGAGGACTCGAGCTGGCCCCCAATAACACAATTACAGCAGGCTTCAGGCGTGGAGATAGGATTGTAGGCAATCAAGTGGCTCAGGATTTCTACGGAATTAACATTGCTCCTACTTTCACTCGTTTGATCAGAACAGTTCTAAATTAGAGCGTTTCTTTCAGCATCTTCAACTTTTCAGACTCCGAGGTAACTGTTGATCAAAACGCGGCTGGCAAAAGAGCAAAAAGACTTCCCCTCATAACCTAGGTTCTCGGACACGGTTCTATGTAATCGACAATAGCGAATATCATTTTGATATTGTAGAGAAGAGAAGGAGGATCTGCGGCACATAGCCCCCTGGAATGGTCGGGTCGGGACGTGATGGATAATGTAAAGGGAATATCGGCGTCCATCCTTGAAAGAGACTGTGAGAATTGTTCAGCATTTGCATCGAAGTAGTGGAGGTAGCAGAGGGAGATACAGGGTGGACTTGAATTGACAGGGAGGCGTTATATGGAAAAGAAAGTTGGGGGAGACAATTACGTTGGTGAGAATGTGTCTGCTTAGCCTTGACTACGTATACTGATTTTGCAACTTGATGGTGAGGATTTGGGCTGTAGTAGGGATGTGAGTCATGCAGAGTAACACAAATCGATTTGGGTTTTGAGCTATTGCTCGGGGAAAAGGGGATTATACATACGGATCAGAGGTGCGTAGAGTTATGGTAAGATATCTTCAAGCTGTTTGGTTCACTGCTAGTAAAATCATCACAAACTCAGTTAGTTTAGACTCTGACTACCTATGTTGCTTAGGAACAGCGGCAGTTGTCATACACATGAAATATCCTGCAATATGCGCCCATTTTCCCCATACTATCAAACCAACCCTTCGAGTAAGTATCCTTTTTTACAGTCCGCATAAATATTCCTGTAGACGAGATCAACGATGACTTTGAACGTCTGGTCATTCTCCTACAAAGACTTGAATAAGAAGCTGATTCAAAAGGGTGCAGCGATGACCAGATTTCAAAGATAGACACCTCTTTCTTACTTCCCTAAAGTATCCATCAAGTAGCCAGCTCAGTCGGCTATTCTTGGTCTAGATCAACAAAAAATTGAACCTGTGCGTCTGGACCATTGATTTCCCCCGGTTTGGGGCTCAGACAAGTGCGATAAATCATCTTGGTGCCTTCCAACAACTTCTTTCCCACAGACATCTCTTCCACTTCCATAATTGCGGTCTTATAAGTGTTTAAAAATGGATGCACCTGCATCACGAAGTCGCCGATAGTGATGGGTTTACCATCCATTCGCTTGATGAGTATCTTTGGGTCTTCCCGCTTGCCGTCGGAGTTGAAGGCATCTAAACTGAGCGCATGGATACCAACCCACATTTCCGTCAGGTCGTAGTTGGTTACAGGCTCATCTGCGATTGGATGCCCTGCAAAAGGTTCGCGTGCTGAAGTAGGATCATTTGCGATTTCGTAAACCTCAATCTCCGATATATCGTTAAAAACTGCCCAATTGAGGTGGGATAATCGCTCGTGCCGGACAACCTCAGCGGGTTTATCTTTGTCGAGGGGGTTGACGACTCCTTCTGTTGAAATTTGAGATCCCATGTTAACTCTCTTGAGAACGGTAACAAGCGTTGTCTGGCGTTCAGGTTGCACGAACGGGCTGTTTCATCTACGGTGTGACGAGAGATTGGACCCGGAATACTCGGATTAGCTTTGTTTTATACATGAAAAATGCTGGAGTCTAATTAAGGTAAGCTTATTTCTACCACGTGGTGATGCCCAGGCCCAGGCCACCTTCGGACTCAATGACATGGAAACAAGATACCAAGACAGCTCTGACATTCTGAGTGAAAACAGTAGGTGCAGAAGTTCTATCACTCGTATATGATTGGGTTCGCTTTAGGACCAGTTACTGCGCCACACATTTCTTTGAGGGTTTTCCAAATTGCCAAGGCGTGGCCGTTCTTGAACAAAGGGCAACAATGCTCTAGTCCCAGCTTGGACTCAAGAAATTACCTCAGCCAGTGATTCAGTACACAGACCACCGAAAATAGCTAAGTAGATCCTGAAGACAAACCGTAAGATACCTTTGGTTTCAAATTTGGGCCCATCAATGACGTCGGTGATGGCTGGCTATGGACATCTGAGAAATTGACATGTGAGCCGGTGATGGGCGACATCGCAAATGAGGCAATCGAATTATTTCTTATATAGACTGTAATTTCCCGAAAGTAAAGCTATAAAACATGTATATGAGGTCGGATCCACCGATTTCTCATGTTTTCTTGGACTTATGACATCGCCAACCCAAACTATGCGACTTGAGGCACATGCCACTCAAAGTACTCCTTCCGTTCAAAGCAAAATGTCTTTTATTAGTTTAAAATAAGCTATCAAACACTTTCGAAGACCGAGAATTTTTTATGAAGCATGTCTGTGGTGATTACAAGTCAGCGACCTTCAAGCGAGCTCACCCAGAATACCGGATAAAAGCATCAATACCAAGCTAAACAACCACATACGACCATACCCATTGGAAAACTCGGGATCCCGTCCGCTCTCCCATAGATAAGCCAATGAGGGCTGGATTAGTAGTTGGGTCGGTGACGACCAGCGAATACCTGGTGTTGTATGTTTTGTTTTTGAAGTTTTGTCTTGGTACCATTGAGTGGCGTTGAGTGTCTGCTTTCGCAACAGCATCTGTCTCGCCGAAATTCTCGTTTCGAGGTCAGATTAGCAGATTGCTTTATGCAATATGGTTAAGAAAAACCCCGCCAGTCACGTCAACTCGGCTTGCAACTGTAAAGCAATCTTAAACAAGCAACTTCGGCCGAGCTTCGGCTATCCCGGCTGGCATGGAGCCAATGCAGACCAATGTGGTGTCATGTTCCTGGTAGCATTTGAGTGGGGGACTTCCTGCTGTCAATTATGAATTTGAGGATAAGGAGTCGTGGGGCCGCTTTTTATACCTAGTAAATTCGCGTGCTCAGGGCTGTTCAAGGCCCAATTCAGTTAAGATTCCCGCGTAGCCCGCAATATAGTCTTCGTATCGCGGCTATTCAAAGCTGTTTGAAACTAATTCCATTGGAAGACCCTTAAGGCTTGTTGTCCCCTTGTTTCACTCAAGTCCTGGCCTGCCTCCTTAAGTCAAGCTTGTTTTCTCATTTTCGCTGGGTTACGGCTGGCCGCCCACACTTCCCGGCCCAGGCGTGGCTGTCTTCACTTTTAAGAAAAACAATTCCCCGCCAGGCTGCGCCTTAAGATATAGGAAACAGCGTTTGTCTGGCCTCCTCGTCTGCCCATGACCAGATGGCCGAATCCTCGTCTGTCCCTTTTGGGGCCCAGCCGACATCGCCATCAAGTATGCCGCCAGCTTTGCCTCCAGTGCAGTTAGACTTTGTCTACAACATGAGTCAAGCACAGGCAACAGTCGCATTTGGCGCCATTGTGACAATTATCACCACTGTGTCGGTAGTTGTTCGCTTGTATACCCGGTATTTCATCACAAAGCAAGTCCGAATTGACGATGCTTTTGCTATTATCGCTTTAGTACGCCTTGTAAACCCATATCTTCTGAAACATGCTTGCTCACACATGTTCCAGCTTTGTACTTTTTCTGTCAACGTCATGCAGAGCGTCTTTGCCATACGGTATCTTCCTATAATAAAAGCAATGATTATAGAAGGGCACGATGGTTCAAAGGTAACAACCTCATTCTCCGTCGGTTTCTTGTTTGCATGCTTAATAAATTGATCAGCTCCCATATGCAGTTGCAATCACTTACAATGTTGCCATGGCTTGTTTGAAGTTGACGTTTTTGTTTCAATTCTATCACATATTCAGACACGTCCGTGTCATGAAAACTGTCTATCTGGTCGCCATCCTCACAGTCGGGGCCTGGAGCTTGGCGCAGATTATTCTCGCAATCTTGGTCTGCGTGCCCATTCAAGCCAACTGGGATCTCACTGTTTCGGGTGCTGTGTGCCTGCCGACCTATGTATCAACATACATCAATGCCACAGGGACAATGGTGACTGACATCATCGTGCTGTTCTTACCTCTCCCTACTTTATGGGGCTTGAAGTTACGTGGCCGCCAAAGATGGGCTGTATTCGGTGTCTTCGGAATTGGTGCAATGTAAGTGCCTGCCCTCTTGACCCTTTTTGCTTGTTTTTTTTTTTTTTTTTTCGCCATACAGAGTCTGATCAAGTGTTACCTAGCGTCCCCATCATTTCAGCCGGACGTATCTGGAGCCTAACTCGCCCACCACCCAAAGGCTATCTGAGCACAGCATGCTGGACAATTGCGGAACTGGGTGTCGGTGTGACTACTGCATCATTAGCAACGATTCGCCATCTTCTAGATCGAAAAGTTAATGGGTTATTTCGGGCAGAGCCTAGCTCAGAAGGAGCGGTATCTCAAGACGCCACGCAACAGTACTCTCACCAGCGCTCTGGAAGCGAGGTAGATTTGATACACGGCGGCCTGACCGGCAGACAAAGCGCGTTGAGCTTCAAGTTGTTCAGCAAGAAGCGGGTCTACACAGATTCAACTTTAGGTGCCCAGGATCAACAATCGGCTCTCACCCCAAACAAAGGATCAACTAAAACCAATATTACATCTACTCGAAGCCAGGAAATGTCCATGTCGGAAGGAGCCGCCACGTTTCTCGGGGAGTTTGGAATCCGAGTTGAGAAAACCTGGGTGGTCGAAGAGATTCGTTTGGAATAGAACATCCTGCGCGGTTGGGGACCAGGCATTTGAGTGACGATCAGAATAATAATAATATGAATGAAGGCACATAATTACCAGAGATGAGAGATGGCAAACAGACGAATTACTGGCAATGTAACAAGTATCAGCTGCTGTAGTGTTGCTGCTACCAGCGCAATATTAGTCACTACGATGAAGGCCCATTCGACTCGGCGTGTACTGAAGTAGTTTTTGAGATGGGTTACTATATATTACAATCCTTTCACATCAAGACCAAAGGAGGAAACGCATGAGCAAGACACCAACCAACTTCAACGGTGAAGTTGGAATGACTTGGTTCATGTTCGGACAGGATAGTTTAGGTTGAAGAACAACAAATGCTTGCCAGAACTCGACGGAAACCCTGTCTGCAGCATCCCAGAGTCCAATACGCTGTTCAACAACCAGGATCCTGCAGTAATGTAGGTGAAGAGCATCGCCTCTTCCTGCCGTTGAGACGCGGGAGCAATCATCACGCTTCACACAGCCTGACAACCCTTCCGCAAGCAGTAAATCCCCACAAGTTCTCGCACACCACAGTTTGCGGTGGGCGATGTCAAGTCAAACAATGAAACTGAACTCAAGCCCTACAGAGCCCGCTCCGCCCCTCCGCCCCCTCCGCCTTAAACCCCGGAGACTGTATTGCCCCACCGAAAAAAACTAGCTCCGCCACTACGCCGCCGCATTCCGGGCTCCACTTCGGCACCGGACAGGTGACAATTCAACTAAGATGACGTCAGAGGGAACCGAAGGAAAAGTGAGAGGTCAGGTTATCCCAAGTAAATTGCAATTCTGTCGCAGACTGCGTATGGCGTAAAGTATGGATGACAGGCTTACCCGTGCAGTTTCCCAATCAGGGAATAGACCTCTATATTGGCATTCACGGGGTAATCATCACATGCGCCACCTGTCCGTCACGGTAAGTCAATGGTATGCGTGAGAACCCACCCCCTGAGCGACATTGTGACGATGGGCACGATGGCCACAATGAATGCAAGCTGTTAGAAGGCCTATGAAGTTTATTTCAAAGTATGCACAATATAGACAATAAGATTATCAAAAAAATGAGGCCGTTGAATCGCTTCTTAAACTCGGTTCCTTCCCGAGATGTCAAAACCAGTGTATGGTCGCTGTCATGATGCATGCACACACCCCCTTCAATGCAACGCTATGCTTCACAGTTTATGCCTCGCCTCCTCTTATTTGCCTGCTCGCTTCACTGCGCTGTCTGCAAAACGAATGCCTCTCCTCGCCGGCGGCACCCTCTCACCGCCTTCGTCATCTGAGTCGTCCCCCCCACCATTTGAGCTCATGCCCAGCGCTGCTTCTCTGCGTCGTCGTTCGGCAGGAGTCTCGCCAGCATCTTCATCGCTCTGACCTGCCAGAACAGCTAATCTGCGCTGTCTCTCGACAGCCGTCTCCCCATCGTCCTCGTCTTGTGAATCGCGGACAGGTGCCTTCGCTGAACTGCTGTCCCCGCGCCTTAGCGAGTGGGAGCCGGATCGCTTCTCGACGGAGTCGCCTCCGATTTGTATAGTGGGAATGTCTGCCGGCGAAGGAACATCTCCCTTTGCTATCGACTTGACGCGCTGAGATGCGGTCGACTGGTCCACAACCTCACGACGGGTCTTCACGTCAAGTTTCTGCACCTCCCGGATGAAGTCCTCCTTCGTCATGCGCTGACCAACTCCGCCGATGGTGAATCTAATGTGTCGGTCATCGTTTTGCTCCTCCTCTGCTGCGTTCTTCTTGGGCTTCTCGCTGTCGCCGCCTCTGAAAATACCTTGCCATCCTGACTTGGGAGGCGCCTTAGCAGCACCCGCAGCACTGGACTCGCCTTGATTGGCGGCCTCAGCTGCGGCCTTCTCAGATGCCTTCAACAAACCACCCATGCCAAGGTACTTAAGACTCTGTTGTGTGATGCCTCCGATTTCCTTTCCGGTTTTGGTTGATGGTAACTCGTACGTCTTGATAACTTCACCATCCTCATCCTCAACAATGACCTATATAGATGTTAGTGGCTGACAGAAATGGACTGAAAGCGAAAACTTACAGTGTTGCCAAACTGGAATGCGCGAGCGGGCTCGTGGCGTCTCTCAGACTTGCTCTTTTCCTTGCGCTTCTCCACCTCTTGAGTGTAGACGTCTTCAACTTTGCGCTTGAAGGAGTCGAAGGTCCAATCGAACTTTTCGTCTTGCTTTGATTTCAGAGCGGCTAATGCAGCCATATCCGTTTGGACTGGCTTGCCGTCAGCTGCTGCCGATCCTTTATTAGATCGTTCGACAGTTAAAACGTCTCCATCCTCATTTTCAACCACCAAGTGGTCTCCTTCCTCGTAGATCTGGACCTTGGGCGGGGTCTGAGTTCGACTAGAGCCTTCTTCGGGGGAGGGCGTGATCTCATCGTCTTTCTCAGGGTCTCTCTCGCGACCTCTTTCAGAATCCCGCCTTGGTGGCACTGCGTTGTCACTGTTTTCGGGGGATGAAGGCTCCTTCTCATTGAGCAACGGCTCACGTCTGGTAGGGAAAATGGCGGACTGGGAAACAGGTCCCCCAGGTCCAAGGCCGTCCTCCCACTTCCGGCTCTTGCGGCGGTTCCGGGACGTTGAACGACCTCTTGACTTGGAACCATCCTCTTCTTTCTGGCGTCGCAAAAATGCGCCGGGGAAGCCCACAGGAGGCAGGGTGCCGGGCGGGAAATCTGGCATTTTTAGGTCGTCTCCGTCGGTATCAGACATGGTTCGGGCTTGCGATCGGGATTGCGAAGAGATCCTCGGCAGGCGGTTCATCCAGGTGGGACCATCCTCGGGTGCGGTCGTGTAGGACATGGTGATCGTCAAGGTGTTGATGCGCTTTCCAAGAGTGAAGACGGCAACCGAAGAACCGTGCACGATAATGGAGGCGATGACGAGGAATGTAACAATGGGCCAGATGACGGCGACGAGAGTCCTATGCTCAATCTCCTCTGGTGGAATGTCCGATAGCGGAACCGCAGTCTCCCATTGCAGCTCGGCACGAGCCAGAATCGCGACGAAAATGGCACCGACACCGATAGGGCCGAAGTGGCCGGCGAACAGAGCCTCGCGCCAAGTCTTGATGTCTGGTATGAATGGTTTCAACAATAGCATGGCGGGAATGCGACGGAAGAGAATAACAAAAATGGCAATTACAACCAGTCGCCAGGGGGTAAGGCCCTCAGCAACGTTGTTGTACTGCTCCCAAGGGATGATGGTTCCGAGGAAGACGAAATAGGCCAAGTTGATCAACAAATCGATGACGTTGGAAACGTGGGATTCTTCCGTTTTGGCAGCGAACCATCCGTCGTTCGAGAAGCCTACACCTGCGGCGAAACCGACTAGTAGATCGTCCATGCCGAGCAAGCTGCCTGCACCGGCACAGAACAGCGCAAGCACAAAGTAGAACACCAAAAAACTCTCGCGATCGATAAGATCGTGCTTTTCAGCGTACTTGATACCATGGCGGGCAATGTAGCCAACGACAAAACCAAAGATGGCGCCAAAGATACATTCGTACAGAATCGTGTAGACGATCCAGTGGAACGTCGTTTTCTTGGCGTCCATGTGCTCCTGGATGAGGTAAATTCCAAGGTATACGAAAGGGAAGGCCATGCCGTCGTTGCATCCTGATTCAGCCGAGAGGATGTCTCGCAAGTGCTTGGGGACGCGCTTGGCGAACTTTCCCTTGCCGACGACGGAAGAGGCCAAAACGGGGTCGGTAGCAGTGACGCAGGCGGCGATGACCAGCGCCTCGAGCCATGACAAGGGGTCAATTAGCCACCAGATGAACAAGCTCACAATGAGCCAGCCAAAGGTCATAACGGGAATCAACAACAAGGCCACTGACTTCCAATGCTTCTCCATGTAAAACTTGGGCAATTCGACACCGACGGCGAAACATTGGACGACAAGAACGATACGGGAGAATTCGATGGTGACGAGGTCGACGTTACCCCAGCTCTTGGGGTCAATCAGGTTCGCCGCATGAGGCCCGAAGATGATTCCACAGATGGTCGCGACTGTGGCCTCGCCAATGTACATGCGCTCCTTGATAATAGAAGAACAGAGCATGAAGAGAGTGGTAAAGCCGCCCAAGATGATGTACACCAAGTGCGGCTTGGTGATTGAAAGATGGTCCCACGCCATGGCGGCGTAATTGGGAGAATATTTCTACTGGTGGTGAAGGATGTAGGCAGATAGGTTCGTTAAAAATGTTTGCGATTCGTGATCGTGTACAGGCCTAGCCGTTGGTCGTGGAGTCGCCGGCAAGAAAAAGGGAAGCACGGCACGACCTAGACGAGAGAGAGAGACTTCAAACCCCCCAGTCAATGGATTGCGTTCCGAGAGCGAGGGCGACTTGATGCATCCAGGGAAATTTTGCAATGCCAAGAGTCTGTCGACCTGGGGTGGTTCGTCGGGGCGAAATCGAGTCGATACGGGGCGCTGGTAGAGCTATGAGGTCACTGCTAGGTGTCGCCTCTCGTATGCGAGTCGGAGTGCTTATTCGGTCGAGCTCCGGATCGAGTATGTCAATGTCGATGCTCGTAAAGGAGACGACAGTCGAGACAGTTTAACAATCTTTGGTCTTGCAAACCACGAGATCGTAGTTGAGCACAGGGGAAGAAAAAAAGAAAAGGAAAAAAACAACCAGAGACAAAATACAAACCGTAGCTTTGGGGTCATGGAACCTAAGTAGGCCCAGGGACAGACAGGAAAAAGAAGTTGGCGTGCTGATAGCAGAGGATAATCCATGCCAAAAAAAGCCTGGCCCCGCTTAGCGCGGATAGTGGGGCCATGGGGGGAAAGAGAAGTGGGAGTGGGAGAGGGAGGGGCGAACTGGATAGGTTTTCCGGTCTTCCTCAGCGAGGTTCCCAGCGTTCCCAGTGGTTCCTGCTCTCGTCCGTGTGAGGCGCAGGGCGCTGACGCAGTACTTCGGGAGTACCGACAGGTTACCCGGGACTTGCTCCCTTGGACTGGACTGCGCATACACCCAGTGCGCCTCATGTATGGGAGGTTCATCTTTGTCTGTTACCTGGAGAAGACCACGATATGGGGAGAATAAGGTTGCCACGATATGTTTGGCTGCATGTCTTGATTGGGCTCATAATTTTAGTCGGTATGTCTCTGATTCTCGCTTCTGTTATGATTGAGCCGTGTCCTGTTCGTGCTAGCCTGTGATAGGGAAGACAAGAGTGAGACATTGCAAGCCCACGTTCCAGTTCAACGGGCCAGATCTTTTCAGGACTTGGTTGCAAAATGCAATACCATGTACACTAGCACAATAGCGACAACGGTAGAAGCCCGACAGGCCTTTCCGAGCGTTGCTCGGTGTCGGGTGGTAAGATACGGCCCCATGTCCGCCAAGCGGCTTAAAGCAAGGATGGACCCGATACGGCCGCCATTCTGCCAGGACAGACCGCGTGGTGTCGTAATCCCCCCCGGAAGGCAGTAATCTCTCGTGTCGTGCTGAAAAAGTCTCAAGTGCAGGGTTTGCGAGGGAGGAGACGAATGCTCAGTGGATGGATTTGCGTTCCCTTGAGCCGCTTTTCCGGTGCTGTTGACTGAGTTGTTTTGAGAATGGCTGCTTTGGAGTCATGGTTGAATCACCTCAGTTTGCATGTCGTCGAAATATTCCCCGGATTTTTGCTCCAAGATCTGATCGGTGACATATTCCATCTGTAAGGGTCCTGCTACCCTGAATTAATCCTGCAGCGAGACTTGTCATTCAATTGGCAAAAGCTTGATGGCAAAAGACTGCTGGAGAACCAAGAGGTTTCGGCACCTCTGGGTGGTTTTTTCGCCATTTCAATTGGCAGTTTTGTGGCTCACCAAGCATTGGCGGCGTGATGTATGCCTCGGCGTTGCTGGCCAAGCCAATTCGCGAGATCGCCAACTCCAGTTGGGGTCTCGGCGCCCAGAGAGAGCGGCGTCACCCTCCACTTTTGTGTGTCGCCGCACTTGAGTCATGTTGACATGAGATTTATTGTTGATTTTGTTAGTTTTTCCACCCATTCTGCAAATTTTGTCAGGTTCCTTTTACCACTGGTTCTCGGAAGTCATGGAAAACAAGTGAAGGATGAAGAGTTGATGGCCTGGGGTTGGTTTTGAAGTTTCTCGAAGGCCCTCTCGTTCTTCGCGGGGTTGTTTATGTTATGGTGCGAGTCTCCCAAAGTTCCTCCACGCCTGATAAGAGACACAGCGGGCAGCTGGCACAGGTGAGGTACTTCCGCAGTACTTCCGCACGGGTCCACCGCAATTGCTTCATTCCATTCCCACTACCACCAGAAGAAAGGTGCGGGTAACAAGACCCCTGCTATGTTTTTTCAGTTTGTTTTTTTCCTGCTTGCTGCTCCGCCGTTGCCCGAAAAGCTGGTCTTTTTTCCCCCCTTCCCTTGTGGTTGTTATTGCGATTGCTGGGGGTTTTACCTGCTACATCCTTTAACACTTGGTTAAGAGGGTGGGAAAAAACACTGCTTAAAAAAAACCTACTCAACGCCTTGGCAGTCGTCCGCAAATATAGATACCTGTACGCAATCAACTTGGATACTAGGGTCTCTCAACAATTATGGCAGCAAGCAGAGTGAAACACGGCAGTCACCGGAACTGCCAGGACGCACCTGGTGACACTGTACTCAATTGATTGCTGCCCAGAAGCTTCCATTTACTCATTCATGACCCAGCACAACTTTTCTTTTCAGCCTGCTATTTGCCAATGTCTCCCGCCGTCTTCCGCTCTTCTCATCTCCGCTTTCCGCCAACGATCGCCACCATTTTCTCCATCCCGTCTTTTGTGCCTTCAAATACGTACCCTTCTCCTTAGCTTATGCTTCATGTCGTCTCACGTTAGATGCGTTCGCTCTGCACCGTTTGGTCCGAACATCCCATCCTTACCCTCCTTAAGAGCTAAGTGTGCTAAGCTAGCGAAAACGAGTACTAGTAGTTGAGCACACACCACACTAGAACCATCCCGCGGACATCCTTCGCTAAGAAACCCACATGTCCTGCATTTCCTGCACCATCCAATCCGCCTTTTGAAAGCTCCCTGTTGTGCACCCCTCCTCTCACCCCAAGGAGGGACCCAAACCGTTCACATGCGTCTCTACGTCACCAGTTCTGCGGGCTTCATTCGTCCACATTCAAAAGGCCAAGAGTCTAACTCAACGACCACTGCTGTATCTACTCGTCACGCTGCATACCACGTCCGGTTCATCGGTCGCTTAAAATGCCAATCTTTGCCTGTCAAATTCATTATCTCCATCTTTGTCCCGCAAATAGCCAATCTTTGCATCTTTCTTGAACTGTGCCCCGGACAACTCCGCCCTAGCACTTGAAGAGCATTCAAACTGATGGTCGCTTATGATATCTGGAGCATTTACCCCAACGACCTTCCTATTTTCCCGATCGAAGAATGCTGACAACATCGGCAGCATCAACTGTATCATACTCGGTGTTGACGTAATGCCAGCTGAGAAGCTGTCATACTCAATGCGCCGCTGTTTACTGATGGGTTTCTGTTTGCGCTTTGATTTCTGCTCAAGTCTTCAAACGTGGAGTTTTGCTCGGCTGTGTCACTATGACTAATCCCGTTGAGTCGAACAAGTCTCGGCACATTGCAACGTTTGGGCGCCACTGATCGACGGGCCTGGACTAATGCCCGCGCTGGCTTCACGCTTCGGCTAAGTTCCGCATATTGATTCTGATGGCCTCATTCCCCATGTACGATACCAAATCTGCTGCTGCTGTGCGATGTCCATCATCTCAGACAACGTAGGCAGATTCTTTGTTGGAAACCCTCCAGCTTTGGCGCTAAGACATCTCCCAGTGTTCGAGTTTTAGCTTTGTACCTTGTTTCCGCCTTCTTCCGCCAACCACGGAGAGTGGGTACCTAACAAAATCGGCGGCCGAATCCGCGGAAACCTGGAGATCTCTAGCCCTCAGCATCCACTCCGGCCCACAACCACAGAATAGAGATATATTCGTGCCACTGGCGAAGGTACACCAGTCGATCATTTAGAACGATTGCCACCACTTGCGCCGATGGTTTAGTGGTAAAATTCTCCGTTGCCATCAAGCAGCGTCGGGGAGCCGGGGGTTCGATTCCCCCTCGGCGCATTTCTTTTGCTCGTTCACTGCGCAGTTGTACTCTTTTTCTTTTTGCCTGGTCTATCTACCTAGTTTACTTTTATGTGTTTGTCTTGTTCATGTCAATTCCTTCGCTGTGGCTGCATATGAGTTGCTAGTGGTCATCTCCATGAGTAGAGAGCTATGACACGAAAAAAAAAAAACATTCCTTTCCATGTCATTCAACGCATTTACCCTGGTAACACCTACCTCGCATTCACGAGCAATGGCTAGTAGACTGATTCAGTGTCATCGAAGCCCGACATATCAATGACAAGTTATGAGCAAAGCTGTGTGAAACCAAACCACCATGCGTCATATCACAGCCAGGTATAATAGAGGAGAGAATTCTAGATGAAAGGCCATATGTTTTTATACGACAGGTAAACGAAACAACATTCTGGACGACTGGCACATTTCCTTGAGTGGGTTACTGATTTAAAAAACGCATAATCAGTTACGTAGGAAATTTGGACGATGGAACCTGCAAGAAGAGACGCAATGGAGTACATGAGCCTCGAACAGTTCGAAGCCCTAGCACTAAGCCCTCGCAGACGAGTGAAGTGCTTCTGGGTATGCTGCCAATGTGGCTATGGATACAATCGTGTTCCGAGGTACAAACACGAGATGGCGTTTTGTCTAGACAGGGGCACGGTGCGCTGTCCCCGTGACGGCAACTTGAAGACACATATGGGGCCTAGAGATTGTGACATGATCATTGTGCCGCGGCTAATTCTGGATATGATGGAGGATGAGGGGAGCCATCCTTCTTTTGCGCTGTGGAGGGCCAGCTAGCTGCTGTTACTGTCTGCGATGGGGCTTGGGAAGGAAGTAGTGGGCAATTTACATCAGGCAGTTGATCCATAAATGAGTGATCCGGTCAGTTTTTAACATCTGTTATTCTATCAGCGACTGAATCATACTTTTGCAATAAGGTGATGTATAGATGCTAATGTATCTTTTTCATTTGCTTTCATCCGCGGCAAGACCAAATTCATGCCAACTAGAGTTCAAGCTTCCTGCGATTTACGATTCTGTGTAAAACGCAGACATATTAGCGAATAACAACAAAGAAATCTACTTTTTAACTGCCTTTTTACTGTTAATCACTCCGTTATATACCTTCGTCTATGTTTGCTTGTTTTCTATGATTGAATTCACAGTCCAGGAACGCAAGACTCCGCCGTCCAAAAAAGTGAGCGTTGTGACTGTACTTTGCTTAGCACTGAATCAGTCCATTCAGCCATACTAATTTGCAATGATTCTACGAATAATGCATCCGTCGCATACTATATTAACAGCCCCCTGGGCTGATGAAATTGATCTCCCTTACCGTTAGAGTCCATCAGAAACCTGCAAATCCAAATTCAAAGCATACATAACAACAAAACCAACAACCACAACCAGAATACGAAATGAGGGGAGCCTATGTGGATATGTCCATGAAGGACTTCAAGTTCCTTGGGGGTCCTAAGTCTGGTCACGAACGTAGTTGCCGCTGGCAATGCTGCGTTTGCCACCACCTGAACCGTTTCGAGCCTCCTATCTGCCAAAACCACTCTAGTTGCAGTATGGGCACACCGACCGGTATCTCGCATACAGGGCCATGCGACAACTGCCGAGTTTTAGTTCCTGAAAACGTCTACCGGGTCCTCTAACGACGTATTCTACCTGAATACTCAGAAAGCATCAAGCGGAAAGATGGGAGACGACGAACGCGTCTCGTTTAGAAACACATAATATCACTTTCTAGGTGATATACGGGGCCCCGTAGATGGTAGTTAGTCAAGTTATAGTTAATAAAGACGGAATCGTAGTCGTAGGGCCTGTAGCACTCCACTCGATCTGATCTTTTATCTCAAGATTTAATACTTGCGTGGTTAAAATGCATAAAATAAGTGACTTTGATGAGCTACTACAATCCAAACTCCTGTAACTCTAGGAAAGGAAAGTTAGAACGTAGCCTAGTGATATTATCGTTAGAGCTAAATCTACTATACTACTGTCTCGTATTATTTCAACGAGTTCATCCCCCGTCCCAAAAGAAGCTGTGTAGACCAGTCATCGCTGACTGTCATCAAGTATGGTACGGAACAACAACCGCTCAACGAAATATCTTTCAAGTAACACCCAAGCCAGCTTGCTCAAACACTCTCATTGTGGATAGCGTGGTCGGCATATCCCATTGATTTGATGAACAACTGTGCACTCTCCAGAAAACGTCTCTTTGCATCGCCCCGCGCATCTCGTCCAGCAAAAGCACTATGTGCGTCCTCGAAATCGAGCTTGGAAACGGCCTTCCAAATGCCATGAACATCCTCTGGTCCAAGCGGGATCTGCACACAACGTCCTGGTCAGCTTGCAACGCTACGTATCACAAGGCCCGATACATACCATATTCGGGTACGACCACATGAATGTAAAGGTCGCGGTGCCGGGGGGTCGATCGACGTGATAAACTCCGCTCGGCACCACCAAGACCGAGTCGGCGACGAACAGCTTCTTCTCGCTCTTCCACAGCAGCACCGAACTACCAGGGAAATGGCCCGCAACCTTGACCGCCGTGAACTGCCCATCCACAAACTCCATCTCCTGGCCTTCCCACAGCACATAGCCATCACCCTGGCGTCCGAGCCACTCGCTATCCTCGACTGAGATGTACACTTTGCAGCCGAATGCCTCGGCCCAGTGGAGCGTAGTGGAGAAGTAGTGAGGGTGCGAAATCACGATTGCATCGATACCACCGAGATCCTTGATGCGGCGGATAGTATCATCGTCTATGTAAGTGATGCAGTCCCAGAGAACGTTGCCGGCGGGTGAGCGAAGGAGAAACGCGCGCTGGCCGATTGCGACTTGGGGCTCGGTGCGGATAGCAATGACACTCGAGTTGAATTTATCCTTGGTGAAGACGTTGGTATATTTCTTGGAATCCTGGAGCTCGCGGAGAGTAGTGAACCATTGACTGTGGATATCAATTTATTTGAGCATGCCTAGGTTGAAGAGCTGGAACTCACCCGTCTTCGGGGACATATTGGCGGGGATCATCACATATCTTGCATGTTTTAATTGAGTGGCTGTCGTACTGGACGCCGCAGGTGCCGCAAATCATGAGATCCATTTTGTCGTTCGTGATTTTCTGGTCGACTGATTTTCAGGTTAAAGTCCCAAGTAGATTAGTCTTCAGCTCTTTAAGAGAGCGGCCGTCAATTCAGCCTACCCCACATCTCAAAATAGTCGGTTATCATCACCATCAGGATTAGTCAGAATCATTGCATCACAACATAGTGACTCATGGGCCAATCAGATTAGTCAGCGTTCGTTGTGTTTCTACTGGGGGTAATTAGGTAAATTCTCTGGCAAAACTTCCAAAATGCCCGGCAAAGATGAAAATACTCTAGAGGATACACTGTGGTAAAATATGGGGGAGCTATATGTGGGGGATAGTCTCAGTCGAGGATGTCCAACGTTGTCTTCTAGGCTCCCACTAACGACAAGATCGACAGAAACAAGACCTCCAAACATAAACATTTACACCTAGGAGTTATAAAGTCTTTGATAATATCTGTTGATAACAGACTAAAGATTACTAAAGGGCCGTCTTCTGACACTGAGGAAGATGCAGCGTGAACTGTCGCAATAGTCATAATATGGGCTTATGTGGTCGGCGGCTCGCCGTGTGGGGCCCCGGAGCCTCCCATACGCGACGGCCCGGGAGACAAGATCTCACCTGTTCCCTTCAAGCAACCAAATTCCCCAGTACTTTTACACATTACGAAAGCAAGTTTAATTCACCCTTTACTTTCTGTTTTTCTCCGCACGGAGCATTCTTCCTGGGAAGCCTACATTAACTCCAAAATGTGTTAGCTTAAAGTACATTAGATAAGGATTTATCGGCCGAGACTAATTCAAAGAACACAGCTCCAAGAAAGTACCTAGCTAAGGGCTGAAGATAAGGATTTTCAATGTTTCAGATGAGAGTACGATGGAAAGCCTGAATAATAATTAGCCGCCCATTGACCAACTGTGAGCCGCACGGCGGAGCCAGATCCGCACCGCCCCGCCTGAGCGTCGATCCAAGACAACGATGCCGATGTTCCTTCTTGGCCTGGGCGATAATATAAGGTTGCTTGGCCTTTGGGTCTAAATGGGGCTTTTGGAATCCATCAACACCAGATTCGAGCCTTGTCAGGAGAGAAAGTAATGAGAGGGGTCGGAGGCGGCACCCTGATCAGAAGTAAAGGCCGTCCCTAAGCCGCTTACGGACACGATGATTATGGCCATCCGTGTGAGAGTGAGAACTGTTTCCTTTCTAGGTGCCGTAGGATTTCTCTCCGGGCTCGCCTGACTGGCCACTTGCGTGATCTAAGTCCACTCAATCGCGCAGTGCGACTCTCCGAAAACCTGGGCGGCCCCTGATTTGCGGATTTTGTAAATGTCTCTCTACCTCTCACTAGCCACCGCGGGAAAAGCAACGCTTTGCCGGCCTTGAATTTTCCGGTCAGTATGTGCTTGCCAAATATTCCGAAACCCTTCTGTAGACTAATGCACTTTGTTAACTGGTCAAGTCATTGCGTAAAATTGAAGGGTTACGCTTGGTTGCAAGTTGGCTGAGCCTCATTGGACCGCATTAGCTATGATATCTTGGGTTCACAAGAGTGTTGACGTGATGCAACCCAGTCCTTCCAGACCGGAGTGTATTGTCATTTGTATCGAATTTAAATGGAGATTAATTCTACTTGACCGCCTCGTCAGATTTTCCAAGCATCCAAGACTTCCAAGGCTTGGTATAATCAGAAATCTGGGTACGTTTGGTAGGTACCGAGACTTCCGAATTTCTTACTACAGCTTCAGGAATTACAAACTCTCAAATATCAGATTCAGTTTATAGTAGTACTTTGAATGACTTCAATTGTTCACTAACACTAACAGAGTTTTGCGTTTGGGTGTTGCAGGTGTCTTTCGAACCATGTAGATCTGCATCACGGAAGGGAGAAAAAAACTCTGGGGTGCAGCTACTAGCGACATCTACACGAGCATTGGTGACAGAGGCCCAACGATATGGTTAGGCCAGTGGGTCTCATGAGCATATTCTTAGTTAAAATTTGCATGCAGGTTTGCAAATAATGCCAACGTTCCTTTGCCGACTTAGCCAGCTTGGCTTGAACTGTGGATGAGTGGGGACAGTCCAGGAGAGGTTGACCAGGAGCATCTCGACGCATCAACTCATGATGGTTATAAAAGAGTGATCAAGTGTCTTCCAGTAGCAATTTTTAGTTAGCAACTCACTCAACCACTGTCATTCTTTTTTCATTCGCTCATTGCTTACCTCAACTTTCATTCATTTCTCAAGAACTGGATTCTTCTCCCGCACACCTGCAAATCATTACATCTTACTTGATCATCACACACTCAGTACAATGAAGTTCTCAAACGTCTTTAACCTTGCGCTGGTGGGCTTTGCCTCTGCTGCTCCCACTCCTACCGTTGATGAAGATTCCACCGGTACTCTTGCAAAGCGCGCCTCCATCACTGAGGGCTGCAACATTGGCTATGCCAGCACCAACGGTGGCACTACCGGTGGCCGTGGCGGCTCTACAACCACAGTCTCCACGCTTTCCCAGTTCACCAAGGCTGCTGAGGCGAGCGGAAAGCTCAACATTGTTGTGAAGGGCACCATCTCTGGAAATGCCAAGGTCCGCGTTCAGTCCGACAAGACCATTATTGGTCAGAAGGGCTCCAAGATCGTCGGTGCCGGTCTTTACATCAAGGGCGTCAAGAATGTTATTGTTCGCAACTTGCAAATCTCGAAGGTGAAGGAGTCCTACGGCGACGCCATCGGCATTGAGTCCTCGACCAATGTCTGGGTTGACCACTGCGACCTGTCTTCCGACCTGAAGTCTGGAAAGGACTACTACGACGGTCTTCTCGACATCACCAAGGGTGCTGACTACATCACTGTCTCAAACACCTACCTCCACGACCATTTCAAGACCTCCCTCGTCGGCCACGTCGACACCAACACCAGCGACAAGGGCAAGCTCCGTGTCACCTACGCCAACAACTACTGGAACAACGTCAACTCGCGCAACCCTTCCGTCCGCTTCGGCACCGTCCACGTCTACAACAACTTCTACAACAAGGTAAGAAAGCAAATAGCCATACAAGTATGCATAAAATCTAAAACATGTCACAGGTTGGCAGCACCGGTGTGAACACCCGCATGGGCGCCCAGGTTCGCGTTGAGTCGTCCGTCTTTGAGAACTCGAGCAAGAAGGTCATCCTCTCTGCCGACTCCAAGCAGGTTGGCTACGCCACCGTCTCCGACATGTCCTACGGCGGCGGCGAGAACACTGCCCCCAAGGGTGACTTTGGATCCAGCAAGATTCCTTACAAGTACACCCTGTTCGGAAAGGCCAACGTCAAGAGCAAGGTTGTTGGTACTGCCGGCCAGACTCTCAGCATCTAAGCGATGTAGCAACAGCTAGACGCTGGCATGCGTCCACTGGACTGCCCACAAGCGAGTAACATGAGTGGTCGTGGGTTTTAAATACCGGGAGATTCTATGTCGTGAACATATGTCATTTATTTATTTCTGTTCTGCACCTTTGCGTGCAAAGTATATACACAATATCTCGACATGTATCGGGATGTGGGGCCTACGCCGGTCCCCAATATTATAACACAATACCCTTGTTCTCATCCGTCTATAAACCTTCTAGCGTTAAATCTCATCGAGGATTAAAGGAAATGTTTTAATAACCTGACTGTGCATGTTGGTTCCGGCAAAGACACGGCAACCAAGTTCAAGCATTGTTTCAATATTACGCCTGATGTTTTGATGAAGCAGCTCTTAACCTTCACAGTTGGCCCAAGCCTCACCGTAATCTAGGTCGAATTTTTGTTACTTTGTCCATGACTTCTTATTGAAGTTCACGCATCAAGAGCTCAACACTACAGATGGCCGCAAAAGCGCTGCTGAGATGTAAGATTTATGCCGCCGTTATCAGTAAGGACACGCCATTGGCTAGCCAAGATTTGGAAATAGTCGACCTAAATTTCTACATATGGGATAGTTCTACACCCATGCTCGATCACTAAGACCTTTTGGATTTCAAAATATGTACAAGAACGGTATCCTGACACTAGATGCGACGAAGAGACTTCATGCTACGTCTAGAGGCAGAACTCAGGCACTGCGAGTACCACTCGTTCTGGACGACGCAAGAGGTACCGGCGACGCATTTGGTAGGACCGGTGTAGCTTTTTCCGCCACACTGGCCCCACTGCTGAGCCTCTCCCGTAGCGGTGCTTGGCTCCTCCTTAGCTGGTTCCTCCTTGGCAGGCTCCTCGGCGGCAGGTGTCTCCTTCACAGGCTCAGTGGCAACGGGCTCCTCGACCTCAGTCTCTTCCTCGGCCGAATCTTCAGTGGCACCGGCAGCAGGGGTCGCGGCCGAGGAGGAACCAAGCTTGGAAGGGCCAGCATTGCCGGAAACAAGGCTGGCAACACCACTAGCAGCAACAGGAGTGACGAGGTACTTCTTGAGGCTGCCGAGGGCCGAGAGACCAGAAGTGCTGGAGAGGGGGTTGAACTTGCCACTCTTGGAGTCAACACTGTTAACCTGGCAAGCCCGTCCAAGCGCGGACGAGCAAGAGCTGGCAGATGCGGCGGTAGGGACACTGAAGCACTTGGAGTAAGACTCGCCGTTGTAAGGATCGGCGACATTCGCGAACGAGTTACCCTCGATCAGGGCGACGGTGTTGGCGTAGAGCTCGAAGGCGTGGCCCTTCATGTTGCTGAAGTAGTTGTTGCTGGCCTGGAAGGTACCCTTGTCACCAAGCTTGGGGGCACGACCGGAAACGTCGTGGAAGTGGTTGCGGTCGAGCGTGATTCGGTCTCCGTCGCCGTTCAGCATCATGGTCCAGTAGTGGTTACCGTTGCACGAGGCGGAGGACTTGGTGACACCGTCAAACTCGTTGTTGGAGATGGTGACACGGGAGCCGTCGTAGTGACTGACAATAAACTGACGGCCAACCAAGGAGATCTTGTTGTGGTCGATCCAAACACCATCGTTACCGCCCTTCAGGTCGATAGCATCACCTCCCCAGACGACGCCAGGGTTGAGGTTAGTAATTGTGATGCCCTGGACAATGACGTTTTTGGCATTGGCCTTGATTTGGAGGCCCTTTCCGTTCAAGATACCTTTGCCATTCACGCCAATGATGCTCTTGTTACTTCCAACAACAAGAGGCTTGGTGCCGGCAACGTCGTAGGTCACAGTGGCTGCAACGTTGTCGCTGCCTCCGCAGGAGAGTTCTCCGAGATACAGTTGACCACCGTTAGAGTTGGAGCAGGTCTTGCGGTCACAGCCAGGACCGGAAGCAGTAGTGCCCGTAAATTTCCACTCCTTGTTAATGACAATAGTCCGAGGAGTGTCGTCAGAGAGCAGTTTGGCAAGCTCGTCAGCGGAAGACGGCGTAACAGCTGCGGCACTACCACCACCGGTAACGCCGGTGGCAAAACCATACGCCTTGCCCACGACAGCCTGAGCGGAAGTCGTGCTGGCGGCTGCGACAGCCAAGAGTGCAGATGCTGAGAAACGCATGATGTCGAAAAGTTGTTTAGAGAATGTGGTGTTTTTATAAAGAATGGATGCGTAGAACCGATAGAGATCACGCCAGCGCGAAATGGATTTGTGATTGAAAAAGACACAGAAACAAGAGAATGACTTGGAGAGAATTATTGAATCAAGTCATCGAGAAATCGACATTCCTTTTAAGATATTCTAACTACGAGGCTTGGTAAAGGATGCGATAACACAGTTGAGGACCCACGGCGCGCGGACAAAATACCATAAATGGACACCCGTTTGGTGGGTTTTACCGAAAATGATGGCCAAGTCTCTGGGCAGCGGGTAAGTGGGCTTCGTACCAACGATGATCAAGTTCCTTATTCCGCTTGGAGCGTTACACCCCGTACTAGTGTATGCAATCGAAGACCCCTTTCATTACACAGAGCCCGTAAAGACGGAGCTACCCGTTGCGAAAAGCTTCCCTAAATAAGACAGACACACGCATTCGCATTTGCTGCATGGAGGATTTCTCCCCCCAGAATCTCTATTCAGTTCTAGCAGGTCTTTATGTGCTACAGCACTCCGCATACTCCATCGCTTTATGGAAATTTCTTTTGGATTCCGCTTCAAGAATACCCTGCGTTGTTGCGGCTGGCATGATAGCTTGCTTAGCTCGCATCCAAAGAGCTGCGCCTCCTCTGTCCACCGTCAATGTGGATTTGACGCCGCGAGACATAGTTACAATTCCTCTATTCTACCCCTGTCGCCCGTGTATCTAAGCTCGATCTATTATCACTTACCAGATTGCTATATTAACCCGAACACGGATGAAGTTTACTGGCCTATGCATGTTAGACCTTGGCATACTACCTGATACGGGTTTTCAGCCTCTGGTGGTAGCTAGACCTCTACGGAAATAAAATGTATAAAGCCTCCATAAGTAAGTTAGGGAACCTTTTCCCATCTAATCTTAGCAGTGAGAGCTGTGATTCGGACATCTAATACATGAAGAATTTTACACGTTACTTTGATGTAATTCCCCACTTCATTTTCGCGCAGTTGAAAAATGAGTTTCACGGAGTACTAAGCCAACTTAGACTATAAGGCCTGCAGCGGCATGGGCAAAGGAATTGCTGTCTGTGGTACCCCGAGCAGCTGGGAGGAAGCGGTAGTGAAGGGTCAATGAGACGAAATCGATGCTTTGAGTACCATCACAGTCTTTAGAATGTTCTCCACTGCAAACTACAAACGATCGAATTGAGAATGAATGCAGCCTTACTTCATACCACACAACTTGGAACGAATTGACATGAAACTTTCCGAATATGCTAATATCAATATTTTCATCACGCGGCTGTGTGAATTGCGAGGTTTCGCCGCCGTAGGGAAGCCCGGCGCAAACCTGGGAGATACCAGTGTGCCCGCATTTTGCACCATTTTCAGAGCCGGCAACACCGGCATCGCGATCCTACCGTCGATAGTTCAATTGTGCCCTCGGCTCCACAGCTTTATCATATGCCTGACCGGTTCAGAGTGCATGGTGGTTGGGAGCAGACGATATTATTATGTTTTATGGTGAAGCGGTGTCGTCGGTGAGGCGAACGCCTCCTTGAAGCCCAGGACAGCATTGTGGATGCTCTTCACGTCCTTGGGTTGGCCAAAGTTCTGTCGGCAGGTTTCCATATGTTCCATACTGATGTGTTAGCTCATTAATAGATGTTCATTCGGATTGCCCTGGATTTTTGCTTGCAAGCTATCGGCCTGTGCTAATCAAAGATTCGTCGTTGTGGGTAGAAGCACTTCCATGTCTTCCGCGTGGTTTCGTTTGACAACTGTTATGTCAACAAGCGCCTTGCCCACAGAAGCCCAATCAAAATCCCGGTAAAATAAATGGCTACGGATGCGTTTGGTCCTACTGATCTGTCTCGCCAGTGGCTCGAACTGTGACTAGGTGCAGTTGCATACTAGTTTAGCCGCTCGGGTCGTGCCGCCGTTACATGGATTTTTGACCGTTTTGATGAAGAGGGGCTGGAATTGGCGCTTAAAGGTATCAAACTCGGTACCACGCGACTAAGTTGTTTCGAGGATGCCACGATTTGTGCCGCTCTGAGGCAGCGCTTTAGATACTAGGTCTTGCCGCTGATCTTCGACTAATGGCGAATTTTGAGGTTATTTGACGATTGTCCAATGGACGTAACCATAAGGATTATACCCAGTGACTTGCAAAAGTCGACGATAGGGACATAACTACTTCGTAGCATCCTGTCTTGTCTTGTGTTGTCAAGAAATCTTCCACCTGGTTAGAGGGCTAGTTTTGCGGCTGGCTGTTCTACATGCTTGGTTAGAATACTACGTAGTAGCGGCGGCGTTGAGTACTTCGTTGATGCGTGGGCTGCTTCGACGAGAGCCTTGTAGGGCGCACTGGAATTATCCGGTGTAGCCGTGAGAGTGTCGATCCCAAGCTTTAATATATTAAGGAGACAAGAGCGAGAGCGAGAGTTCTCCACTAGGAGGTGCAAGAATGGCTGTGGTCGAGAGCGCCGATCTTCGAACTGCGGTTGATATAACCGATTCGCAGCGCTATCAAAACTGACTCGCAACGATAAGAACGGGTGACCCTAAAAAAGAAAAACTCCGTCCCTACAAAGTTCCGTTACCGTGCGGAAGCACCGCCACACCGGGCCCGACGGCGTTGCGTTAACTACGGCTGGACATAGCTATAATGAAGATAAATTACCTTAGGAAAAGTCACCTGAACAAGCCGAAGCTCCCAATGGCAACCAAAATTACCCAAACTTTACAACAAGTGACACGTCTTCAAGGTACCTTGACGGTGTAGATCGTGATGAAGAACACAACGACTCGATCTCGAATAAGTGCTTCACACTCACTCGCCAAGGCGTCCTGTTCACTAAAACGGCATTCAATAGATGGAAAGCGAGAACCTTAACAAGAGTATTGAGTTGAATACTCTACTTGAGGGCAAAATGTCGATCAATTATTATAGTGAATTTCTATTAACAGTCGATCGTGTTTGGCAATATAAGCAAAAAACTGGACCAAGATGCAGATCTTTCTTGCCGCAGACCAATCGTAGTTGAGAAGGTTGAAGAGGAGTTCGCATCATGACTCGGCCGCTGAGCTTCGTCTCATGTCTAGCCGGTGACAACTCAGCGCCGGCAAACCGGCACCGCCAGTTCAGACGAACTGGTCCATTGCGGTGCAATATAACTTTAATATCAAAAGCGCAATTCTAAGAATAATTTTGCAGAATATAGCGAGGCTTGGGGAAAACCTCATGACGCATTGAGTTGATTCGCAAGCCTTGGCTTGTGTATATAACGCCTGTTAGCCCGTGTTGTCGTCTACACAAAATACCTAGTCTTTAGCCCATGCAGACGCCCGGCAGATCTGCATTCCAGCATTTCAAGGACATCAGACGATACTAGGGAAAACACTCGTGATCAACAGGCAAGATGCATTCAGCCTCCGCGCTCCTCGCCAGCCTGCTCATGGCAACTCCAATCTTGGCCAGCGTCTCTTCACCAAACTACCTCCCTTTCGAGCTGGAGAAGCGGGACTGCGGATTCAGCTACTGCGATTGTCAGCGGGTACAATGCTTCCTTGACTTTTGCTTCGACGACCATGTAGACCCTTGGATATTGGTGGATAGTGCCAGTGAGTATTTACCCTGTCGCCCGCCGCTGTGAAACTAGGCTTCACTTCTCAGCCCGCTGCCTACTCAGACAATACCACACGCGACATATTCTAACACTCTCGCAGTGAACCAATACTACGGAGTAGACTGCGGCCAGTTCGACAACTGGAAGCGCAACGAACCTGCGGAATGGTGCAACGACGGCCTCCGCAAGGGCAACGCCCTCTTCTACATCAACCGCAAGTTCGGCTCCCTGGGCAAGTCGTTCAAGGTCAACTACTCCAACAACGACAAGAGCAACCCGAACCGGGGAACCGTCACGGGATCCTGCTGGCCCGTCCAGGACGTCCAGTGCAATTGCCACAGCCGGTACAACGCTGAGAAGCACGACTGCTCCAACACCTGTGGCTAGGTACCTGAGTAACAGGAAGATGTGCGTCGGGGAGTGATCGGATATTGGCGTTCTTGGGTAGATTTATAATTCAAAATTAGCTTTTCTCTAAAATCTTCTTCAACCTCTTTTTGTAATTGCAACCGTTTTTCTTACACGAAACTCTTAAGATGCGCGGTTGAATATGCGGCTGTGATCTTTTTTGCAATTTTCTGCCCGTGACACTTGACGGCACAAAGCCACAACTTTAAAACCTCAACGTGGACGACCATTAATGGTGTAATCGCGAGTGAGCCACTTACTTCCTGTCAGCGAATTCTACAGGTACAACGTTGATGCTTCTAACTGTGCTTATTTCTCTCCTCTAGATTCCAACTGCGACGAAGTGGCAGTGGATGCAATAAAACATTCAGAAACGGGGGAGTACTTGGACCTTGGATGCCGAATTGCAATCGAGAAGAATGGAAACAGCAAGGGATAATCTTGAAACTTGAATTTGAACATCGTCATTTAAAAAGTCAGCAGGTGGCAGACAAGCACAATCCATCGTCAAGAACAAAAAAACACCCAAGCACTACCTAGGGCGGCCAACATAGACACCGGGAAACCCTCCCGACCACACACCACACACGCCGCAAAGAATCTAGACTTTTTTTTCCCCCATTGACCAGGGGCGGCGCCGCATGGGTTCCCCCCTTTTACAAAATTACACGCAGAACAGCCCAGACCAGGAAGCACGCCTTCCCGACGGCACGGTTTAGCAGATCCCCGCACGCATGAACCAGATACCGGATGCGGCTGTCTGACCACTCACATTGTGAGAGAGGCGGCACGGGAACAGGTTCATGGGGGGGGGGGGGGGGGAGCCGGGGTATCCCCTCGGTTGTGGCGGCGCCCGGTGCCGGGAGCGGGAGGGGACCCTTGTCTGGGGTGACCTGGGGTCATGCGAAGGCCCTTGAGGCTCAGGGTATGGTGGCGGCGGCAATGGTCTGTTCGAATCCCCGAGGAATGCGAACATCTAGGAAAGAGACGTTGTGCTCCTCAGACGGCTCAATTTTCATCCATTCGCGTATAGGATTTTAAACGACAAGTCTAATCAGTGGGTAAAACTCATGATGGGTGTCATATTTGCTCCGTCTATGTATGCCCGAGCAATGCGGTGTGGTATCTAATGTTACATGGTCCTAGTGATAGCAGGCATCGTGATGAGAGGTCCTGGTGGAAGGTCATAATCCACTGTGTAGGTTGTGGTCAACATCTCGCTTCTTCGTCAATCGCTCCCCTCCCCTCCCCTACGAGGGTATCGCCCAACGCCTCTGTAATGCGGACAAAGGAAATTCGTTATGTTACATATTAGTTGTTAGTCCAATAGGTAGCTCGATTGAGCCGTTTGTGTCCATCTCTTTCTAGGATTGGTATAGTGCAATGCTGTAGTATCTTCGGTCGTTGAAGATGTGTTGTATGCTCCGTCTATGACGGAAGAAAGTTCGAGGGCTAAACCCAAACATCGAACGAGGCATTATTAAAAACTCGCTGGCAACTAGGGCCAGCTACGATGCCCAGGCGCCAATAAGAACCGACAGGACGCACAAAGAGTAAAGTAGCCATCTCTCGATCTTTGACTTCCTGTCCGTTCCATCGTTCAAAAGTAAGGCGTCCAGAGGGTTGATCGGAGGCTTCGCTGTCTCAGCCGAGGTGGTCTGCGGCGCCGCGTCGTTGGTTGTGGTGGACGTTGCAATAGTGGTCGGCACAGGAGCTGGTGGAGGTAACGGCGGCGGCGGCGGCTGAGAAAGAGGTGGCACGATAGTGCTCGGAGGAGGAAGAACGGGAGGCTGGCTTGGCGGTGGGACAGGTGCCGGTGTTGTTACCGGTGGAGGAATAACTTTTGGAGTAGTCGTTGCTGGCGGCGGCGGTGGCGGCGGCGGCACTGGTGGGATGACAGTAGTCACAGGCGGCACCACAATTACCGTAGAAGTCGGCTTCAGGGTCGGCGCTGCTGACGTCTGCTTCGTGTTTGGGCACAAAAGGTTGACGAGGTTTCCAGCCAGAGCCTGGCCTAGTAAAGTGTTGACGGGCACTTGAGACGACTGACAAGTGTCCCTCAAATTATCTTGCATGCGGGCCAGGCCGAGTATACATGACTTGGAGCAGATGGCGCCGCTGGCGAAGTCGCTCGCTGTGCATCCTTGAATGGGATTGTTGTAAGTCAAAAGACAGCCGAGCGGCACGCTTAGTTGGGTGATGAGCTGAAAGTTGGACAGAGTGAGCGAAGTGCCCCCAACGCTGATGATTGCTGCTGTTGACGTTGACGCGAGGAACAAAAGTCGGACCCAGCGATGGTGAGGCCCGTCACGTTTTGAGGTCGTCATGTCGCTCGTGGGTGTGCTAGTATGGTGTTTACGCCGCTATCGTCGTCGTTCGTAACTGGCGAGGGTCCTCAGGCGCGATCGCCTTCGGTAAAGTAGCGATTGAAATAGACCCGCTATCTTGGAAGATTTCCTGTCTCAATGTTTTGTTGTCGATTTACTTGGTTGGTGAAGAAAAAGAAAAAAGAAATGCGCGATGACGAGGTCGACTCGTCGCGAAGAACCGACGAAGCGGCCAGGAAGAGGGTTGTTTGAATCAAAGCTTGACAGGCCAGGATTCGGCTGGCTGGGAGGCGGTTGACTTTTGGGGTCCAGAAGATGACAGCAGCACGGTGGCAGCTCAAGCGCGACAGGGCAACCAAAGGCACGAAGGCCGAAACCTCACGCGTGTCAGAGGCTGCTGGGAATGACGGCACGATCGGCTGGGGGACGAACCACGGTCAATGCGGGACCGGGGGACCAGGCAAGTATGTCAAGGGAGGGTATTAGAAGTTGGGACGACCGGACAGCCGGGTTGAAGAAGGGCGGGAAGACAAGTGTAAAATAAGAGAAGGAAAAAAGGCCAAGGAAGTGATGACAGAGATGCAGTGCGGCAGTAGCGACTGTGCAATTCTTTTAATCCTTTTTTTGGGTGGCAATGTCGTCAAGGCGTTGGCTGAAGTATCTCGGGATAATTGGAGTAGTAGTTTCTTTTGATGCAGCGCATTCGAGACAACGAGAGTTGGTGAAAGGCTTCGTTTGTACGGCTCGAAGAGATGAGAAACATATATGTAAATATGTAATTGGCCGCCTGCGGGGGAAAAAAAGGGACGAGAGCAACGGGCCGAATGCTCGTCCAGCTGATAGAAGGGATGAAGGTAAAGGTTGATTTTCTTGATTGTGAAGGTGCTGATCCTGATGTGCGCCGAGGGACTAGCGGTAGCGGCAGAGGCTGCGCTTACGCCTACGCAAATGACAAGAAAGCTGCACCAGAAATAAGAAGTAGGCACCCAGATCTAAACGGGCGAGAAGGAAGAGGCGCGGTTTGCAAGCCAAGTCCTTCCTTTTTTCTTGTGAAGCGTAAATCTTGGATATTCAACCAACGTCAGTGCCTGCTTGACCAGACGGATGGCGTTTGTCCGAAAAAAGGCCACCCATACACACACACACACACAGAGCTGTCAGGCCAGGGCCAAGAGGGTCAAGGTCTCGACAATGCAATGCGTGGTGGCACCAACGGGCAGATGCGTTTTGTGTGCCGGCCGTCGGTCCGGTGGGGGATTGAGCAAGGGGGGACAGAATGACAACCAGAGACGAAAGGTAGGGAGAAGGTAAGGGAACTGAAGAAAAACAACGATCAAACGTTGCTGATCTGATGTGATGTGGTGAAACGGGATGCTGCCGTCCGCTGATGAATGGCACCCAAACAACGATGCTGTGATCGTTTTTTTTGACTTTCCAACCCAGAACTTGCCTGACTGGACACAGAATAAGCAAGAGAGACAGTGAGATAAAGGGAGAAGGAGACAGAGAGAGAGACAGAGAGGGAGAGAGAGGACAGCGATAGACAGGGAGGCATACACCCGTAGATGTAAGTATAAGTAAATGTGGATGTGGATGTGGATGGTACCGTATGTAAATGCACACAAACCTGCTGGCCCCTTTGCCTCCTGGCTAACCACAGACATCATCAAGCCCATCTTTCTTTTCCCGGAAGATCCCAATCAAGATGATAATCAACACGGTCATTGCTTCACGGCCAACAGCAGGCCCATGGACCTGTAGCCTGGCTTGCCAATTCTCTCCAATGGCCAACCGTGCTCGCGCACCTCCGTGCAAACGCCATATCGCCATCTGACAGGTGCAGGTTTTCGACGCCATCAAACGAACTACCCAGAAAGGTGGCAGCATCCGACCGGACCAGTCGGCGGCCATTGCTGGGCCATGTTTTCGAGGCCTCGTGTCAAGGTCCAAGGTGCTAGCATGGGAGAGCACATGGAGAGCATGGAGGAGGAGGCAAATGGTAGGTGACAGAGGGCTAACAAGAGGACGAAGGGGCTAAAACGAAACACTTTTCGCGTTTGACATGACGATGCCGTTGCCCCTTTGTGGGTCTGTGATTGGCCATCCGTGTGTCATGTCCAAAGGCGGGTGGGGGAGGACCTTTGCTTTGCTGCTGGCTGCCGCACTGCTGTTGGCTACTGTCCTGTGCTGATGCTTTTTGGCTGAGTCCATCAGCTTTCAGCCTGTCCATCCACTAATCCACAGCTCCAAGGGTCGGCTGGCCGCCTAGTGGATACCTATGGCGGCTCCCCCCCATCTACATCTGCGAGGGCCTGTGGCCGATGTGATTACTGGGGATAGATAGCCCCTCGCGCGCGGGGCCGCTGTGACAACTCAAACTCGCACATACGCCCCGGTCTAGAGATGCCGTGCTGCTCTACTGGTTTGCTACCCAAATTTCTTAGCAACGGCGCATTTTAGGGGGAACCTTCGCTTAGCCAGCCACTAGAAACCTGCTCCATCCAATTTGCCTCCACCAGTCTGTCCTCATCTATGGGCCGTCCCCGGACTTCTCACAGACCACCAACCTTTGTCAAACTTCATTTCCCAAGCTTTGAAGCCGTCGCAACTTTTCTGCCCATTGTGTTGATACCTCTCTGGTCTGTCTACGGGAGCCGCTATTCATTATTGTGTCCCTCGTCATCTCCGAGACACCTGACCACGATGTACTTGCTCAACGTCTTACGCCGCACATCATCAACCGACTCTGAACGGAGCAACGCTGTTGTCTGATCCTTAAATCTACACGCTGCCGGCAACATCACTCGCTAATTGTAACCTCTTCTACTAGACCACCTTCTCATCCGCCTTAATCAAGATGCTGGTGACCATTGTCATCACCAAGTTGATCTCTTAAAGCCACCCACGATAACCATTGCCTTCGCCGACGAACGTTCCATACTGTCTGGCGGGTTGGATTAATCCTCTCTAATTCGTGCTAAGAACGAGTATCAGGTCCCAGAAGAAACCACATGAGGGCCATGAAGTCCCGATATTCGATTTGGCCTTCGCTGTACGCCCTGATGGCAAGACAAAACGCATACCATTCTCTCTGTCCGAGGTGCCGCTGATGTCTCTGTTAGCTGCTATTCCCTCTTCGGGATGTTCCAGTTGGCTCTCTTACTTCAACGTCCCGTAGGAGCCTCATCATCCGTCTCCTTGTTCTTCGGTCCTGCCGCCTAGGACGTAATGGGTACCGTTGTGACTCATCTTCCTCAAACATCCCTCGAGGATCCAAGCTCTGTAGTAGTTGGTAATGTTCAGGCTCCCAGCGGATGCTATGCACAATCCTTCTGATGTTCTCCGGTAATCTGTCAAAGTACTCGCTCCAGTATCTGACTGGTGGGTCTCGGATTGGCATAAGGTTTACTGGGACAAGTTGCACATCTTGAAACGGCGCATTCTGTATTAGTGTACGTCTGGCAGCTTCCTCCTCTTCTTCTGCCGAGGATTCAACGTTCGGGGCCCTGAGATTTTCCCATCCCTGGAAACCCCGGGGCTGCTGAGGGTCGCCAGTGAGTTGAACCTGAGCGCTCCAAGCATTGATAGGCTGGTTCGCAAATGACTCTACCGACTCGGCAGTGATACGTTCGAGCTTGTCCTTGAATAGCCATACCTGTTGTACTTCCATGTCTGAATAAGTGATTTTCGTCAATCCCCCTTTCGATTTGATCTGGGTACCATATAGTATGTTGTCTTTAACGAAGCGCAGTGACTCAAGCCTGAGTTCCTCGTACTTCTTCTTGAATATGTCTAGGGTTCGCTGTAGGTCTTGTGCGCAGGCGTCGATAGCCTCACCGTTGCTACTGTCCGCAGAAGCAGGAGAGACATAAGGAATATATTTCACTTTTCTCTTCCCTTTTGTATGGAGGCGGCGAAATCCACTTGACCTTTTCGCAAAAGGCTTGACCTGAGACCCCGCGTTCGAGCTGATCGGGCGTTTTGAGGGCGTGGAGCTGGAGTATTCGCTCTACGTGCTTACTCCTCCGCTGGATGTTTGGGCCTTTGCTGCTGATGAACTTTCTAATTTATCAAGCAGCGATAATTTGTCGTCGTTGCTGCTTGATTGAGAGGAAGATCGTTGATGAGAAACGGAGGGTTGTTGGTACTCGTTAAAGTAGCCCTTATCCATGCTGGAATGGAAGTTGAAGGGCTTGGGAGTAGCCGTTCACGTGTGGGAAAAAGAAAGAAAGAATGATTGTTACTTTTAAGTGATGATTAGTGGAAAATTTGAATTCTTAAAAGTCTGAGCAGTTCTGGAAAACCCAATAGCTTGTAGAAAGTGTTGTTGTAGGATGGAAGACGGTGTCAACAAAGATGCAGAGGTTGGGTGTTCGGCGGCACCCTTTGATTACGAAATGATATTCAGCAAGGCCCCTCCTGCTCTTGTGATGACAATTAATAGAAAAAGAGGTAAGAGCAACTTGAATAAGTGGTATCGGGCAGGGGCAGGGGCAGTACAGTTTTTGTGGACAGAGTCATGGTTAATTACATTAATAGAAGGTGTACCATCTTCTGCCTCCTCGTGGCTGCTCAACTGGGAAAAAGGTGACTCAAGCAGCTGCGTATTGCTCCCACACACTTTTCAATTACAGTAATAAGATAGGTATGGTGATCTGAAACTCACGGCATCATGTAAAGCTCTCATCTCTATACATTGGCGGTCATGCAGTGTCCTACAAGTTTATACAACAATTTACACCCACCAACAAGCGGCTTTGCGTCTCTTGAAGTTACCGTTCTTTGAAAATGGTCTACATGGACAGACGATTAACAACCAGGCTCAAAGCGAGATAAGTTGCGTTTTTCCTCTGGCTTATAGAAAGATGTGGCTCATAACTGTGCAAGATAAATGACCGCCGACCTGCCGCTATTTCTGAAGACGCCCTGGGTTGAAAACAATGTAGTCCTCTCTGCTGGAAAAGTTTCACAGCTGTCGGTCGAAGTCATTGGTTACAGAGACGACGGGGCCGGTACTAACCCTGGGTCAAGCCGGATTGGCGAGAAGGGCTTCTGTAACACTACCGGAAAACCGTCCTACCTCACATGGCTGAACCTAATGATTTGCCTTTCAAAGCCGATGGAACGCGGGCCATTTCAGAACTACCTTAGTGGTGGGATGACAGACGTTGATATGGGAACGGTCTTCATGAACCAATCTCAAGTGACGACCCCAGCGGATAAAGTCTGCGGCTATGCTCACCCGCATGATGACTAGGTGAAAAATATCCCCAAGCCGGCGCCGTTCTCCTCTCGCTCTGCGCCCCAATTGATACCGTCAGCTTTGGTCATCATTTCCCGCTACGAACTCGCAACGGTGTTTCTACAACCAATGTTCGACTGGGGTGAAAGTCAGACGCGCCAGTAGCCAGGTGACTACAGGAGGCTTCCTGCAAATATCTGTCCGTGTTTATGCTTCGCGTGGCACTTGCCTTCTCCTGCCATAACACTACTTGCCTACTTTAATATTGCCTTTGTTTTGCATTTCAGCCCTATCTCCTCTCACTCGTGACCCTACGCTACCCCGCCATATCTGCATCGTCAACCCGGAGAGATTGCCGTTCTTGGCAGGCAGAATCATTATCGGCCCGCCCCGAGGTACCCCAGTGACAACCATCACAGCGGAGCTACTGCGGGTATTTGAAAGCAACGTTCTGGACCAGGGCCCAGCCGGGACGAGCACCCCGGAGTGGCCATGTTGTAGGTCAGCAATCTGCAAGAGGCGGACGGCAAATGCTCCAAGAGTAAAGAGCTAGCGCCTTACGAGGCCCAAACAGAAAAGAAGGACGCAAAAAGGATTGCAGGCGGCTTCAAAACCCTTCGGCTAAAGTAATCCCTCGCTAGGCAGCTAATTGACGCATCACGGCAAGCATACTCGGCTTTGACCGTCTCAGCTCGGTGTGGCGTTGATTGCGGCTTCTCAACCCCCACGAGCGCGAGGGGCAGAAGAACGCGCCGATGTTGCAATGAGACAGAAAGCATCTTTAATTGTGAGAAAAGTAAGACGGGCATTTAAATGTTCAGCAAATTGAATATATTCCCTTACTTTTCCAATGGCATTCTCATCACGGAGCAATGAACTATCCGGTTTGAAACTCTGGGAGATAACAGACTGTTACACATGACTAGACAGAACGGAGTATGGGGATACGTAGATCAAGTCCTAATATTTATCCCTTACAAGACGCTACATTTACCGATGAACTTGAAGCCTCATCTGATTGGAGGTTTGGGTCCTGATAATCCTGAAGTATAGGGGACACTTCCTGCTAAAGGCGCACCCGTGCAGCTGCATGCTCTTCCTACCGAATACGAATAGGCAAATAGTATACTCTCAAGTGAAAGTCTTGAGGTAGCACACACCAAATTCTTGTCAGGTAGAGCCACATCAAGTGTTGCGGTAAATCGTATTTGTTGCCTTATCAACTCTCAGTTCAACCCTATGTTGATCCATGTCGTATCTCTGACCTATCGGAGAAGAGATTACACGAAGAAGGATTCAAACACTTCACAGTAAAAGTCCGAACAAGGTGGTAAGAAATTGCTTTACGTCTCCTGCAGGAGCTAAGAATGTGTTGGAACTTTTGAATGTGCAAGTTGTGGTGCTGCTATGCAAGCGACACCAGCCGGAGCTCAGCAAAACCCCTGAGAACCGACACCCGCTCACCGACCAGATTCCCGACTTCCGCTCCAAAAGAATACCTAGCTCTACTTGATCATCAACCCCTGTATATAGTTCGCGGGATGGCTGCGGGTGAGTCAAACGTCTCGGATTGCGCCGGGCTTAGCAGTTGCTCTAGGGCGTTCGCTTAACCACCTCCCTAACGCACCGTTCTAGTTCCCGCCAGGTACAGCCAGTAAGATAAGTTCCTTGGTGCCCACAATGCAAGCCACCCAATAGAGACGTAGTGATGCTTATCGAAGGGGGAAGGTTCCTATTGATCAGACTGAATGCGTCGGTCTAACAACAAACATATTAGGCGAAAAGGGGCCTTCAGACCAATGGAGCGGTTGGCAAACATGCCTTACTGTCTTGGGGCTCAAGGATATGACATCCGGGCTGGTCACTTCTTTCATGTATGCAAAAGTGCCCGCTTACGTACCCTACAACGCACCGCCCCCTACTTACATTCATTCAGTCAAGCTTAGTCCGGTAGCCTACGGCCCAAATGTCTATCATTTGAGACGACCGTCAACTTTTCCAATTTTCTCCTCCTTGTACGCGCTTTTGTTCCTGAATCACAGATTTCCCACATCATCGCAATGAACCCGATACCAGGCATTCAGCCAGGGCCGGTGCCCAATGAGAAGGCAGTGGACGTAACACCTGCTGTTGCCAGCCGCCCTCCTTTCGAAAGTGAAGATCATGTCCATGAAGACGAACATCTTCTGCCACGCGATCGTGGAAGAGCCGCTTGGACAAGCCTTGTTGCTGTTTCCGTTATAGCTATGGCCACTTGGGGTAAGTAGGAGACTAAACCAGCGGCAGGTTTTCTCGCCTACCGCATCACTCAGCTGATGATTATTGTAGGTTTTGGTGCTACACAAGGCGTTTTTCGAGAGTACTACTTCAAGACACCGCCTTTAGAAGGGAACCAGTTGGTCGCCTCCACGGGTCTGCTAGTGGTTGTAAGTGCTACACTTCCATCAAAGCAAACCTCGACAGCTTATTTTTCTAAGGGTCTCTTGCAAACACTGCCGCCATTTCTTCTTAAAATCATTGGTACCTCATCCCAATACAGGCTTTACATGATGTGGAGCGGCATGGTCCTCGTCGTAGCGTCCTCTATCGGTGCCGCTTTCTCGACGTCGGTTAGTGATTCGCATTTTACATCAAAGATAAATAGACTGACAATTGCCAAAGGCAGTTCAAGTCATCATGACACAAGGGCTCATGTATGGGCTCTCCAGTGGTCTCCTATTTGCACCATGCTTGACCTTTGTGGATGAGTGGTTTCACAAACGGCGTGGCCTTGCCAACGGTATCTTGTAAGCTCCACAGACGTAACCGCGAAAGCAAAGATCAGCTAACATTAAGTACCTAGCTTCGGAGCGCCAAACATTGCTGCAGCTGGCCTTTCACCCATATTCTCTGTACTTTTAAAGCGCTTTGGTCCCCGCGCAACTCTCATAGGATGGGCTGTGTTCACGGCTGTCATCATCTCTCTTGGCATTCTATGCGTCCGCTCCCGGCGAGACATTAAAGCACAGGCAGCAGCGGCAGCATCACGACAGCCGTCCTCGACGTTGAGGTTGTTCAAGAAGCCGGTGTTCTGGCTTTTTGTCTTCTCCATGACTCTTCAGAGCCTAGCCAACAATCTTCCTGCCAACTATCTCCCAAGCTATGCCACCGACCTTGGTGTCTCGCCGGAACAGGGCGCCTTGCTGGTTACGTTTCTGTCATTATTTGGCATCATTGGTCAAATATCAATCGGAGCCTTAACGTAAGTCAGACCGACTACACAGGTTGTCGTTGCTGTTCTGCTTACTAACTGATTCATTAGAGATGCCATTGGACCCCTGATACCTATGCTGTTGAGTACTCTAGTGAGCAGCTTTGCTGTTTTTGTTGTGTGGGGTTTGGGAAGGTATTACTGGAATATGGTTGTTACGTCCATACTCTTTGGTGCCTTTGCCTTCAGCTTCATGGTGCTGCGCAGCCACATGGCTGCCATTGTTGTGGATGACCCTAACCGCCCGGCCGAGGAGCTTTTCGTTTCTGGCATCCTGCTATTCACTCGAGGTGTCATAGGCGTTGCTTCCGGATACATAGCTGCTGCTGTGCTGCAAAATAGTGAACATATAGGAGTGCAGCCTGGATATGGGGCTGGTAAATGGCGCTCTTTCATCATACTTTTGGGGACTACAATGACGGCTGCGACTTTAGGGGCAGTTGGCCTGCTGAAGAAAAGAAAGAAGACTGAATATTAGAACAATATGAGAATAAGCCATATATATACGTGTAATTAATTCATTCCGATTACCTATTGATTGATACAGAGGCGACGTTCTTTTGATGAAGACTGCATCGTGAAAACCCATAGCCACTTTAGGCACCCAAAGCATTATTAGCCCCGCCACCGCAAAGTTTGATTTTCGTGATAAATTAGCCTATTACATGTGCTCAACATGACATTTGTCCAGTGGTAAGCAAGGCATCACATAGCTACTCAGTTTGATAAAAATGATATGACTGATTGCATAATTTGAAGTCTATCAAAGTAACGATGGGATTTCACGTTGGGTACTTTCACGCGATCGCCCTTTGAGCCTATTTCCCCGAATCGAGTAATACTCGCAGTTCTTCGACAGAGTACCTTTTCCCGTCTCGGCATCAAAGATATAGCAACCATCCCGTACGATATTGGGAGGCGTATAAAGATGCAAAGATACCGCAAACTCATCGCTCTTGTTCCACATCTGATGCACACCAAGGTCGTCACTCATGTAAGCCACATCATCCCTGATATAAGTTGACTCCTTTATGAGCTTCATACTCCTTCCGGCGTCTGAGCTTGTGGGGTTGTTCGACTTCTCCTGGGACGGTGGAAAATCGTATCGTGTCTCGGTTAGCTGGCCCTTCAGAATCTTCATCAGACAGTGAGCCTTGCTGTGACTGTGGATTGGGCTGCCTTTCCCGGGGGTCCAGACGAGAACAAGCTACAATTACGTTAGGAATAACTCGTTTCTGGTGGGATAGACAGGAGGCTCACCAGATTGCATTTGCCATTTCCTTCATCCACCAAGTTTCGAGTGTAATCCCTGTTCGAATCCGCAAGGGCGAAGCTAATCCATTCTTTCTCGTTGCTTTCGTAGTTCTTCATAAGGTCCTTGAGCAGATCAAGGTTGACGTCGTCGCATGTCAGACCTGAAGAGCCAAGCGCATCTCTCAGTGCTGTTACGAGACAATCGAAGTTGTTCATACCGCTCGAATCGTCGGAATATTGAAGATCAAGCATGTTGAACACAGTGTTAACAACCTGGGCTATTCCAGTGAACAAGAATAAGTGTGAGCAGCGGGAAAAGTTTTTTAAGATGGTTTGGCAACTTAAAATTCAAAAGTTATTGACTTCAGTACGTCTCGGTAACTATTACAACATACATGCGGTCCTTTGGGTTTCAAAAGCAGAACTAGGTCACGAGGTATGTTGCAATCTAGCTCTTGGGTTCTGCCTCGTCGTGTTGCCTGCCTGCCTAGTTTCCGTAGTGGCTTACCTGCATGGTGGCAACCCTATGATGAGCAACTCGACAGAATGTTTCAGTGATAGGGATACAGTATACGAGTCCGAAGTTGCCAATAACTCTGTGCCATCCCTTTGAGATGCATCCAATATTACATTTTAGCTTCACTCCACCACTTCGCCCGGTAAAGGTTCTCGACTGGATGTGACGCTGACAATCCCCTCAACTTGAAATTTGTCTTAGCGCCGAGATCTCGCCAGATTCCGCTAGCACATGCCGTTTTTGGTTTCATTTTAGAGAATCAGAGCTGAGCGTGTTAAACATCACGACAAGTATGAAGTTGTCCTGTCGGCTGTCGGACCCGGTAGCCGCTCGGGTCAGCCGCATGTGTCTTGGAAGGTACAGCGGGCTACAAACTTCGTTGCATCGAAATACGTAAGCTGACAACCCAATGAGACAACCCACATAGACACATTCCAGATCAAGATTCAACCTCGGAGGCTATACTCGTCGGCCTTATTCGGGACAAGACTCTTATCTCTGAGAACACAATGTTACATCACAAGTTACTTGGGCAATACAGATATGTGTTTCGATCGTTGAGAAGTATCAGAGTCCGAAAACCTGCATACAGAAGCTGACGACCATTTTGAGACGCCCCCTCCCACCTTCCATTTCAAGTAACATCCAAGTGAGTACTACACGGATGGAGGGTACAACAGCTCAAAACATGACTGTGAGCCGTACCTTGGAATACCGAAAAGGCAGGGCGAAAAGGTGTACATTTAAGATGCTGTCGACGAGGTACTTTTGGTGAAGGATTTTCTAAAGGCATTTGGCAGACACTGCAGTGTTCATCTCAAGGCGTGTCTTTAGTTTACCCGTAAGAGGTGCTCTTTGCATTAGCCCTACGCCCTGAACTGCCTGCACCGTTGGGTATGCAACCAACTTTTCAGCTCGTGTAAGTAAGGATTCTAAAGTTCTCCCGGTTTCAAGTGTGCATTTTGTTGTGAAAAAGTGAACTATTGGCTCCTTCGATGGAGTACATTCTTGACAGAGGCCAGACTTAACTATTTGGTACATCTAGCTGAATCCATGCTACATACCTTAGGTTACGTGAATCTATCGCCGAGTCTTGTGGCATCCTTCCGCTTCTGCCTACCTTCGTCTAAGAATATATTATCTATAAGATTCCTCCATTTGCTGTACTTTCTCTCATTGCTCTGTCACTAAGCTCACACACACACACACATATTCATCACATCCTTACACTTCTCCTCTAAGATGACCGTGTCTGGCTCGAAGAAGATGGTGGGGGCCACTGCGCCTTACGAGCCAGTAGCAAACCTTGACACTGTTGTTTTCTCCAAGGTACTGGATCGCGACCCAGAGACAATCAGTAAAATAATTTCGGCCTGTGAAAATGTCGGTTTTTTCTATCTTGACATTTCGGACCAGTACTCGGCCACGATGCTCAACAATCTCGAGAAATTAAACTCTGTCATGAAAGACTGGTTCGCCCAGCCGACCGCTGCCAAACGCAAAGAATTGGCCATTAGCATGGCCTCTCATGGGTAGGATGAAACCCAGTATTTCTACACACAACCCCTCTGACAGAGTAATAATTATAGTTACAAGCCAATTGGCTCACAAGCCGGTACCCACGGAGGCCGGGACGGCTGGGAAGTCCTAAAGGTAAGTTTGAAATCGTAATGCAGTTCTCTCCCACCTCTGACATTACTTAGACGGGCAGCTTTGAGCTGGCCGGGCGATGGGGCTTGCCGCCAGTGGTTGAAGAAAACTATCAGACCTTTTCTGCTTTCCAGAACCAATGCCACTACATCACAAGAGTCCTCCTGGATCGTATCTCGAACGCCTTGGGTCTACAAGGGCCACAAAGTCTCAATCACTTCCACCGCAGTGATTGTCCCTCCAAAAGTGCACTGGCATTCCTGCACTACATCCCCATGGACCCAACCGGTGGTCATGCGGGACATAATGTGCATACCGACTATGGTACGCTGACGCTCGTGTTTGCGCCGCAGTGGGGTCTACAGGTGCTGTCAGACCCTGCTGCTACACCTACCTCTACTTCATCATTGTCCCAAAACCACACGAACGGTTTCAATAGCGGCTTGAACATGGATTCTAGCTCAGACGAAAGTGACAATCACAACGCTGTCGCTAAAGATACAGAAGTAAACGAAGACAGACCTCTTGAGTGGCAATATGTCGAGCCGCGGCCGGGATGCGCTGTTGTCAACGTGGCAGATGTGCTGCGGTTTCTCACACGGGATCGGCTGAAGTCAGCGGTGCATCGAGTTTTACCACTACCAGACGTCGACCGATACTCTGTTACATACTTTCTCCGACCAAGTGACGATGTAGAATTCATTGATGGAGAAGGTCGTCTGACCAATGTGATGGACTGGTACGATCGCAAGAACAACATGTATGAAGCCAAGTACGCTTCACAGGACCGGTCATTGCTTATTGGAGGCCTTTACAAGGATGTTTAGTAGCGAGCCTAGTTGTGATTCTTCTCTTCCCAAAGGGAGATGAATAGGTCATGGTATCATTATGTTCATATCTCTCGTGTTATTGAAAGGGGGCAACTGTTGTATGAAGTCTGGCAAGCAAGCACAATATTTATTACGAGATAGAACTGTGAACCAACACCTGAGTTGGCAACTGTTCTCTGTCTATCACAGTAAGTTGTAAGCTAATTATCTTAGCAGTGTGTATTTCATTAGCTGCAGGGTGAAAAAGGGTACGGCGCGTCCAAGCCTCAATGAAATCGCTGTATTTCTCATTCAAAGTCTATTGCGAGGTTCTTAACACCCAGGCAAGAAGTGCACAAGCATTCGAACAACTCTCAGCAAACTAATTGAAGAAGTAAACAGTATCATCGCCGTGTTTGTTGGCTGCGACGTGATATCGAGGCCCAACGCTAGGTTTCAGTCGGTTTAATGCAGAGCTGGGCTGGAAACATGAGCTGGTTCTGGTAGTTAATATCGGGCAGAGACATTCCGATGCAAGCTCATGGACGTGCTTAAATTCCCTCACTTTCCGTTACAAGACGCATAACTAAGCTTTCTATTCTCAGTTTTATGTCTCTCTTCTCTTACCATGGCCTACTGGCTATACTGCAGTCAGCCTTTCTTCACCATAATTATTTTTTACATACTGAAGGTTGTGATAAGACAATTATCGACTCAATTGGCAGAACATCTGTCAACACCAGATATATGCTTCTAAAACTTTCAGTTTTGTTCCCCGGAAAAGGTTTCTTGTACCTAGGTTGTACTGGGAGACGAAAATCACCTACGGCTCGCTCTCAGTCGTACATATTTCTCCTGAAACTTGCAGTTGGTAGTCGGATCATTCGTAAAAGTCAAACCAATCAACAGTTTTGCCAAGCTATTCTGAGCCAACCAGCGGCCGAGTTCATGGCTCCCTGGGGATGCTAAAGGATTTTGTGGAGATAAATTGTCTAGCATAATAGGGTTGATCAAAGTTGAAGTACGAATACATCTAAAATTACAGAGTAGATGGCCATCGGCTGTTTTCCCCCCTCCTGTCACGATATAAGAAGGATCAAAAACAATAGTCGAGAAATTCTCTATATAAGATGTCAAAGATAAGCTCCAACTGGGGCTTTTTTGTTCTGCTGTAACTCTCTAACTTGTCTTTCATCTAAGTAGACTAATGTACATCAAGCAGGTGGTAGCTGTTGGTTGTCAGTAGTAACTAAGCGAAAGTAATGGCGCAACTGGACTACACTGAACACTTTACCGTTTAAAGAAGATCCAGGGTTCCAAGAGGGTCCTGCGGCACGATAAGTACCAAATAGGCAAATGCATGGGTCCTGGTTCTTCAGCACCCCACGAACAGCCACGTCTCATGTTGCAAGATATAAATACCCATAGGTTAGCCGCATCTGCACATCAACAGTTTCTTGACTGTTTGCAAGCTTTTGAATTTCTTCCAATTGTAATGTCTGTCTACGAAGTGAAGGGCAAGGTAGCCATCGTAACCGGTGCCGGCTCAGGTATCGGCCATGGACTCACACAGCTCTTGCTTGAGGCAGGATGTTCTGTGATTATGGCTGATTTGAGGTTGCGACCAGAGGCCGAGGAAACGTTGGCGAAGTATCGCGGCCCTCCAAGCCCATCGGCAGGGCCGTCCGCATTCTTTCAGCGAACCGATGTCACAAACTGGGCACAACTTCAGCTTCTCTGGGACACGGCCCTGCAGAACTTTGGACGAGTAGATATCGTTGCTTCTATCGCAGGCATCTACGAACCGCCTTCAAGCAACTTCTGGTTCCCCCCGGGCATCTCGGACCACTCAGAGGACCCCGCGGACGCGGCGCTTGGCCAATACAGGATAATAGCCGTTAATCAAGTAGCTCCTATTCGTTTGGCCCAGATTGCCACTGACTACTGGACGCAAAACAAGGAAATCAGTGGCAACTACGTGGCAGTAGCCAGCATTGGGGCTTATGTTCACTCCTTCGAGACGCCGCTCTATATGTCGAGCAAAGCAGGACTCGTCAGTTTTATCAAGTCGATGGGAGGGCTTAAAGATATATGTGGGATCGGATACTCCGCTGTGTGTCCAGGGGCAGTCTTGGTAAGTGATCCGTTGACGTTGTTCTCACTGGGGTAATTCTGACAAAAGATAACACAATGAAGACGCCCATCTTTGAACCTGAGTGGAACAGAAAGGTCACAGAGGAAGATGTATCCCTCTCTTCCCGCGAGTGCGCTGGAGTTATCATGCGTGTATTGCGAGAGCCTCAGTATGGAGCTGGCAGCATCGTCGAGACGCAAAAGGTTGGCACCAAAGAGGAGTTTGAGATTACCGCACGAGACGTCCCGATGGAGGCTTTGTATCCCAGAATTGATGGTGGTCCTAATGAGCGAATGATCGAGGGGGCAAGGAAAACAGCCGCAAGGATCATGGACAAAGGGTTGCGCGCGCCATTTGAGTGGTAATACGAGTGAAATAAGGTATGCTGCATAATGTACTGGAGGTGGCAGGGTGAAACTACATCTGGGCTACTTGTTTACTCCGCCATTAAGCAATCCGAATCGAAGATACAACCGTGTAAAGAATTGGAAAAAGGTAGTTTAACATGCTACATTCAGGAGGGTAGACTGGATGCGGCTTCCATTGGACCATCCCTTGTAATAGTCAGGAGGCGCTGCTGTCGTTTTGATTCACCAGTAAGTTGGACCCACACTCAAGACGTCTGAAAGGGGAAACCGAGCGTGCGATGATGACGATGTCTCATGAATATGTCACTTATATGCTCACCGGTTCTATTGAACTTGAAGGCGTGTGGCTCGATGGCGACGGTGATGTACCAGTAGCCTGAGTAAAGGAAAAAGGGACAGTGGCATGCGAAGTTGACAGATGCCCGAAGTTTCTGGACAAAGAGGCGCGTATGTTGAGACCTGAACTGGCGGCGAAGGGCTCGGTTGTACACCCCATTGTAATGGCGAAGATAGATACTATAGAAGGAAGGCAAAGAAAACGAGTGTTTAAATCATGGTCCGAGGCGTTGGTGCCCCCCCAAAATATATACTACCTGGTATCGCCATCTCCAATTGATTACCCTCACAAAAGAAAACAAAACCAAAAACGCTCAAAACCAATCGTACAGCCTCTTCCCAAATCTGGTGTTATCAATGTTTCGACAGCAAGTTGTTGACTGTCGTAATCAACTTTCCTTAAATAACAACAAAAACAACAACCAAAAATGCCGAACCAGCCGTAAGAGCATTGCTATATCGTTAGGTCATCTCCTCACGCCCCTACACTGACTTCCTGGCCATTGGCAGGTGTCTCCTCCTCGTTACCACCACCAGCTACCCCGCCACCACTACTGTTATCAACATCCCCGTGAGGATATAATGGCTTGCTCGGGTCGTATCCTACCGATTTTACGATGCCAAGCCCCTTGGTCCTGCCCTCGCGGAATAGCAGCCTATCGCCAGGAGCAAGATACTCGGGCCGCTGGACGAAGCGGAAGGCTACTGTTGCCCTGTCACCAGTGCGGATGTATGGACGATCGACATCTATTATTGCGCAAGTTTGGGACACTGGTCCGACGTGCAACATGGCCTGATATTTTGTCTTGATAGTTGTCGCATGAGATAGGATTAGAACTGCAAAAGGTGTTAGATCCCTCAATTTGGTGCCGTAAAAGAGGATAGCTTACCTTCAGCAATGAATTCCTTGTACACTTTTGGCGCTGGCTGGCCCTCAAGCTTCGGCAGTACTACCATGCCCTTACGAACGTCCTTGCGGCGGACCTTCTTTAGTGCGAAGGAAGCAGATTGACCTGCAGAAGCGGCCGGCACACCAAGTCGCTTACGTTCGATAGAACGAATGCTCGTTGCAGTAAACTGCCCCAGTGAGTCGGGCCCAATAAGAACGTTATCTCCGGCATGGATTACACCAGATTTAATGATACCTGAGACAACTGTGCCGACGAAAGGAACGGAGAAGGTATCATTAACGTGGAACTCGAAGGGTGCGTCGGAGTCGTACCGCCCGTGGTGCGGTAGGATGTTGAGGAAGGTACGGACGAGGTCAAGGTTCTCGCCGGTAACATTGGAAACCTGGAAGACGGGACATATCCTTTGGCTAATGAACTGGGTAGCGGTGTTAATGCACTCCTCGCGGTCCTTGATGAAAATGGGAATCTTGCGGGCTCCTGGGCTCTTGAGAATTTTAGTAATCTGGTTTATGGTTTGCTCGAGAATCTGGGGCGGGCAGATATCAATCTTAGTGATGACGACCATGACCGGCACATTGAGTGCCAAGGCGATACCCAGATGCTCTTTACTCATGCCGATTAAGCCATTGTTGGCTGCCACCATGAGCAAGCAGTAGTTTGGGCTGCTAGAAAGCAGGCCAAACACAGTTGTCCGCAAGTATTTCTCGTGGCCCGCGAGATCGGTGAAGGTGATGACTTTGGCACTGCGCTTCCCAATCTCCTCCCATGATAATTTGCCTGGAAAGCTTTAGCAAGTGGATGGGTAGATATCGATAGCTATAACTTACGTCCTGGAGTATCGGATGTTATGACTTCTCCTGTAGTATCGAAACCCAAAATCTCCATACCGACGGAGCTAGTTCTACCTGTCTCTATCTCGTGCTTGTGGCGGAACAGATTGACTCGTGCCCTTCCACGGCCGTCGTCGAGGTCGCCCTTGACGAGAACTCCTAATAGGGAACTTTTTCCTGCGTCAACTGCATACAATATGTCAGTCCTGCCAAGGCCCAGAGAAACCAGTTGTGTGACTGCTGTCATGCGCCAGAGTCTCTGCATCTACCGCAAGAGGCAATATCGTGGAGGGAGAGGAGTGCATGAAAGGGCATGATGGGAAAAGGATACACACCGTTTCCTACAACAGCTATCCTCGTCTCGATGACATCCTCAACGGTCGCTGGAGTCTGACGAATCATTACCTTTCCGCTGCAATGGTTGTCCTTGCCAGACTTTGCGCTTGGGGCTTCAACACTTCCGCCAACGTTCTTGGTAATGAGAAGTTGACAGTCAGCCCGTATCCTCTTGGCCGCCTCCTGCAGCCGTTCATAAGCAGTGTTCCACTGCTCCAATGAGAGGGCCGTGGAGTCTCCATTGTTCTCGAATCCGAGCTCGAAAACAGTCTCTCCATGGCCCTCCACTATCCTTTCATTGATAATGTCCTTCAACTTGTCCAACGTGTCCTCTTCACTGCCCAAGAGAAGGTCCTTAAGACGAACTCCAGGAGTAGATTCGGCGAGATCAAGGGTATCGAAGAGTTCGTCGAGTTCGGCATGCTGGTGCTCGGGAGCGGTTGCGGCGGGCTTAGAGGCGTCGGTCGGCTTCGAGCTGGGATATCGCAGGGCCTGTTGCTTTTCGACGTACTCGGCGAAGTCGCTCAGGGCCTGGATAGTAAGCATAAAAGAAGATTTTTGGAGAGCTCAAAGCCTACCGCTTCACCCTTGCGCTTCTCGTGCGGTAGCGACTTTATGTTTTTGGTTGTCATTGTGAATGGAGTGACGGGGCATTTACGTTCGTATCCTAACAATCATTGATGCGTACCCGCAGTCTCTCGCGAGTGAAATGAGAATGAACAGCAATTGGAACAGAAAACGATGTGCGATTTGGGACAGACTTCTGCGAAAATATATTGGGCGATGGGCTGATTGCGGGAAGAGAAGGAAGAGTCATACATTGACTCGAGGCGGCGAAGTCTAAGGCGGCAGTGACAGTTGACGGAAGGCCACCACGGCCACAATCGCTACCCACCCCACTAGGGGGTGACAAAATGACCCGCTGCTTTAACTTGATTTTCACGCCGAATGAGCCATGAGACAAAGGCTCTTTTTACGACCCCCTTACCACATTAAATGATATCTTACCTTATTAGAAAGTGTCGAGTTCAGGGATTCATGACATCTAGTTCGAACAATGGATATATAATTCCACGGAGACAGTCTATTAGTACGGCTTTGTCAAGCGACCCATGAGTTAGCTGGTAAAGCGGCAGTGCTTATGAGTAACTCGGCGGGGCTTATCGATAAAAGCTTTGGCACGGGCCAGACGGATATGTTGACGCAGGTTGCGGAGCCCCCCCCCAGAGAACGCGTTCGTCTTCCACAGCCTTATGCCCCGCTGCCCCCATAGCTCAACGTCAACCACATTCAGGTTGGACTGACAGAGAGCACTTGGGTGATTGAAGGGGTGTCCTTACCCGGGCGATAAAGTTCGGCATTCATTGTGGCCTCCGCAGACGTTTGCCCCGCCACAGTGTTGTGCTGGCAAGCCACAGCGCATCTGCCCGGTTGCCTTGATCCATGATGCAACGGCCAGTTGAAGTATCTGATGGTGATATGCTGTGTCCACAAAAGCGTGGGTAATGAGTCAAGTATGTTCCATTGGTAGAGTTTTATCTATCTCGAGTAAATAATCACGAATTCATGTGACCCCTTCTATTATCGATGCGCCGGGCCATCCTGCAACCGCCAGTGCCAGGTGCTCGTGGGCGAACAAGAGCTCTGCAACACGCCATCAAACAGCAACACCAAATGATAGCATATCCCACAGACAGCGCGTACAGGGTCGATGCTGACCGGATGGCAGTGAGCATCTGGACTTTGCCAGTGATATCAATGTCAAGCGTGTCGAGGTCCTCGACGAAGTGTCCAGGACGCGTCTGAGACTGAAGGGTCCGGACGAGACCGAATTGATTCCTTGGTTTTTTCTTTTGACCAAGGCTGTATTTCGTTGGTATTGAGTGGTGGTTATATGGTCAAGCTAGCTATGAAGAACCCTGGGGGGAGATGAGGACCACGCTGTCACCTATAGATTGTCAGAACCATGAGTCTTGTCTGCACTAAAAGCATTGCATACCTCGAACAAAGAGCATTTCTGACTTTCGGCTGATGGTCTGTAGTTTCTGGTGAGTATATGACAACAGTGTGGAGGTGCTCGGCTCATCTCACCTTCACTTCCTCATCTTCCTCATCCTCATCCACGACGTAGATCGTCTCCTCGACCTCTCCCAGCACAAGGTTGCAGTGACTGTCATAAGCCTGGGTTTTAAGGGTCAGCAGATCTCATCAAGACGTTAGTGGCTAGCAGCGACTCACATGAAGTCGGCCCTTGAGCTCACGATCACCTCTGAGCTTGACGAAAACAACCTCATCAAGCAGAAGCTTGACAAGGTCAAGGGGCTCCTGTACGTGGGTAGCCTCGTCGCCTGCGTCCGCCATGATGAGATGAAGCAGTTATCGATTCGATAAGTTGGGATTGGGTTCGCTTAGTCGGGCGGAAGATGCGTGTATCGATGAAGAGTGAGCAACTCAACTAGGATGGCCGAGAGCAGTGGTGGGTCCAGGCGCATCAGAGTTGTGCATTTTGCGTCCCGAAGCTTCTCCTCGCGTCATTGGTCAGTGTACCGGAGACCGCAAAAACATTGTTGCGATAACCGCCCACAGTGTGGAGGACCATGCGACGGAACGCCGGGAGGTGGGCCACACTGGGTCTTGCCCCAGCGCTTCCCGTCCTGCCCAGGGTGGCACGGTTGGGAGGAAGGGAGCAGGGTCCTAAAGCAGCCACCGGCAGGTACCTGTGTAAGAGGAGGAGGAGGAGGAAGGAGGCGGAAAGTCGGGGTAGCTTGGGCGCACCTCTAAGGAGGAGGGCAGTCACCCTGCCAGGATAGTTTGTGATTGTTGTCCTCCTGCTTTCGCACACACTGCACGAGCATTTCTCGTCCCTTCATCGACGCAGCTGCATTCTGCCGTCCTGCCTTTCTGCCGTCATACGACGGCTGTGTTTTCAAATGATCCGAAAGATACATTCGAGCTTCGCACAATGATATCCGCGGCAGAGGCCAATGGCTTCCGAAAGCTGCTTCAACTTCAATCCCCTCCCCGCGGCACTCCCTCCCGGGTTTTGTCTGCGCGATTACGAAGATGTCCCCAACTACAACATGTTCTCTCTGCCGTAGCCCCTGCTGCGAGGTCTTCTTTACAGCAACCCCTCACGAGTATTCCGAAGTCAACAAGGAGATTTTATCAGTCGGACGCCCTCGCCGCGTCGCATGCGGACACTGTCGCGCCGTTACCTGTCAACTCGCCTGGAGTGATGGAAAGCTTGTTGGGCGCCGTTCAATCTCAGGATACAATGCGGATCTTTGCAGAGCTCAAACTTCTGGGGCAGCATGAGCGACAAGATGAGGTTACGTATGCCTTAAGCAAGTTGCCTACTCCAGTCTTCTCGGAAGTCGTTCGCTCCTTGGACCCTTTTCAAGTTGGACCCCAAGTCGATATAACTCATGGCCTTCAAGTAGCGCCGGGCCTGGGACAATTCAGCGCCGTCGCGTCTATTATGGACGAGTTTGGAATACGCAAACTGTACCGCAACCTTGTCAGATTGATTCGCTCAGTTCTCGACTTACGGCAGCAAAACGGCAGAGACCTGATGCTATCCGACTATGTGGTTCTCCTGAGATGCGCTGGGGCTGCTGCCGATATCGAAACAGCAAAATGGATCTGGAAGGTGGCCATGAGGCGCAACGAGCAGAAGGATGCCAACCGCAGGGAAGGGCTGGCATACGCAGAATTCATGAAAGCCCGGTTCCTTACAGAGCCGCTTTACATGCAGTACGATTTTGCCAGATTCAGGGTCCGCCCGCGAGACCTTACCGGTCACAGAAAGCGTTTTGTTAATAAGTCATTTTTGCGCCGTCTCGAGAGATTGCGCCTTAGCACTTTTGCAAATAGCCGTTCGCATTATGGTCGATCTCCCAACCAACCAACGCACGACATGCACCGATTGATCAGTCTCAAAGGCCCAGTTCGACGAGTTTGGTTCAAGATACACAAGGATCGCGTTATTGTTGATCAGGAAATATTTTGCGCGCATTTGATTGCATGTGCTCGAGCAGGTTCTTTTCGAGAAATGGTCAGAAGAATATGGCAAACATGGAGGATAAGAATCACCGATTTGAAGGATCATCGTGCTGCTCATATTGTTGGTGGCCTCGATCGCAGGAGACTTGACCCCTTGGCCATACCCGATCGCAAGTTGTTGGACGCCTTGGTGCATTCCTTTGGATGTACCGGCCATGTCATCTTGGCAAGGAAGCTCATGATTTTCTTTTCTGCGCGATACAAAATCACGATACCCCCCGAAACCTGGTCTGCGCTATTGGAGTGGACTTACATCACGTCGTCCAAGCCGGCATCGACTGAATGGAAAATCCTAAACGACGCTAACAGAATCATTGGTGAAGAGGATGTATTTGCTATATGGCATACCATGATTTCTGAACCGTTTCAGATAAAGCCCAGTCCGAAAGACACGGACATCTACGTTAAAACATTGATTGCAGCTGGCAAGATGGACCTAGCCTGTGAAGAGATCAGACGTGGCCGTGAGCAGTATGAGGCTGCGTGTGAAGAACTGCAGACAACCCTTTTTGAGAGGTTGTATCCATCGCCACCTCCGGAAGCGATTGATCGTCATACGCGGGCCAAGGTCAAGCAACACACAACGTGGTATACGGTACAGAGATGGTGCAAAATGTGGCTTGCTCAAGCCACGTTTGCAGATGCAATCTCGTCACGTGCCATCACCAACTTCGTTGCCGAATTCAAAGAAATTTTACCGAACCCCATCACCTACAAAACGACTGGAGGCACCGTGAGAATCGAAAACCCTACGAGTCTTCATAGGCAACAATGGAAGAGGCGGGTTGTTCGGAGCCCTTCGACACATTTGCGCGTGCCCGATCGGAGTCGTCCGAAGTTTGCTCAGCTTGAGGTTGAAAGTGAGGACAAGGATGGCCCATTGGTTCCAGTGATGATGAGCGAGTCTGGAAACCATATGTATGAGATGATGCCGATTACTCTCAGCCGACTGACCAAGAAGAGCGTGCGCAAGCGGACTGATAAGGTTTTTGGGCAGAAGGACAAGAAACTCCAATTGATAGCTGGTCGTGAGACGGGCGCGGAACAAATCGATCCTGCCATTGAAGGAAAGATACAGCAGCTGCAGAAAGGCGGATATGTTTTCAAGCGATTGGTGATGAGGAGTTTAGCTTGGTAAGGGCGATTTTCAAATACCGTCAGCCAATGCCATAATTACAAGCCTCCGCCACTGTAATAAGCAACTTTCACATAGAGTACATCACTTAGAACTCACAGCTTCAGCTACGTAGAACAACATAGGTTCAAACTTGCATTGTTACAGATTATATAGTATTTCATTCTGCAATCGAAGCGCTGATGGAATATATCCAGGGATTTTATGCTTATATCCTGCCCCTCTGAAAGATGGGGAGCCCATGAAACGCTTGCTCATGAAGGGGTATGGTATGCTGAATCTGACCTATCCATGCATTGTTTTCCCGCCCTTTTTTCTTTCTTCTTCTTTTCCGTGGCCGCCGACTACGGCGTCTTGTCAACGCTCTTTTCGCCACCCTCGACCGATTCTAGCCGCAAGTCGTTGAGGAGCATATACCTGCTAAGTGTGATCCAGCCGTACCGGAACCACACCATCTGGCTCTTGTGCGCCGTCGTCATTGCGCTCCAAGCGGTGGAATACCCGCCCTCGGAGCCTAGCTGGTTCATGAAAACGAGGGCAGTCGGGTGGTAGTTGTTATCCTTCTTGTTTTCCTCGTCGTCAGAGCCGTCGGAGTCAGAGTCGGATCCAGAGTCATCTTGCTCCTTCTTCGGCTTCGTAGACTTTGCCGGTTTCGGGGGGTTGCTTCCGGGAGTGGTCGCCCAGGAGAACAGGGTGGGTATCGTGTCGAAAAAGGTGCTATACTTGCGCGCCATTGGGACCGAGGTCAAGGTGTACATGTCAACGGGGGAGGGCCAGCGGGGGTTGGCAGAGAGGGCAGAAATAAAGGTGCGGGCACCATGGTAGAGTGAGATGTGGTTTGGGTGAGAGGAAATGCCGGTCGAGTCGAAGGTGATTAGGACGTCGATGTTGGCGGTGGGCTTCTTGCCAGCGGCAAGCTGGCTTGCGCTTTGGGGCGCAAAAGCACGGGTAAGAAGGGATGCGATCTTCGTCTTGTCCCAAACGTTGGTCATGGAGTCCTGGAAGTCCCTGTGTGTGGGGAAGGTTGGGGTTAATGTCCTTGGTCGCGTGAGGTCATGAGGAGGGATCCAGGGGGGTTACTTACGGGCTTTCAATTACGAAGACATCTTGTTCCTGGCGCAATCCCAGCTTCATGCCGCTCTTGACCAATTCTTTCTTGCGGGTCTCGCCGAGGCCGTCGGCGTCACCTATATTATTCATCGTCCCATCAGCCAATGCGCTCTGCTATTGCCCCTCCAGCGAAGCCCCGCGATTCTTCTTCTCCTACCTGAACTGAGACACAAGATCTTGACATGGTTGCCAGTCTCCGGTCGAGTGAGGGCCAGAACGGTCGGCGCAAAGAACATGGCTTCATCATCAGGGTGCGCGATCAACAGGCAGATTCGTTTGTCCTCAAGAGCCGGGAGGTGCGCCGTCGCAAAAGGAACCGTGTATATGTACAATGCGGGTGCAACCGCCACCGCGAGAGCTCCAAGGAGCAAAAGCCAACCCATTGTCACTGTTTGATTTTGCAATTGTGCTTTCCTCGTGGTATATCAATTCGCGGTTCTCGTTCCGTCGGTGAACAGAGTCGGTTGGCTCGGAGTGGGGTCGTTTTTGAGGAGGGAGTAGGTCGCCAATGCAATGTGGCGTGTGTCGGCGGGCTGCAAGCTCCGCGAGGAATTGTAAACGTAGGATGGTCTCGAACAGCGAAATGGGAGGAGAGGAGGTTCCGGGAGCCCTCGTCAACGTTGAACTGGTTTGCTAGATGCAAGATGTCAAGCACAATATGGCTGTCATTGCAGGGAATAGTGATCGGAAAGCTGAGATGCCACCTTGCGATAGTGCGAGGCAGACCCTTGTCCAATCTCGGAACACCTTTTAGTGACACCGGGAACGGGCTATCAGCAACGGCGAACAACCAGGTGGCTTTCAATGGTGGTGTGGTGCTTGACGACAGCAGGAGACCATCGGTTGGGAAATTGCATGACCTGGGACCTGGACGGTTCTGGTCCGTCGAGTGCGCTACGACGGACGGACGCCGCGGGCGGTGTATGTCGTTGCCCGAAAATCGCAGGCGGTGACAGATCGCGGAACGGGGTCCTGTCAGGTCAATGCCGCCTGGAGGAGCGCGGGACAGCCCCTGATTGGCGGGCTGTGGCCAGCGTCATGCCACTGACAGGGGCCGTGAGGTCACTGGACCGATGACCTGCAGGGAATGGGAGCCTTAATTTTTGGCGAACAATGCGGAGCTGAGGGAGCTCGGGGCTGACAGTGGGGAGCAAGGTTCTGCTTAATTGTCAACTTTGGCCTTTGTCAGCCAACGCACGCGACCAGACGACGAACGACAGCGACGTACCTTGCACCTGAGATCGGACACCTCGACGACACGAAGATCCTGACAATCGATTTGACCGCACCAAAGTAACTTTTGGGGTTTGAGACGAGACCGAGGGAATTGAAGACAGAAACGCTTGACGGTGCTCCGGAAACATGGCAAAGAAGATCAAGGAGAAGAAGTTGAAGGATCCTAAGAATATTCCACTGGCCCAACCTGATCGGTCCGGCCCTAGCGAAGCTACACTGCTGCAGCTTGCTAAGGAGAGGGGGCTCTTTGATCAGGCAGATAAGGACCCGAGGAACAAGCACTTACCCAAAGGCGCCGTTCGAATTGACAAGCCACATGTAGAAGACAGCGATGGAGAAGATGAAGATGGGGACGAGGCTCTACTTTCGCCCTTAATGGACCGCATAATGGATTCGCTTCTGTGGACTATTAGCCTTGCCATCCTTCATGGTACGCTTGATGTGCTTGTCCAGAACCAGTATGCTATTGCGATTGAATGGCCGACCGTTATCACTCGGACTGTGGTCGCGTTCTTGGGTGAGATATGCCAGTGATGCTTGCGACGTTGATGCTCATGACTGACCGAGACCGGAAACAGTTCTTTTCTTCCTTTTCTACAATCTCCACGAGCACCGGTCTAGCCCGAATCTGGTTCCGTGGCTTCCGCTCCGATTCCAGCACCCTATTCGGCAGGTCCTCTTCTTCGTGATGAGTCTCTCTGCTGGGTGTTATCTGATATACATCACCAACAAGTACAGTTACCTCAACACTCTGAAGCAAGCCCCGACGTTGGGCTGCTTATGGGTCTGGGCTGTACTGGAACTTGACTTAGCCATGGCTACCGCGAGTCTGGCTATGGTAGCAGCGTTCCTGGTACAGGGGGGATACAGCATCAAATAACGAATCGAGGCTCGTCACTTGGATCTTGACCGCTTGACAGACTGGGAGCTGGGGCGCCGTTCCCGCCCCCTTTTCCACAACTCGGTTGGGCTTTGTTGCGAGGAAGCGGATACCCGTCGCGACTTCGTAGCACCAGCTATCGACAGGTCGGCTGCGTTGGCGAGTCGAGTACGATGCATCAGACGTGAGACGAGATCCTCCAGCCGATGGATCTGAGCCCTTTGCTCAGCAATCTGGTTCTCCATTCGAATAAAGTTTTCTTCAGACTTCGTCTCAGTCCACGTGGTTCTTGATTCCAAATCGCGAATTCTCCTGCGTCAAATTATCAGAAAAAGGCAACAACACTTGGGTGATGTCCTCACGAGGAAATCATGCTCATCTGTGTGAACTGAACGCGCCCCGTCAGCGCTTCTCTCTGACGAACCAGCTCTAGAGTCTTGGAGCGGACTGGCAGCCATGCCATGGCGACGTTGGTCGTGAAGCTCCAACTCCTCGGCACGAGTGTCCACTTGCCGTGGTTCTCGGCATCTTGCCCTGTGGCTTTGATCTCGGCCTCAGCCACTAGCTCCAAGATGCGTTGTTCCAACTTGATGAGGTCGTCCATAACGAAGGCATACATCTCATACTCTGGCTGATTCTGGGGACGACCTCCTGGTCTCTCCCCGGCGGCACGTACGAGCTCCGCTAACCATGTCGATTCCGTTTTAAACCACGATAGAGAGGCCTTAACTCGAAAGTATTCGTCGTCGCTATTTCGTAAATACGTGATTCGAACATAAGCTGCTGCGATAATGGCAACAATGAAAGTTAGAATACCAGCAACATTGGCGGCAATGGATAAGGGACTGTCTTGTTGTGACACTTGATCCATTGGAAGATAAAAGAGCTCCAGCGAGTTTCATGCTACGTCGCGCTTACAGAGACGCTTTTGTGAGGCTGGATTGGTGACCTTACAAATGGTAAATATGATTCTGCTAGAATTTGACGAACTGAAGGGAGCTGGGAAGGAGCTGAACCTGGAACTAAGACGCCATAGGGCGGTAAGCATCGAAACCACTAAGCAGCCCCCCGCTAAATCCAACGTCCCGTCCCCTGAGTGTAGTAGTACCCTCATGGCTTCCTCAGTGGGGCCCGCCCTCACCTCGTCCGGGACACACGTGACTTTTCCTCAACGCCTCGTGTTGTTTGGGCTGTAGAAACTGCTTGCTCCATGCAACGCAAAGAGCCAACTTGAAGACATTGTCGTTCATAGCAATGAGAGACAGCGCAAGGGGGTTGTTAGTAGCTATGGATGACAATGGGTCGGTAAATTGCCAACTAATTCTTAGAGTCCCGTCACTGGGCAAACGCAAAGCTGAAAGTCAGCGGCAGAATACCCTTCCTAGTTACTTATCGATGAGATTACGGCTCTTCGTCAAGGGAGATAGTTCGCCTGCTGTAAGTTCCGATACAGCAGTATGCTGGACGGCTCAAGGAGTCACTATCCATGTCAAGATGAGTAAATAAAAGTATGGGCTCGTCTAATAATCAGTGACCATCATCTGTTGAATAATCTTCATCGCCTTCTTAGTAGAGTAGCGAATGACACTTTCATATCATCAAAGCTTGAAGGTCAACGATAGGCATCACACTTGCTTTGCTCTTCGTCAGCCTTCCATGGGGTAGGTCTCTCTCTTTTGCACAAGTCAGCAAATGATTGATCAGGGCATGCCCAGCTCGCCACAGATACGTGCAGAAAGCTGCATTGTCAGAGGTAGTTGTACTTATTATCAAAACAGCAGGAGCAGTTGAGTAGGAAGGTGCCTCCTTCCTTATCTGGTTTCTTTCCTGAATAAATCAAAACAAAACTCCCAATCAATTTTTCCCTTTTTTCCCTTTTCTCTTTTTCTCTTTCTTTCCTTTTAACCTCAAAACCCTTTCAAATTCTTATCCCCGTCTCTTTTCCCTTTCTTCTAATCCCAATCCGCAACTTTCTTCCCTCTAAATCACAAATAACCTCAACCCAACTGCCTTCCACACCACAAGACAACCTGGTATACACCTCCCACAGACTTGATCTGTTTATTCAAGAGTCTTGCGACCTCCTTCTACCAGCAACGACGGTCCATATTCAATTTCTCAATCTCAGAGACCTTTGTCACCGCCTTCATACTTCATCCCTTCATCACTCCATCCCATACGCATCACCTTAGGTATGTTTATCTGAATCACCCGTTACAATTTTCACGATTCTTATCACACCTAGATCACGCGGAATCATGTCCTCTAACGACACCACCCCGTACACCATTCCCTACACGGGCGCTCTCGGCAAGCAGATCGCCCAGGGAGTTGTCCCGGCTTCTTCCCTTGAGCCTGGTGCTGTCGCCCAGCCTCCTGCTCCCCAGGACCAGGACAAGCAGCAGCAGGGCTACCAGCGGCCCTCAGTTGCCAATGGCCCCAGCTCTCCCGAGACCAGCCACGCAAAGGGAGAGACGCTGACTATGGCTGGTGATGGTGGCTGCGCGGCCACCAGTGATGCCAACTCTGCGGCCCGCCGCAGCTCTGTTGCCCTCACCACTCACAGTGGCCCCTCTGATTCCGTTCCTTTGCGCTTTGCCTCTGCCGCCGCCAGTGTTGGCGGTATTGCCATCATCCACCCGGAGCACCGCAACTCCCAGGGTATTCACTCCTCAAGCACGTCTAAGCAGGACGCCGTCAATCAGGATGAGGTATGTATTCAATCTTCCTTCGCTCAAAATACTCTGACACCGCTAGGGTTCCACTACTTTCAGTCTGGATGGCCAGCTGGAAGACTCCGAAGACTTGATGAACAGTCCCACTCAAAACCCTGCTCGCATGCGTGCTGATCGCCAGATGCTCGCTCGGGAGCTGCAGGCTGTCCATCAGGAGAACAAGAGCCTGAAGCAAACTAACCAGGACCTCCGCACCCAGTCCCATTTCTACAAAAATGCAGCTGATATGTTCTACTCAGGCTGGGTTCACAGCATTGAAGACGTGAAGGATCTCCAGACTGACAAGGAAAGATCCACTCGTCTGATTCTTCGTCTTCATAGCCTGATTAACCGCATCGACTCAGAGTTGTACTGCCGACTTCCGGAGGATGTGCAGAATGCGATGGAGGATGTGCGCGAGCAATGGAAGTACTCCGAATGGCTGAAGGCTTTCCACCCTCAAGCCAACAGTATTCGGGCTCCCATTGCGCCAGTCGTAGCCAACGAGACTACAGAGACTCCTCTGACTCCCAAGACCCCGGAGACTCCCAAGACCCCCGAGACTACCAAGACTACCGAAGATGACGACCTGTCCATCTAGGCAACCCCTCTCTTCATTCACAATGCGTCTGACGAGACTCTCATTCATTAATTTCCAGGCATGTATTGGTAAGTGAAGCCTTTGGACTCATCTGCACGGCCATGGTTAACAAACTTAGGAACCATTCGCCCCCCTTATTGCTACCGCACAATGCACGGCACACTATATTTGGGCAGAGCTTTGCCAAGCTGCCCTTTCAGCATGTTTCGGGCTACGAATGACCGTCTGCCTTAATGTTACGTCGAGCTACACAGCATGCAGAGCCTTTCTTTGCCTTTCAAAATCATTGTCAGCAGAGGTTTTTTGGTCTTTGGATCAATGGGCTTGCTACGCAAGCATGCTCAATCGACTTACTACTTGTATGATTCTTCAGGATCTGATGCTTTCTCTTGCCGTTTGTGTCTTCGGCTTTTCTTTTCTTTTGCGTGCATATCAGGTCTCAGCATGCCGACACACAGTCATCATCGCTTCTGCAGGTTTCCTTCGCTTGATGGATGGCCCAAGTTTGTCACGGCTTGGAAGGAGAGGCTTGAGATTGGTTGAGATTGCTTTTCTGGGATGCATTGGTTAGAGACCAGCTTCACAATAGAGTGCTGGTAGGATTTTAATGATACTGGATGAATGCCTGGTTAGTAAGGAGGCATGAAATTGGTAGATAGAAACAAGGATGTCTCATAGCTCCGGGCCTCTTGTGAATAAGTGCATCGCTAGAAAAGTCACCATACAAGATGACGAAGTATGACAGTGAGCCCGGTCTGATGATCTTCTATAAAGTGTTGCTTTCCCTTCTCAGTTGCTGACAGATGTGCAGGTTTCTAGCTAAGACAATCTAGCCGAAACGACAGATCCAGCCATGGCAAAGCAAGTTGTAGATGAGCCCGGCCCTTCGCGACCGCCGCTTCGAACTGTTCGCAACGCCCGCAATTCCAAACACGATGTCCCGTGTGGGGAGAACTGTCTTATCTATCCCAAGGGAAAATTCGACAACACCCCTCCCGGTATCATGGGGAAACTAGCTCAGTATCTGGAAGTAGATCTTAAAACCCGACCGTCAAAGCGAAATGTCTGGGTAGAAAGAATGGGCAAGAGGAAGCGCGGCGGCCGACACAAGGAATGCGACCGCCCGAATCGGTTCTATCCTATCGATGAAGCTACCGCAGAGGAGAACCTAACTGCTGTTGATGCAGAGAATGTGACGGATGGTGATAATGGGGGAGTTGAAGACAATGGAGAGAACAGGGTTGTTCCTATCCTACTCTTCCCGGCGGTACGCTGAGACCAGCTGACGAGGCTGCTCTGGCGTGGAGACGTCGTGATGCACAAGAGCGCGTGCGTCTAAACAATGCGAGAGCCGTAGAAGCTCAGCCGGAGCAGCAAGAAGCAGGACAACAGGAACAGGCAAGAGGGTTTTCAGGACGTCCTGCCGAGGGCGTCAACCTGGGTACTGGCCAGGGCTGCATTCAGGCTGCAGACGTTCAAGAAAGCCCACAAGATCCGACACCTAGCCGTCGGAGGCGTCTGATGAGAATGGTTGTGCCTTTTCGTCTAGCTAGACGGAAGCAACCTCCTCAGTAGGCGAACTTGAACAGTTTTCACAGTGATTTGATGGTCACTACCTTGTGAGAAACCAAAGGCCTCTAGTCATAAGCCAAGGGTGAGAACTTTGTGTCCCTGATCAACGCAATGTTTTACTACTTACTCAAACTCACGCCTTCCCTCCAAGGTCTGCGTTGAGTTATAGGACACCGCCAGTTAAAAATATTTCAGTTCATTTCAAATTTTCATTTTCTTTCTTCTTTTAAGAGTATGTAGACGCCTGATCTAGTTGTTTATCGCCTTTGCAATGCGGTCTAATCCCTCAAGCAGCAGCTCCTTCTTATTCGAGAACACAATCCTGAACCAACCCGGCTGCTCGGAGCCAAATTGCAGGCCAGATGCAATGAATACCTTGTTCTGAAGCAACACATCCATGACTTCTTTGCTAATGTCTTCGCTCTCTCTGTCCGGATGCCGCTCACGATATGCCTTGCCCAGGTCGACCCACAAGAAGAACGCAGCATTCGCGCCAGGTGCATAAACGATGTCATTCGTATTGGCCCACTGCACCACCAGCTCGAAATGCTCTTGAAGTTTCTGTTGATTCTCAGCAATGTAGCCGTTCACCCAGTCGGTGTCGTCGAGTATATTTGCAGTAATGTGGTCTGATATCGAGGACGGAGAACTGTAGATACCAACGGGTATCAAAGAATCATGGAAGGAAGGGTTGTGTTGAGAGATGATGGCCCCAATTCTGATTCCATTTGCTCCAAAGTCCTTGGACATACCCCAGAGGACATGGAGGCGGTGGGCGTCCATGATGCCCGTCGTATCAATGGATAGACAGGACTCGAAAGGGACAGGCCCGGGTTGAGTGTCGATTGTGTTGCTCCAGACGGACAGGCCGTAGATCTCATCGCTAATGAGATGGACGTCGTACTTCTGGCACAGCCGCATCAAATCAACAATCACCTCTCGCGGATAACATCGCCCCAGAGGGTTGTGAGGATGGCACAGGATGAGACCAGCGATCTTAACCCCCTTGGCCTGGGAGGCCAGCAATGCATCTTCGTATTTCTGCACGGCATCAACTCCGAGCGGGTCGAGACCGTGGAACGGCACCCGCACGAGTTTGCAGCCTGTTCGGTACTCCACGTCCGGAATAAAAGCACCGTAGTGAGGCTGGCCCAGAAGGAACCCTTCTCCGGGGTTTCCCAGAGCCCAGACGAGATGCTCTATCGCCGAACTGCAGCCGTTGGTAACCGCGATGTGTTCCGGCTGGATGGCAGTGAGAGGCTTGAAGCGATCAGTCAAGAACCGCGAGATAGAGCCCTTTAGTCGCTTAGATCCCGTCATGCCATCTCCATACGTGAACGAGTGCGTTGGTACGGCGAGATTATTGTGGATGTGCTCCGACAGCCTCTCGTGCATGAGCGAGTTCTCCGCTATACCGAGGCTAACATAGCCCGTCGGGTTCGTCTTGGGGTCCCAGAGATCGCGGACGATGGCCCAGAGAAGCATACCGGGGTCCGGCTGGGCCGCCTCTCGGCCACGAACCGAAAGACCGTATTCCATTTTGCGTCGTTATTGCAGTTGAGAAGAGAATGACTGAAGTTGCGGGGTGAGGCGGTTTCTGGAGACGGTGGCTCATCTCTAATATGTAGTCGTAACGATTTGATAAGAGAAAACAGGCTAGCCAAGCGGGCGACAGATAAAAAGGCCGGTTTAGCTTGTCAGTGGACACGGGGAAAAGCGGTCATTTTTTCTGTCGGCCGAGTGACTTTGTGGTGTCCAATGACTCAATCAAGCCAAAATGGAGCCAGACGTTGTGAACTCACATCTTCTATTTGTCCCGCACCCCGCATTTTTGTTGGGCCATTAGGGGAATAAGGAAAGTTGCTGGAGACGTTTGGTGTCTGATTGGTCGACTGTAGGATCCTCGAAGAATCGTTTGATATTGTCTCGTGACAGCACAATACCACTACTCGTGTCCACCATTTGCATTTCTGCTGACTACACGGGTACCCTACAAGTAGTTTGCTCCTTTCGTGTTCTTGCTGTTCTTTTGATTCACCTGTTCTGCAACCTTGAGTTTCCTGTTGGCCAGAACTAGTCGGCGGGTTATTGATACCTGGTTACGCCCTTTCAAAGGGCATGGTTGACATGCAAAAGTCAAGACACATTTCTGGAGGGTCATTGAAAGCTACAATGTCTGCGCTAGTTGATTTTAAAAATTATATCTGTAAATATTTAGCTTAAGCTTGTGCAAGCTGATTTGTGATACTTGGTAATGGCTTGCATCAGCTTTCATGGTTGGAGGCTTGCCGAGAGCAGTCTAAGGACTTAGTCATCAAGTTGATACATTGTTTTGACACAGGTTAGCTAATAGGGCATTGCCTTGGTCAATAATTATATCAATCGTGAGTCAATGGCTCACTTACACTCGTCGTGGCTTGGGGTTTGTCATCCTGCACCAGATGGCTCTCTGAAATGCATAGATTATGATTAGCCTTGTTGATCAGAATGTAGCTCTTGGGTGAATGATAGGACAAACCTTACTTTAAAATCACTTTTAAGTGCAACCTGGATGGCTATGTATTGTTGAGAAGGTTGTTGTTCAAGACATTAAGAGTTGATCACACAGCTTAAGAGGGCTCTTGGAGACTCCAACTTTTGCGTTAGGTTGCCGGCACTGCTTACATTGTTTTCCCTTGCAGTAGATATCTATCATTCAGGCTCTTCAGACTACTTAGGGAATCTCCGGATCCAATAAAAGTTAGGCTTGTAGATGACTTTCCTCAATCATTTCTTGATGACAGGCTATCTTTGTCATTCTGATACCACAGCCAACTTCTTTCTTTCAATTTTCCGGCATCTCGAAAAGTACAGCCGTCCTGGTGAATGAAGTCCAGCCTGCTGGCCAGCAGCATTGTATCGTCAGTTTATCGTATTTTGTTCGTATTACTGGAATAGAGTTCATCCAGACAAGCCCACACATGGCTCACCAAACTCACATAACACCCGGCCAACTGGCTTCAGCCGAGGAGTCAGCGCCACAGTCGATACGGAACCCACCCACATTCTGGACGGGAAACCCCAGAACCTGTTACTTTAGCTGCAGTTGTTGAAATGTTAAATAGGTTAAGTGAGAGACTTTGCACTGACCTGAACTACATCACTCACCCAGCAAAAGAACCCATTAGCCGTGGACATCTGCAGATCATAAGAACTTTATCGCTCAACTTACAACCAAGACAACCTTACCGTCATACGCGAATCCAGTCACAGCAGGAATGAATCCGTGCTCAGAACATCGCAGCCCCCATTCCCAAGCCCCGTGGCAAACGTCTGAATAAGCAGCTTCCAGCATACCAGCGACAACAGGTCCAAGACATCAGACGAAAACCGGCCAAACTCAGCCGTCCCACCCACCCAAGACGCAATCAACCTGAGGCTCCGATGTCTGCTCGTAAACATTGATCTTCCAGCCTAGTCTCATTCAAGCGTTTTCCAAAATGCCTTCGTGATGCCTTCATCAAACACACCGTAAAGCGCCCCATGATGAACCTTTTTCAACTACCAAAAGTCTATCGCCGGCACACCCAAAATCCGGCTTTGGCTGGAACTGCCGTTCCAATTGTTGCCATAAATGCCGTTCCCGTAAAGTTATCCTCGTACTTTAACCCCCCCGCCCCTCCCACCCACAGACGCAGCATCAACAATCCCAAGGTAAGCAAAAGGATACTTCAGCTTAACCGACCAATCTCTCTCTCTTGAAAGCATCTCACCACCAAAATGAGACTGATCATTGGAAACCCCCCCCCCCCCCCCCCCCACCGTTAGCACTCATAAGACCCGAATCACCTGCCACGCCGTTATAACCGTGGAGGGGGTGAGCACAGATTTCCCACTTCGCGCAACCCCCCATCTATCCATCCACTCTTTCCGTGGATCTCGAGACGTTTGGCTCCCAGGATGACCATGTAGCACCGGGTTCGCGGCGATGCCGCATGACATCATCTCACTCATTGCCAAAGAAAAGAAACCAAAAAAACCAAACGATATAATGGCAAAAATCGGATGCATATTTGTACAAATCGGCAGACTTTTCTAGCATTAACACACACGAGAAAAAAAGAAAAAAAAAGGGAGAGCCCCATCATAACATACCCATGCTTAGAGAGGAAAAAGGGGGAGAATTAAAAAAAAAAAAAACTCCTATCTCACCTTGGTTGCTTTTTTTTTTTTTTTTTTTTTTTTTTTCCAAATTTCACAAAGCATGAACTTCGATGACCGATCTGAGCCCGATCACCAAGCATACGCTGCACAAAAAAAGAGACACATAGACACCAAAAGTGTGCCCATCCAACCACCGACTTTAAAAAAAGGATCCAAACCAACAACAAAACACACCACGGCATGATGGTCCCAAGCGAGCAATCAACAAACCCCCCGGGGGCCACCCCTCCTAGAGCAAACAAGGTTCAACCCGCGATCTTGAGCCCCACGTGCCCCCCTCCCCTCCCTCCTCTTCTCCCCTTCAGAACGTCGTAGCCACCGCACGGTACAACCACCACCAAACCTCCCGCCCCCCCTATCCCTCCATTTAACCCAGAGCATATGTGTGTGTTGTGTGTGTACACGCATACTTCAAACCCCCCTGAAGAAAAGTATAATCGCGCTTAATTCGCCTCACTCAACTCTTGAAAAGCTGTTAAACCCGATAGGTCGGGACCGCCCGGGAAGTGGTGGCTTTCTTTTTTTTTTTTTTTTTTTGTGATGGACAGTACAAGGTTTGGCGTGGCAAAAGGACTAGGCCTTGGTCGCTTCGTAAGTCCCCCCCCCCCCCCCCCCCCCCGGCCGCACAACATTGATGATCTGGGAATGGCCTCGGGACAAGTGGAAACACGTTTGGGGGGAGTGTATGCGTTTATCTTGCTGAGACGGGGCAGTTGGCTTGTTCTAGACGCCGTGATTACCCGCTGATTCCCGTGGGCTAATTCCACAGACAGATCCATGTTTTCAATGCACAATGGAAGAGGGGGCGGCCACGTCAATCTCCATCACGGATCGGTGAACAGTTGAGGGATATCATATTGGCCATTCAGTTGAATACAAATTGATGTACTAAATATTCACACAGCGGTGGACGTCGTGTCCAGGTATATCCAAAAAGAAAAAGAGAAACAAGAAAAAAGAATAACTGCAGAAGAATAAAAAAAAAAACACAACGCCACGAGGTACTGTACGAGTGCTCCGGAACTGACGAGTCACTCATGTGTGTCCATAAACCCCCCAACCGCCCGTTCCAAAAGTGAATGCGCCGACCTAGATACCGGGTCAAATGCGTTGGTGTTTTTGTGTGTTCCTCAAACCCGTAATCATCATGCATAAGCAAGCAAAACAGATAGCCCAACCCGGCATTTCCACGTCTCGTCAACTCGTAATCTCTTTTCCAAACGTCTGCTCCATACATATACCCCGCTCTCACATTACAGCATTATGTTTGATTTATTGGCGTCGTCCAACTTGAGGTAGTGACTCCAGTCTCAGTTCCACAGGTGGACGATGGATGTCCAAGCTTCGGCTCGGCGCTCGTCGGCCGCCAGGCGTACGTGGGTGGGCGACGTTAACCCGACCACCGCGCTCCGAGATGCGTGCCGGACCCTCGTCTGAATCGGAATCATCCTCAGGTTCGTCGTAGCCGTAGTCCGCGAGCCGCGCAAAGTAGTCAGCGAGACCATCCACACTGGGGGTGCCGACAATGACATCGTATTGAGGCGGCGGTGTCTGAACAGGCCGGCCATTTTCAGCCGGAGGCGGAGGCGTCTCGGCGTCAAAGGCAGGCGGGTTGTATGAGGGCACGCGAAGCAGGTGGATCGGCCGGGCTTGGTTGTCGAGCGGATCTACCGCGGTCTGGGAACTTGGCGGCGAGGACCGGGGGCCGGTACCAGGCGTAGGCGTTGGGGACGAGGGAAGATGAGCTGCTTGTGGCGGTGCCGGCATCTCAGTTGTCGCATCAGTGACGTTAAGGGCGCCTGTCGACAGGTTGTTCGGGGATCCCTCAGGAGGCCCAGCAATAGTAACTGCGTCAGGGCATCCGCATGAAGTCTGGCGGCTTTGGGTTGTGCAGCTATCAGGGCCCGAGTACTCGGGCAGTGCCGTGTTAGCCTGCGTCGCGCGGCAGTTGAGTACCGTAAACGGCGAGTCAATGCTGATCTCAAAGTGACGGCGCTTAGTACCCGTAGGGTCTTCGGGGTCGATGCGGGAAATCCTCATGACGATCTAAATCAAATGTCAGCTGTCACTCATCCTCTATTTTTTTTTTTTTTGCCGTAGCGCGTCAGGATCTTACCTTGATCCAATGGTACACATTGACATTCTTCCAACTGCAGTCGGGATGCAAGCGCAACTGCTTGTCCTTGGCCATGGTCTCGCACGTCGGCAATTGAACATTCATCTCAATCTCGGTCGAACCCCAGTAACTCTCGAGGCCAAGGTCCAAGTCACCCAAGATGTTGTCGACCGGCTCTGGCAGGGGCTCCGGAATCACGCCATGACGAGATGCGTCGGCGGCGCGGCGCAGTGCTGCAGCCTCCCGGGCCTCCCGGCGTTGGCGCGGTGTCAGCTCACCACCATTAACCACGCGGACGTCCGATGATGCATATGCAGGGTCCAGAGGCTTTCCGGCAGTCTTCTCGAGCAGAAGAATTTTCCTGCCTGGGTCTTTACGTGTGACTCGTCGGTCATTAGTCCAGTACTCGATGGACTCCGTGACAAACACCTTGAGCTTGTGAACCTGGACCTTGGCGAGCGGTGTAAGCTTGAAGGCGATTGGGATTTTCGTGCCGATCGGAAACGATTTGCCAGAAATAATAATGTCGTAGTGCAATTGGTCCTCCCATTGCCGGCTAATCGAGATGGGTTCTGTCATTTCCAGTGAGAGCTGATCTGGCACTCTCACAATGGTCACCTCCTTGGAACCGTGCAGGTTGGGCTTGAAAGCGCCGGCTCGCTCAACGGTAGCCTGCAACTCCCACTTGACGGAACCATATTGCAGTTTAGTCGTCTCGAGTTGGTGATGGTCGATTGGCAATTCGAAAGTGTACTCGTAAACACCGGGGTAGAAAACTTTGTAGCCCTTGGCCTGGTTGCCATTGGGATTGTCGCCCTTGCCGAAACTGCGAGATTGGTTGGATTGAAGGGAGAGGCGCTTCAGCTCCTTGGCCGTGAGGCCTTGTCTGTTGGGGGGAATCGAAAGGATCGATGGTGAAATGGAGTTGCGCGGGGATCCTGACACCAGGTTTGTCGATGACGAATTGGAAGAGCTGCTCTTCAGGGCGTATACGCATTGGTTGCCGTACTCCGTTTCCCACCCATCATTCACGGCGTTGAAAAAAGTCAACACCTGAGTCCGTAGCGACTCTTCTTCGTAAAGGTCAACCTTGAGGGGCGGGATTCCCTCAGGCCACTCAGTCCTCGCCTTGCCGACCAACTTCAGGCTTATACCCTTAATTTTCACGTTTTTGGTCACCTTCAATTGCAGCTTTCCGCGCAGAAGCGCAGTTCCTCCCTGGGAATGTTGGCGATGACCATCATGTTCGAAGCCGGTCAAAAAGATGTTGGGCTCGGCCATGAGAATCGAGCAGCTAACACCGCTGCCGTGTGCAACAGGTTTGGGGATTTCGGTGACCTGTGATGTGACGTTGCTTTTGGCGCTACGGACCGACATTAGGCTGCTTCGCTGTCCTGGCGTGTTGTACGCAGCGCTCATCAGAGGTGGTCGCAAGGCCTCGGCCATGGCTGCTGACCGTAGTGCCATCGTATCCTCCTCCGGGACTACTAGGTCTACCTCTCTGTAGGTAGAGAGACGGTTAAGAATGCTCGCTGCTCTGCTGGGTGGTCTCGAGAGGGTGGATGCGCGCGATGCAGACCGGCTCGGGACTTGCTTTTGGGAGAGCGAGAAGAATTGCTTGATGCTGAACTTGAGTGAGGCCTTCCCGAGCGATGTCGTGGTTGGCGAGACGGCGTTCGTCGGCTTTCTCCTCTTTGCGGGGCGCTCTGGTTGGGGTCTAAGTTCGTGGGGGACGAAGCCCGAAGGCCACGACGTAATATGTATTGATCGCGGTCTGACTTGACGAGCGCGGATGGGCGGCGTCGGCAATCGGCTTTGTTGTGTAGAGGGAGGGTCTAGGAGGTATCTAGGACAGTAATAGACGCCGCCGCGGGTGGATGTTGGAATCCAGTTTTCCGTTCGCCGAGATCGCTCCGAGTCTGTCATGGTCGGCATTGTTAGACGCTGGGAGTTGGAAGATTCATGAACGGGGTGGCCGAGTGACGAAGAGTCCGCAATCACTCAGCCAGCGTAAGGGAGGCGTGGTATGCCGGGTATATAAAACAAAAAGTAAAGGAAGAGATGTTGAAGTTTAGTTGTATTGAGAAAAGGGAAAAGAAAAAAAAAAGTGGTTGCAATGGCTTGGTTCAGGAACAACAGTAGGGGAGAGGGTCTGTCTGGGGAACTGAACCAGATTAGGTGCATAAGATGGTTCTATGCGCTGGCAAAAAGCAAGTGAGGGTATCCATAGGAAGAGGAGACGTGTAGGTCGGGTCAAGGAGTGTCGGGCATCGAGGGCAAGTTAGGGATAATGGGGGTTTGAGGTGGGATGCAGGGTTGACCGTGATAATAATTTGCAGTGATGGGACGCTGAGCGGTGCGAGCACAACACATGGGAGACAGGCATTGGCATAAGAAATGGTCCCGTCTAGAAAGGCAAGGTACGACGAGATGGAGATTGCGCTAGACAGAACGGGCAAAGAAAAAGGAAGGAAGTGGAAGCGTATGTATTGTATCCGTGCCAAAGGTATGAGAAGAAGCAGGACAAGACGTACCGATGTGATCAGAGTCAGGCGTGCATGCGATCAGTCATTGACAGCCGGGGGGCCTTATTCTATTCCGCCCTCGGACCTCCTAATGGGAGCGGGAGAAAAAGCAAGAAGCTTGAGTTGACTTTTGGCGGAGACGGTAAAGTCTAGTTGCTAGGTACAACGGGATGAGAGTGTCTTGGCCTGGTCTGCTTCTAAGAGGTCAGGAATGGCGTGCGGTGCTTAATGGCGGTGCGTGTGAGGGAGGAGGGAAGCGAGTAGATCGCAGAGAAGGGGGGGGGGGGGGGGGGGGGGGGGGGGGTGTGTAAGGGAAGGCAACGTGTGTATGTGTGGGAAGTAGAGTAGGCCTTCAGTCCACTTGAGCAGAGGCCAATCTGGTTGGGCAAGATACCGAAGGATGATGAGTACAAGCAACGGCAACAGTAGTCCGGGCCAGTCAGGCTCGGTCCGTGTTGGCTTCCATGTCTCATGTTTGATCTTCTGAGGGCCTCAGTGAAGAGAGGATGGGAGCCCCGCGCACAGCGCCACACTTACCCAGATCCAGATTCACCAAGAAAGCGTCGGGAAGGACTTGTGTGGGGTGGGGGTGAGAAGCAAGAGGAGGAGGGATGGAGGAGACATAGACTCGACTCAAACTCGACGAGTGAGGTGTTGAGCGACAGGGAAGATGTCGACAGCGAAGGAGGGGTGATGGAGGGGCAGCGATGATGGAGACTGACTTGGGGGAGGTGAGGTAAGGTAAGGCGAGGCGAAGGCGAACGATGGACGGTGACGAGGCCACTGATTTGCCCTTGTCCGCCAGCGTGCAAGCGGAAAAGTGTGTGATGGAGGGGAATATACAGACGAGACGGAGTCTCCAGTCTCCAGGGAGGCCAGAAAAGACCAGCCGAAGCGACGGTGACAAGAGAGAGGGCCTACGAGAGGAAACTAACCAGCAACAGACAGGTCGAGGCAAGACAAGGCAAGCCAAAGCAGCCAGGGTACCTCACGGCTAGGCAAGGTACGACGAGGTTGCGATGCGACGGTATCCCGACCTCGAAGGGCAGGAAGTGGGAAGTGGGAATTGGCTTTGTTCGTGGTCGCGCACTCGCAAATGCAGGCGAAGGGAGTGGATTGGCTGCTACAGCGGACTCGGGCTGCGTGCAAGGATGATGTCGGGCGGGGTGGGAGAAGAATACCTGCGACACGGTCTCGCGGTGTGCGATGTGCGGTGTGTGCGGTGTACTGCAGACGCCCTGTGTACAGTTGGTAGCGGTATATACCCCCAAGGGAACCGGCCTTGCGTTTGTTGGTTAGTAAAGGAGGGGAGAGAAGGGAAGTGAAATGGGCGGAGTGGGCGGTCTTCCACTCGTAAGGAAAGATGAGGCGACGGGGGGTATGTGATGTATGTATTGGTTTGGACACTCTGTTTTTATTTTTGTGTTTTTTTTAGAGATGGGATGTTTGGAAGATGAGGGGGGAAGGAGAAGAACTCTCAACAGGACCAGGGCTAGGGGGGGAAGCATGTAGGTAGGAAATACTTGACGACGGCGCGGACGAGGCGGGATGACATAGAATGGGACGTTTGATGGTGTGTGGGCTTAGTACTTACCGCTTAACGTAAAACAGAGAACGCGAACACAAAATAGCTGAGGTTTTCCTTGCCGAGAGAAATTGACAGGACTGATAGGATGGATACGCCGGAACTGCAGAGTTGACTGGGTGCAAAAAACCAGAAAGCAAAAGCAGGTTTGTGGTTGAAATTAGTATTGCTGCTTTGGAGCGAAGGACGAAGACGTACTGCATAAAGGTAAAAGTATCGTAATGGCCTTTCAAGGAGGCGACAGGTATGCGCTGCCAGCAGAATGCAGTACGTAGCCCACGTCAAGTTCCAAGACCACCAGCCCAAGCCCAGTCTGGGCAGCCCAGGTCAAACTATACAGAACCTCTCTCTCTCTATCTTCAGTCTCTTCGGCTCTTTCACACACACACTCTCTCTCTCACACCATTCCAGTGAATGGTTTCAACAAGCTACAGGCCACCGCAGCGATCATCACCGGCTAGCAAGAGAGTCAATGACCATCGGATCTGAAGGAAGCTCTCCCTGGCTCTGTGTGAAGACTGAGCAGACTTCTCAAAGATAGCGGCCTTAGGGACTCCGTAATTGTGCCCCAAGTGATCAACCTATGATGTATTCCACGCCTTGGTAAGACCCCTGCCTGGCCCTTTTTTAATCGATTGTCTGCTTTTTCGCAGCATTGCTAGTGCCCGGACCACTCCACCGCCAATGAAATGCTAGGGGACCAGTGGGTTGTGGTCTCTAGGCTGGGTCGGCCGGCTGGGCCTGGGCTGGGCGGATTCCAATTACCTGGGGCCCTGTAGCTCTCTGTTACCTTTGACTGTGCGAATCAACCGGTGCTGTCAGGTTGCTTTCTGCCTTCGGAAATTCTTTCGGCTATGAGTAAGCTGGATTTGGGGACCCCCATGTTAAATCACCGTGTCGAGAACAGCCAAGTCTAATGCTTAGTGGACCATTTTTTTGTGGCAGTGTGGCTGGTGGCTGAATGCTCACTTGACAAGGCTCAGTTCACAGCATCGATGCACATGCCAGTATTGCAACGCCCGCACTGCCACTGTGTCGTCTGCTTTCACTGGGTTGTCGATGCTATAGCATCAGCGCCGCTACAAAGGAAGAGAACCTGCGCGTAGAAGGCGTTGTTTTCTCTTCATCCTGCCATCCCTATGACTGGTTGCCGTTAGTGATTGGGGTATACCCTGCATGTTGGGCACGATAAGCTCGTACATCCGGCGTTGCTCGCAGGCCTTCCCTAGAAAGGGCTATAGGATATGCAGCAGTGCAAGGATGTATCTCCAAGGAAGAATACCAGGCAATGATACTCCCCTCTGTCAGCCGTGGCGAAACGAGCAGTGATGATTTAGAGGGTCGGTCATGAAGGTGCCGGACGATTTGACAATTGGAACTCCAGTTCGTGTTTCTGTTGAACTGTTGATGATGACTCAAATATGTCCGCTTTTACCCCCGCCCGCCGAAATTGCCGACCAGCTTCTAGAAAACGAAGACGAAATGCAACGAAAGAACTCTGCAATCTGATGACATTTGGCACTGACCTGACTTTGCCATGCCGCGGCCGCCAAAGTGCCCCATGTCCTGTGTCACCGCGTCTATTCCGTATTAGTGCGCCTATGTAGCGTCAACTCTGTTGTGCCATTTCCGATAGATCAACACGGCTTGGCACAGAAACAGTTAGCAGATTGACTCTCCCGGCTTGCCGGACGCCGGCATACAAGCCGGACTTTTTGTCCGCCAATGGGTTAGTGATGGAAAAGTGATTTCTGAGCAACTCCTCACAGCGTGCATCACCAATGTGATCATCAGCTTAATGATTAAGAGCTCCTCGAATACAGCTTCCAGGTCTTCCGAAACCCGACGTCCGAGCCCCATTCATCATGAGCCGCGCATCGACCACATCCGCGGAGCCACAACACACACTTATCGACAACCACGCCACTCTGTGCGATGACTACAGGATCACGCTGAGCCCGAACATCGGGGGGCCTCTGAGTGGACCAAACCCCCTGGTAAACCCTGCGTGCGCTGGCGGCCTTGGTCGAACCCCACGCTGCTCCCATTGGGCTGCGCATGGTCATGAGCCACACTTCAGGGCGCACTCTCTTTAGAAGGGACACTTCATGTTCGAATCATTGTTGCGAAGATCCTCAAGAGGCGTGCCCACGGAGATACCAGAGGGTTGTAGGTTTTGATAGCTCGGATTGCGTGGAACAACAAGATGTAAAGGAGGCAAAATGAGACAGTGTATCGTGCAAGCCAGACAAGCCAGGCCCACCAGGGCAATCTGAGTGGCTGGAACTGGAACCTCATCGTTCGCCTGTGCGGCAAACTGCCAGCCGTGCGGCGCCAAACGGCCTTGTTTCACGTAGCACGCCTGTTTGCATCATGGTGCTTCTCCAGTCTCCCAGACTTGCATTGAGACGCAATCTCTGCCATCTCAACTCTGGTGTTCCAAACCAAAAGACCCACATTGGCCGGGCTACCCTGGGTGCTGTTGCATTGAGAGTGACGGCTGGGGTCGGAAACAGGGAGCTACGCAGCACACGAATGCCATTTCGCAGTCGTGAATGGCTCGTTGCCTTGGAAGAAGTGATTCTGCAAGCATTCCATCGGGACTTGAGATAGGGAGCAGCTAGGTCGGAGGATTGTTGTCCCAGATTCTCGACAAGGTAAACCCTGGGGTGGCAGTCAGGCAAAAAACAGGCGAACAGCTAGCTATGAGGGCGGTGAATTGGTGGGCAGGGCGAACAATGGACGTCCCGCAAGGGAAACGTGGGTATCCCAAAGACCAACCAAATTCGTCAGGGCATCATTCCTGTTGTGCTCTTGTATGGTTTTAGGCGAACATAGAGAGGCTCTCAAAGGTAAACTTGGTCGATATTGACGTATTCTCATTGATAGCAGATACATCTATCTCTCTTTGGTAGAAGTCCCTGCAGCAGCTGACGCCCCCAGGGCTGCAATTGAGCATTTGCCAGGTACAGATTTTCAAAGGGAGAAGATTCGCACCTGGCGGCGTGTGGAGACGCGGAGGCGGGCGTTGGTAGCGTACGCCCACCACCAGTCAATAGCCTTAGACTTTGATAGTAATATAACGGCGATGACGGCGAGCTCGACATGACAGGCCCAATTTCCCCTTGGATGTAGCACCCTTTGTGGACATGACAGGATAAATTTTAAATTTCGTCTGCATGTGGCTCAGCTTGCTTGCATTCGCCATGCGTCTCGCAAGGAGGATTAGCTATGACTGGGCAAGCGCGTCACTGCACCAGTATGCGAGTCAACCGGTTTGAGTCCATGGAGATGTCCGCCTGGAACTGGTTCGTGGTCGAGTCGAAACAAGGCTCTAGCGCAAATTCAGAGTAGAGAAGAAACAGTAGCGCGGTTATGCAGGATGGGGAGGGAGGGGGTTGGCTGTCAAATGGTGCTTGTCGTGCTCAGTCTACCAGCCCAGCCCGTCTGTCTATTGGCCTGCCCCGGGATTGTGTGCACTCCGTGACGAGTGTGCCATTGAAGGAAGTCAAATTGAAGAGTCTGGAGAAGGCCTGCGTCACTAGACAATGCCATGGCGGCAGGTTGGCGCTGATGCATGGAAATCTTGCATTTCGTATCCATATTCGTAATTTCGCGTATGAGACCTATCCGACCGCCGTGTCTGAAGTGCTGCAAAATAAACCATCAGGCATAGATAGATCCGAGCTCAGGGGGACAAGCTCTTGGTCGTCGCATACATAGTGTAGCAAATACCTCGAGTTCGTTTATTGTTCTGGTTGGGGTTTGCAAAGTTTTTCCAAGGGCATCGGCTGAGCCGGCTGTAGATGTTTTTTTTTTGTCCTTGCCCTTGTCTCGTTCCTTCTGTGGTGTGGTTAAGCCAGGGCTAGTGCAAAATTCTTCCCCCCAAGTCAGAAGGAAGCATATGATAGGCAAGCAAGAGCAAACCAGAAAAAAAATGGCAGGCCGACATTAGAACAGGGTCGAAATTCACAAAAGAGGAAATAGGGTACCAGGATTGAAACCAGGATCATGTGGAGAGATCCCCCTCCAGCTGCCGCTGCCGCTGCCAGTTCTATGATCAGATCGACGCCGCTGAGGTCATCGGAAGCTTAAATGTGGGGTCTCGTGAGTCGTGGACTCGTAACCACACCTGCAATGCTCCTTCCGCCATTGCTCCATTACTCCTTTACTTCCTGCCGCATCTGCTTGGCTGCAGCTGCCTTCGATCGTAACTGCCTGTAAGCCAGCTGGGGGGTCTTGCTACACACTACCGAAGCGACTGATAATGGAAAGAGCGAGAGGAAGGATTGATAGAGAGGGAAAGGGCAAGAGAAAGGCAACGGGGGACTGAAGCTGCAGTTGTTGCAATTGCAGTTGTGCCGCATCCGAATCGACTGCTGCAACCATTTTCTGCAACCCCGTTTTCTCTCCCAACTCTTCCTGGCGGCCAGATCTGTCAGCGGCGCAATTTAGCTCTACAATTCCTCCTCCCAATAGATGGTAGCGTATTATCAACGCAACCCAATCTGGGCGACCACAATTCGACGCCTGCAGCCCAATGACAACAGTGCAATTGGAACCCAGCCTGCTGCTAGTTACTATGCGTGACTAACTACTACGCAAGCTTGTCTAGGCTAGCTCACCGCAAAAGCTGAGTAGCAGCACCAGGGTCATGAGCTCACCAGCCCTGAAAAAGAAAAAATCCCGATATCCATTCTCAGTCAGTCATCATTTCTTGGGTTTTTTTTTTTTTTTACCGTTCTAAACCGTCGCCTCACATTCGGGCAACCCATGCTAGCCAGACAAGGAAAACTTGGCATGTTGGTTGTAGGGCCTCACATCTTCATGACGGGGCCTCGGCGGGGTCCAAAGGGTCTCTTTTTTTTTCGTCATATCACGAGCCCTTCATCGGTTTACCAGGTCCCTTGTTCGGCTAACCCTCCAATATGCCCTGTCAAACTGTTTCCTCCGCGGGGTGAAGATGCCGATCGCGCGTTTTCCCCGATGTACCAGCTTCAATGAAGCCCCAATAAGCAGCCTCACCAACCATCCCACCGCATCCACCATGCCGGCCCTCCGCCGATCTTCCTAGTCTCCCGTACGAGACGTTAACTTCCACTGCGGAACTTCCATATCCTACGCCCGCCATCTCTCATCGTTTCCTGTCCCGAAGCGGTAGAGTTTGAACGCCACCAGCCCCTGCCGCTCACATATTGCTCGCCTCATTTGTGTCATACTCGCCTACTAGTATCTCTTCGGAATCTAAGGCACTTGATCGCTCATTGTCAGCCACCAGATCCCTTTTCCCTGACGATCCTATTACAGAGACACTCCGCGCCAACCATTACCGCTAATACGCTACGAGCCTCGCTAAGGCATGTATTTGCCGCCGGCTTGGGCTGTCCTGTTGTGACATGTGTCAGCCGTTATCGACTGCCATAATAGCGTCTCCATATGCGAGATGACTGTTCCTCCTGTGGACTACTCCGTCACCTTGGCCATCCTCACAACGCCAGAGCCGCAAATGACAATTTCCGCCACGGCCGCCGTCTGGACCGCCCAGAGCGCCCGGGCCGTATTATAACCTGAGATGGCTTGATCGAAGGTCTAGATTCCAGCGCTCCGGACCTCCGGCATCGCCGCAAAAATATGACATTTCCAACAGCTTGGAGGGCCCGTTCGATGAAGCCGCTGCTACCGCCGCCACGCGGTCCCTACATACTGGGACAGATGGGCCCTCTCTTCGTCTTCGCTTTTTTTCAATTTGCAGCCTTAGAAGCCCCATGCCAGACTTTGGAAATGAGGAACCGCATCGGGCATCCATTTGGGCTGCCTCAAAATTGCGCTTGGATGCGGATCAATTTTTTTGATCCCACCCAAGACCCTAGCTGGGGCACCGCCAAGGCGATTGGGAACCTCGCGATTCTTCATTTGAGCTGCGAGGGGCATGCAGACACCTGCGTTCTGTGCCTGGGCCGTCGCCGTCGCGAATCTTACTCACTTACAAATGGGGTATCGGGCCGCAGTAGTGCTTCGTCGGTCCATGGCTTGCATGTTGATGTCTCGGCTCCGCAGTGGCCTCTGTCTCGTAGAATTCTCGCGAAACCACCATGGAGTCGGCGATCACGGCCGAGTGTGAACCACCTTTGGCTCTTCTTTATGTGACAATGCTGGTTGTTATTGTGAACAGTGCTCGGGCATGACAGCATCCTGCTCTTATTAGGCCATAAGTCTCTCCGAAAAGGGGATCTGCTGGTATTGGACTGAGCCGCATCCTTCAACTGCTAAGCTTGGATCCATCTGCAAGTAGTCCAATCCGGGCAGCCGCAGCTTACGTGCTCATACTGTCTTCTCCCACCCCCAGTCTCAACTGCCATAGATGTGTAGCCGAAAGATGCACCGTATGAGTGTGTCAGCAGCCACTTTGCCTGATTCGAATGTCAGCTGATGGTCACACGGCTTCAATTTGTTGTCCGCGAAATGAGGAGATAGATCAAGATGAAGATGTAGGAGGCCCGCAGAAGCAGCCTTCTCCCCATCATTATCATCAGCAGCAGCAACAGCAGCAGCAGCAGTAACAGCATCATTCCCACTAATTCCTGAGACGTGCGAAACCTAGGGCTCCAGTTGATTGGAAGCACTCCAAGTCTTCTTAGCAGAAGCTGGATACTCTCACTTTGACCTAAATTGTGAGGAGCCGATCGTGAAGGGAATGAGAGGCCTAGCAGCCGCATGCAAAATTGCCATAATGGAGACCCAAGCCTGGTTGAGCACTGATGAGACACACGTTCGGTACGTGGTTTAGAGACAGGGCGCCATGCCCGAGATCTCTTTTGCAAGACTCCCACTCCTATGCTGACCCTGCGCGCCCGCAGAAACATCGAGATTGGGGTTCTCGTCGCCGTGGGCGTTGCAAGCGTGGTAGTCTTGTCAAAGGCTAACAATATGTATCGAACGGGAATCGCAGTCGAGACGGCGATGTTGAAGAGTGGAGCGCTTTGGTAAGGCCGGATCATCAATCCTTGGTCGAACTTGAGACTGACTGTTCACAATGTTGAGACTTCTGCGGTGATGAATGGAACTGTTTCACTTGGCTGGGCTCTCCTCTCTTGGTATATGGTGAGCGCCATCCACTCGTTTAAACTGACTTTATGTTTAAGTACAATGTCTTGCTTTGGGCTTATTTCTTGTTTCTATCGATCAATATACCATGTCATCCCCGTCTGCTACCATGGCATGTCCGTGAACTTCTTGACGTGCAAATGCGGCATATACTTCTCTCACATGAAACTCCCTCACTGAATCACAAATGTAGATACTACTGGCTCATTCCTCTTTCCTGGAATTCGTACGCGAACCCATCTTGACCTGGAGAAGAATTCACGATTCCGCTCAAGTCCCCGATTCACGATCCTCATCTCCCTTGTACAACCTCTCTCCCCCCCTCCACCGCCTCCTCTCTCCTCAACCGGAACCCTTCAAGAATAATCCTTGTCATCTGCCCTATCGTAATGGGAATCGGCTTGTCCCCCACCCTCTGCGCCTTCACCTCCTCCTCGGTAGCCCACACATAATCCTGGTGTTCCGCAGGGTCGATCCTCACCTCATTCTCGTTCTTGACCTTCACCTCGAACGAGAATCGACTGTAGATCCTGGTGCCGTTGCGGTTCGTAAACACGCTGCCGGCAGGTCTATCCGGGCCCTCGGTCACCGCCCGCACGATCTCAACGGCCTCGAGCCCCGCCTCCTCCCACAGCTCCCTCGCGCAGGCAACAAAGAGACTGGCGTCTTCGTCGTCCGTCGCGCCGCCTGGCGTCTCCCATAGGTTCGGCATGCTGTCGTGCGCCGCGCGCTGGAGGAGCAGGACGCGGTTCTGCGAGTCGAAGACGAGCGCGCCTGTCACGATGCCGTCCCAGTGCTTCGAGTTCTCCGTCAGCCACGCCCGTGCTGTTCTGTTGTAAGACTCCAGTGACGGCGGGAAGGTGAGGGTGAATGCCGGGGGTGGCGGAGGAGGCTGTGCTTGGGAGTTGGGGGCGGTAGCCATTTTCTCTGGGGTTTTTGGGTTTTGTAAAATTTGGAAATTTGAGGGATTTTATTGAGCCGTCTTATAGTGTGAGGCTGTATGTACGTGGGGAAAAGCAGAACGATATTTCAAGATATGTATGAGAGGACGGTGAAATCCAGGGCGGCGGGGAAGTGAGAGCGGGCGGCGGATTCGGTGCGGTTTTTGAGGTTGTACGGTTTGTTTAGAGTGCGCCGTTCGGGGGCTGGGTTAAGCCGCTTCACGGGGGGCTGAGTTGCGGGCTGACACGCCTAACGATTTACGGTCGACTGCTGCCTGGTGAGCGACTCCTTTGTGCACTTTTTACTCGTTGAAGGCGGTGATTGTCATTTAGACACCTGAAAATGAAACGGCGAGGAGAGCATGGTGGATGTTGCTTATTTTTTCCACTTTCAAGGAGCAGGAGAGGCTGCAGTGCTCCCCCGGGGGTCTCAGTGTGTCGGCGCCGTTCGGGGACCCCACTAACACCCCGATGCCGAAGCCATGCCCCGGTTGGCTCTTCGGATCATCTGAGGCTGGGACTATTCTCAGCCGATTGCATAGACTTAAGAAACACAATACTCCTTTGAATTGAAGCCAAGTGTACTTTCATGCTCATAGTAGATATCTCATTTCGCTTTTGAGGGTGCATGTCCTGTCCAAGTGCATCTCATAAGGCTGTCGCCCATTCTCTTGCCTTACTTCCCGTCACATTATTTGCTCACATGAAAAAGATGATGAGCTGCAAAGCTTGTTACCCACTAATCATGCTATGTAGGCTTCTTCATAATTTCCTACGTTGCGGCCGAACCTAACCTTTCTTAAATATCTTCATGGAAAGAAATGAGTACGTGATTCGCATCGCGCAGTCTCAAATATCGCTGACATGAACGATTTATCAGCGAGGTTTATTTAGGGGATCATCGCGTTGTACAGCAAATCAGAGCAATTTTTGATTCTGAAGGTATTATTCAACAAGGGATACATGCCATTGAAATAAGTTTAGCCATCTTCACTTGGCCAAATTTTTTCGCCTTGGCAGCCCCAAATGATGGGAGCAACGCTCTGCCAACACATTTTCCATGAAATTACCTCTAATTTCTAGCACTCTCATCAGCAGTGCGTCTTGTTTTTGATATTCATATCGTGATATTGGGTGTTGGTAGGAAACACTTGGTAGGGCACCGTTGTTATGCTTCCGGAAACGGCCATAGATTTCGGTTTCACTACCAACCTCATTGATTCCACCCTTTTCGGATGGTTCACTTATTTACGCCTTCTCCTCGAAGAAAATGCCTATGAATGCGGACGCAGCGAGATTCCAATGTGCTTACTCAGCTGGAGCGTCGTTCTTATAAAACTTCATGAGAACCCGTATTCTTCGCTGGGAAAATCGTGTCGGGGCATACTTCAACGCAAGAGGCAAATACTCCGATCCATGTGTACCTTGTGGTAAGGATTCATTTTATCATGGAGTCATTATGACAGTATGTTTGCCATGCATTCAGCAGATTCTTCCTTGAACAATGACATTACTGACTGCTTGAATTATAAAGCGATCCAAATCGCGCCATGGATATATCTCAGCAAACGGAACGATCCTGCCGAATGAATCAAATAGAGTCATTTACCGGCCCGCACAAATTAAAAGGGCTTTCTGGCCAAGGGTCACTATGCGGCTGACTCGGGTAGTTGCATTCAACCCAGATGCAGCTCATGTTGGAGCCGTGAGTGCATGTTAATTGGAACATTACTTTTTCCAACCGCTCACCCAGCAGCTGAGCACTTATTTGCAGATAGTACAGAGCCGATGCGTGTTTATCAACACTGCCTCTCTTATGTGAACCATCTCCGTTCACCACAATCTCACAACGAATGGTAGTTTTCCACAGGAGAGAGGACAATCTTCCATGTTCCTATGAACCACATACCATGAAATAGCATTTGCTACCTGCCTGTCAATTCTGAGGTCTGTTACCGACTTCAGAGAATCCAGAGAGCCAATCGAACGGCGTCTGGATATTTTTTCCTTGTTTGGTATAGACCCCTTCAGATCAACGCAGGGATGGCATGGCTGTCCCGGTCCCACTACGGTACCTTAATGCATCCGTACATTCTGTAGAATGATCTTTGCATACCCGCGCGGCAGTTTTCTCCATGTCTAGCTATTCTTCGTGTTTGATCCTCCGCTTTTTCTTATACAAGAAATCAATGTTCTTCCTAGCGAAGAAATCGAACATGTGACGTCGGGGAGAAAATGGGGATCCTCGGCGCAAGTATTGATGCAGACTCTTACAGGGGATCGTCGTCTTTCCGGACGGATAGGATCGTCGACATAAGATTTAAGATATAGCACTATGCACTGCTACCATAATCTCTGATTAACCCCTCTGCCTGCTATTAGAAGCCTATATTGGACTGTAACGCTGCAGAACTGGTACCCATTAGACAACTCTGTGATCATGAGGGGAGATAATGATAGCTGTCATGAACGAATCCATCAGGTTCCCCTCTAGCAATGAATGGTTTATAGAGTGCCCATGTTCATCTGATTGTGTCATTAATCACTCCACCGACACTATGGTGCAAGCTTCCAGGGAAATGGTCTATCCAAACCACGCCGCAGGAAAGTAGCCCCCGGTCGTCCCGTTGAAATACCCACAGGGGTGGTTATTTCTACGTACACTGATTACTATACTTCATTTTCACGCGGAGGACATGAATCGAGTCTGGTGGAGACCAGCGCGGGCAAGCCGCATCCATTGGTAGTGTAACCGCAATGGTGATAATCCTGGAAAATGCCTTGACTTTTATATAAGTATCGTTGCTTTTTTCACTTTGAGTTTGGTTATGATCTTCTCTTCAGGCCAACTCACCGTCTTTCTTTCCATACATTCGCCAACTAAGTAACCAGTCCAAAATGGTTCTTCCCACGCTCGTTCTCTCGGCGGCCCTTGCCACTTCTGCCGCCGCCTACGACACCCTTCTCAACTTTAATGGTGCCCCTGAAGTTGAAACTCGGACAATTGATGAGATCCACAAGGCCGCACTCGCCGAGGGTGGTGTTGTTACTCTCTGGCACGGAGGTGATGAGAAAAACCAGCAGGATGCTTTGAAGGAGGCCTTCGAGAAGCGTTTCCCCGGCATGACTCTCAACCTCACTGTCGATGTGTCCAAGTACATTGACGGAAACATTGATCGCCAGCTGGCCCAGGGAAACGTTTATGTCGACAGTGTTATCCTGCAGACCGTCCAGGACTACCCCCGCTGGGATCAGGAGGGAGCTCTGCTACGTTACAAGCCGCTCAACTTCGACAAGATCCACCCCGGCTTCCGCGATGTGTTCTCCGCCTGGTATGCCGTTGTTGTTTTCGGTTGGACCAACATCTGGAACGCAGACAAAGTTTCCGAGGGTCCTGTCGATTACATCGACTTCCTGAAGCCTGAGTATAAGGACAAGTTGGTGTTTACATATCCTAATGACGATGACGCAGTTCTCTACGCGTTTGACCTGGCGTAAGTTAGCACAGCACTACAGAAATACATTATTGAAACTGTAGGTTTCACAGGGGGTGAAACGGAATTCCGTTCGTCAATAACAAATAACAGTAAATTGGTTCTAATCGATGGTTCATGATAGTTGAAAGTGGTGTTGTTGACTAGAAGGTGGGGATATTCCCCCTTGGCCTGTCACGTGGGTCTGGGAGGCTTGGGCCTCTCAGCCTGGCGGGCGTGTGGCTGGAAGTGCTATACGACTCCGTATTCTAACTATCGCAACACTAGAAACTCTCTTTTTATAATATTAAAGCGGTTAGAATACGTTATCCCTATATAGTTCCGTCTCTTCGTCAATTCGGCCTCCTATCCCTACTTTCTCCCGTAGTTACGGTCTTGTTACCCATCCCTCCATACGTATCGTTATCGTGTTGCTATTAACGAATCTCTCGAGGGCTTGATTTGGTTTGCTTTTCGTAAAGGTATTAGCAAGGTTGTCTTCGCCGTTAATCTAACGAATTTCTTATAGTTCTCGTCTTTCGTACGATTATCTTAACGCTATAATATCGATTATAAGTCGCTTTTCTTTAGTAATGCCTAGCTTTACGAGATACTCGTATAGCAAATAAGAATCGGTATAGATAACTATCTAAATCGTTAGTAGGTTAAGGTAGTTAGTAATTATCGCTAGGGTTATAGCGAAGGCGTAGGCTATATCGACGCTAGCGACTATCCCGTAGATCTCTAACGCTAATACGCTACGGGTAACTTATTTACTCTTCGTAAAGCTATAATAAACAAGGTTACCGTAAATCGTAAATTCTCTATTATTACTATTAGAGGAAGTATCGTTAGCTAGGATAATTAGAAACCCTAATTAAGAGGAAAGGTCGTAGTTATTAGCAAACAACCTGTTAACGAAAACGAATAGCTTAGCTATTATAAGGTCGAGTAGGATAAACGTTATTCCTCGGTTAGGCGATTCTATTTGCTATCGAATCCGTTGATTTAGTACTTTTATCGCTTCTAGCAAGGGGTCTTAGTATTAGGTAGTAGTAGATAAATCGAAACAAGCCTCGGGTTAGCAAATTAACGCGATATACGCCCTTCTAGCGCGTTGTTCGATATATTACTATTTTAGGTTAGGTTTAGTAGTCTTAATATATCGTAACTTCTTAGCTTATCCCTTTTACCTTAAATTAATCGAATTATCGGTTAACAGCGCGATTATCCCTCTATTAAATTAGAAAGGTTTGTTAATTATAAGGATATTCTTCGCTTTTACCGTAAAAGCCGCTTTTTCTAACTATTCGTCTTCTAATTATAAGAACGCCTTGTCTAACAAACCGAAGGTATCGTCGGTTTATATACCGATATAGCTAAAGTATAGATTTTCGGTAGATAAGATCAATAAGCATAGATCGTACGAAGAAGTAACTATCTAGAGATTCTCTCTATAATGCTTATGATACGTTGCCTACTAGTAGGTTCTAGCTTCTGCGATTCCGTATAGAGGCTTTACAACCTCCATAATAGTCCCTTTTAGGTACTAGTCTTGAATTTGCTTCGGTAGGTAGGCGAGAATAGTACGATTAAGCCTTATAGAGGATTAAACGTAGGCTTATATAATATCTCGAAGCTATAGTTATTTCCCTTCTCGTAGGAGTAACAAGGTAATTAATAGAATTAGCTATTAACTTGCCTACTAAATCGTTAGCGATTAGGTTAATATAGCCTTCTTACTATCGTCGGCGTAACCTTATATTATAAGTCTCGATTTCTCGTAGGGTTTAGTTATTTTACTTTTGACTTTGTTAACGATACGAGATCGGAAGATTCGTACGTTCTAATACCTTCTCTTATTAAACTAGGTAAATTTAAATACTCTTCTAGCAATAAGGCTATTAATCTCTTATTTAGTTAACTATTCGAACGGTTCGCTTAGTATAGTAATAATACCTTCTCGTCGTAGTTTGATTACTAATTCTTCGTCTACTTACTTCTTAATCAATAGGAATATTTATTAATAATCCGGGTTATCGTTAAATTCCTTTATAAAGTAGGCGATTAGTAGTAGTCTCTTCCAAGGTCTGCCTAGGCGTCTTCTCGGTAGCTCCGGTGCCTCTTGCGGTTCGTCCGGTTTACTACCTCCGCTAGCGACGATAATTTCGTCGCGTACTACTTCCTACTACGGTATCTTAGCTTTAGGTTCTTCTTCTTCTAGCATAGCGATAGAATTAGGTAGTTAATCGGGATCTTCGTAGTATAGTTTAACTACGGTAGACCGGAAGGTCTTTAGACTACGTAGCATATCGATAGTATAGGTTTCGCTATTTATAGCTACTAAAGTAAACAGTCTAGTCTAGCCCTTCTTTTCGCGCTATACTTATACTTATAACTATAGTAGTAAATTAATAATTAGCCTTATATTAAGGCTATTATAGGTAGCGATAGCTTCTACTACCTATCGCCTTACGTAAAGTTTATATACTTCGCTTATCGCCTTCTTAATCGCTTTCGCCTACCTTATAACTTCGGGAGATAGTAGCGAATCGTTAGTAATTCGTAGGTACGAGCCGAATACTAAGAGTATTAGCATTATTCCGTTCGGGCTAGTAGTATCGTTAACTGCTTTAACTACTATTTAAAGTATTAATTCTAGCGTAATTATTAAGTCTTTTACTTTGATAATTTCGTACGCCTTCCTTAGAAGTATATAGTATCGTTTAACTTTCCTAATACTATTATAGGCTTTTATAGGAATTTCCTTGATTTTAATTACTATTCCTCTCGCCGCGTTTCGGAATTCTATTAAGCGGAAGTTTATTCTAGCGTCGGTAACTAGCTAGTCTAGGGGTCCCTAATATATATCTATCTAGCAGAGGCGTAAGGCTTCCTAAGTAGCTTTCGTAGAAATATCCTTAAGGAACCAGGCGGCGTTAAACGCCGTAGCGGTATCGACGACGTAGAAGACCGGTCTATTACCTTCAAGGTATATTACGTCGGCGATAACCTCGTAGTTAAATTCGTAATCGTCTCGTAACGTAAATTTAAACTATGATAACGCTAGTATATATATTTAGCATCGATAGTAGACTTTCGATAGTTACTTAATTACTGTAATTTCAACTAGGTAGCTAGCCTTCTAAAGCACCTTATATAATCGTTAAATAGATAGGTATCCGAAGCGACGGTAAACCCGTCGCAATTTAGCGTCTATAAGGTAGTTCTAGGCGAGTAGTTTCTCCTTATCAAGTAATAACTATAGGTAGCCTTATTTGCGAATAATAGGTACGACCTTGTTTCCTTAGATAAGGGTATTCGTAACGTTATTAAAGTAGACCTTTAATCGGTCTATATCTCCTAGGCATATAAGGAAGGGAGTATTAGTCTTAATAACGTAAAATTTAACGCTTCTAAACGGCGTTAGCACTTTAGTAGTCCTTATAGACTCTAGTAGTATCCTATCGCCGAATTTTACTATAACGCCGCTAGCCGCCTTAGTATTTAACGTAATTCCTTCGTAAATTTATTATAAGGCTACGAATTATAAGTAGCTAGCGGTTGAGAATCCTGCTACGCCCGAGTCAGGCATAATCCCTTAGAAGTTCTAGGCAGAGTAGCGTCCCTCGAGTATAAATTACGAAGGTAGCTTTTTCGGTTCTAGTTAGTTATAGAAGAGGTCTTCTTTCGTAATAGCATAGCAGGTTAACTAGTCTACTAAGATCGTAGCGATCCTATTGCCGTTAATTGCTATTATAGTAAAATAGGCGGTAACCTAGAATTGACTATCGCTACCGGTCTCTTCCTCTTCGTTACTTTTACTAGTTTGTTTAGTTACGTAGTAGTATTGCTAAGGGTCTTCGGCGGTAGGTTATAAGTCTAACCCGTCGAAACCCTCGTATTAGACGAGAAATTAGCTATATGCTAGAAGTAACATATCCTAGGCATATTAGGTAGTTTTAAACTTCTTATATGCTTTTCGTCTCTCTTCTATAGTATATTTAGTTAACTAGTAGTTAGGTTTTCTATATACGTAGTACTTCTTAAGCGTTAGCGGTAATAAGGGTCTGTCACGGCTTCTTCCTCGTAATAATCGACTTCGTAATAAACGACTATATCGTAAATAACGCCCTCAACTATTAAAAGTTTTATTGGTCTAGTACTACTCTAGTAGGTTAGCTACTATGTTGAATTGTTGTTAGTTAAGACGGGTAGCTGTCTCGATCGACGAGATTAATTAGCTGCAAAGTCCCTCGTACGTCTCAGCCGGTATAAATAACGCTATTATATACTTTAGAATATCTCTATAAGCATATAGAAGTTAGGTATAGAGGGATCGGTCGTTATAATCTTATTATAGCAAACTAGGCTAAATCTTGCTTAATTTGTTATATAGTATGTTAAAATACTCCGATTTAGTCTTTCTAGGGTTATCGCGAATGATTTAGGGAAGAATAGTTATATTCTACTATGTAACGTACGCTTATTACCTTTCCTTAGTCTCGAAATATAATTTCAATTAGTTAATTATAGTCTCGAAGTTAGGCTATAGGTTAATTACTTTAATCGAGGCGTAGAAGTAGGTTTTAGCTATTCCTTTCAGTATTAGGGGAAGTACCTTATTATATTAGGAGGTATAAATTCCTAGCATTCTATAGTAATCTACGAATACTAGCATCTTCTTTTCGAGTATATCGTACATATCGCCGCTATATTTCATATCGTCGGGGTATAGTTTCGCGAATTCTATTAATTACTTTCCGATACGGTCTATTAACTCGTATAGTTAGAAGTCTATTAACGGAGAGACCGTAGGATATAGCAGTCGGTACGGTAGTTGCTACTGTTGTTGTTCTTATAGAGGAGGTGGCTATAGGGTTGGTTCGACTCTTCCTCCTATGCTGTTAGCTACTATTGCCGGTCTCGTAATCTCTTCGTAGAATTCGGGGTCTTTTATCAAAGCCTTTAGGTTGCGATATCTCTTAACGCCTTGTTCGAGTTCTTAGGGTGACTAGTAGTAGA